CAGGCAGGGGACACAAGGTAATTTTATTGTAGGTAAATCTAACTTTATCAAATTCATTTAAAATAGGTCAGTAATGTAACTGGGGTGTGCTGAAGAAGAGACGTAAAAAGCACTATATAAATTTATCAACAATTCTGTAAGTATCTGAATTCAAATATCAAGATAACCTATTCATCTGTTTTATAAACATCCTTAAAATATACTTGGAATCGTGTCCCTACTAAAACCATGGATAATACCTTATAGATCTGTGCTGGAACAATACATCTTTCATTCCTGAAGGTATCTCTCAGATAAAGACAAATAAAATAACCTTCATACAGTACGTTTGTATTGTTCTGTGATAAAACAAGGGTGAAGGAACATCCTGACCTGTAAGAAATCCTTTGTTATCAGACATTGATGTACAAAGGGGCGTGACAGACAAAACCTAACACCAGAGTAAAGTACAAGGAAAACGAAACTAGACACCGTATAGAAAACATTATCACTCCAGAACTTAAATGTAAAGACACCAGAGGAGATAAGACTTTGTCCTTCATCTCTGCCTGTTGCCAAGTTTATCATCAATAACGAAACCGTACACAACTGGCCTCAATAATGTTGATGGGAACTTCACAGTCTGTTTATGTTTACAAACATTTCAAGGATAATAAATAAGATGTAAGCATAAACATTTTAAAGCCACATAACCCGTATTTATAACTATCATATATCATAGGAGTACAGCAAGAAGAAATTTTAGGTCCGTATCAATTTTGCGTTTATCATCATAATCATCATCATCATCATTGCTCTTTAGCATGATAACAGATGTATGTGCACGTTCATTGAGCAATGACAACCACAGCATATTTGTAGTACATAGAGAAATGATAAAACCTATATATTGTAATTCATGAGACAAAAACTGCTGTATGTTTTGTAGTTTGTAGACAGATAACAACAGTGTATGTTGTAGTTCATTGAGAGACGACAACAGTGTATGTTGTAGTTCATTGAATGATGACAACAGTGTATGTTAAAGTTCATTGAGAGACGACAACAGTGTATGTTGTAGTTCATTGAGAGACGACAACAGTGTATGTTGTAGTTCATTGACTGATGACAACAGTGTATGTTGTAGTTCATTGAATGATGACAACAGTGTATGTTGTAGTTCATTGAGAGATGACAACAGTGTATGTTGTAGTTCATTGAATGATGACAACAGTGTATGTTGTAGTTCATTGAATGATGACAACAGTGTATGTTGTAGTTCATTGAGAGACGACAACAGTGTATGTTGTAGTTCATTGAGAGACGACAACAGTGTATGTTGTAGTTCATTGACTGATGACAACAGTGTATGTTGTAGTTCATTGAATGATGACAACAGTGTATGTTGTAGTTCATTGAATGATGACAACAGTGTATGTTGTAGTTCATTGAATGATGACAACAGTGTATGTTGTAGTTCATTGACTGATGACAACAGTGTATGTTGTAGTTCATTGAATGATGACAACAGTGTATGTTGTAGTTCATTGAGAGACGACAACAGTGTATGTTGTAGTTCATTGAGAGACGACAACAGTGTATGTTGTAGTTCATTGAATGATGACAACAGTGTATGTTGTAGTTCATTGAGAGACGACAACAGTGTATGTTAAAGTTCATTGAGAGACGACAACAGTGTATGTTGTAGTTCATTGAGAGACGACAACAGTGTATGTTGTAGTTCATTGAGAGACGACAACAGTGTATGTTAAAGTTCATTGAGAGACGACAACAGTGTATGTTGTAGTTCATTGAATGATGACAACAGTGTATGTTGTAGTTCATTGAGAGACGACAACAGTGTATGTTGTAGTTCATTGACTGATGACAACAGTGTATGTTGTAGTTCATTGACTGATGACAACAGTGTATGTTGTAGTTCATTGAATGATGACAACAGTGTATGTTGTAGTTCATTGAATGATGACAACAGTGTATGTTGTAGTTCATTGAATGATGACAACAGTGTATGTTGTAGTTTATTGACTGATGACAACAGTGTATGTTGTAGTTCATTGAGAGACGACAATAGTGTATGTTGTAGTTCATTGAATGATGACAAAAGTGTATGTTGTAGTTCATTGAATGATGACAACAGTGTATGTTGTAGTTCATTGAATGATGACAAGTGTATGTTGTAGTTCATTGAATGATGACAACAGTGTATGTTGTAGTTCATTGAGAGACGACAACAGTGTATGTTGTAGTTCATTGAGAGATGACAACAGTGTATGTTGTAGTTCATTGAGAGACGACAACAGTGTATGTTGTAGTTCATTGAATGATGACAAGTGTATGTTGTAGTTCATTGAATGATGACAACAGTGTATGTTGTAGTTCATTGACTGATGACAACAGTGTATGGTGTAGTTCATTGAATGATGACAAGTGTATGTTGTAGTTCATTGAATGATGACAAGTGTATGTTGTAGTTCATTGAATGATGACAACAGTGTATGTTGTAGTTCATTGACTGATGACAACAGTGTATGTTGTAGTTCATTGAATGATGACAAGTGTATGTTGTAGTTCATTGAATGATGACAAGTGTATGTTGTAGTTCATTGAATGATGACAAGTGTATGTTGTAGTTTATTGACTGATGACAACAGTGTATGTTGTAGTTCATTGAGAGACGACAACAGTGTATGTTAAAGTTCATTGAGAGACGACAACAGTGTATGTTGTAGTTCATTGACTGATGACAACAGTGTATGTTGTAGTTCATTGACTGATGACAACAGTGTATGTTGTAGTTCATTGAATGATGACAACTGTGATGAGTTCAACTGATGACAACAGTGTATGTTGTAGTTCATTGAATGATGACAAGTGTATGTTGTAGTTTATTGACTGATGACAACAGTGTATGTTGTAGTTCATTGAATGATGACAAGTGTATGTTGTAGTTTATTGACTGATGACAACAGTGTATGGTGTAGTTCATTGAATGATGACAAGTGTATGTTGTAGTTTATTGACTGATGACAACAGTGTATGGTGTAGTTCATTGAATGATGACAAGTGTATGTTGTAGTTCATTGAATGATGACAAGTGTATGTTGTAGTTTATTGACTGATGACAACAGTGTATGTTGTAGTTCATTGAGAGACGACAACAGTGTATGTTGTAGTTCATTGAATGATGACAAGTGTATGTTGTAGTTCATTGACTGATGACAACAGTGTATGTTGTAGTTCATTGAATGATGACAAGTGTATGTTGTAGTTCATTGAATGATGACAAGTGTATGTTGTAGTTCATTGACTGATGACAACAGTGTATGTTGTAGTTCATTGAATGATGACAAGTGTATGTTGTAGTTCATTGAATGATGACAAGTGTATGTTGTAGTTCATTGAATGATGACAAGTGTATGTTGTAGTTCATTGAATGATGACAACAGTGTATGTTGTAGTTCATTGACTGATGACAACAGTGTATGTTGTAGTTCATTGAATGATGACAAGTGTATGTTGTAGTTTATTGAATGATGACAAGTGTATGTTGTAGTTTATTGACTGATGACAACAGTGTATGTTGTAGTTCATTGAATGATGACAAGTGTATGTTGTAGTTCATTGAATGATGACAAGTGTATGTTGTAGTTCATTGAATGATGACAAGTGTATGTTGTAGTTTATTGACTGATGACAACAGTGTATGTTGTAGTTCATTGAATGATGACAAGTGTATGTTGTAGTTCATTGAATGATGACAAGTGTATGTTGTAGTTTATTGAATGATGACAAGTGTATGTTGTAGTTCATTGAATGATGACAAGTGTATGTTGTAGTTTATTGACTGATGACAACAGTGTATGTTGTAGTTCATTGAATGATGACAAGTGTATGTTGTAGTTCATTGAATGATGACAAGTGTATGTTGTAGTTCATTGAATGATGACAAGTGTATGTTGTAGTTTATTGACTGATGACAACAGTGTATGTTGTAGTTCATTTAATGATGACAAGTGTATGTTGTAGTTCATTGAATGATGACAACAGTGTATGTTGTAGTTCATTGACTGATGACAACAGTGTATGTTGTAGTTCATTGAATGATGACAAGTGTATGTTGTAGTTTATTGACTGATGACAACAGTGTATGTTGTAGTTCATTGACTGATGACAACAGTGTATGTTGTAGTTCATTGAATGATGACAAGTGTATGTTGTAGTTCATTGAATGATGACAAGTGTATGTTGTAGTTTATTGACTGACGACAACAGTGTATGTTGTAGTTCATTGAATGATGACAAGTGTATGTTGTAGTTCATTGACTGATGACAACAGTGTATGTTGTAGTTCATTGAATGATGACAACAGTGTATGTTGTAGTTCATTGACTGATGACAACAGTGTATGTTGTAGTTCATTGAATGATGACAAGTGTATGTTGTAGTTTAATGATGACAACAGTGTATGTTGTAGTTCATTGAATGATGACAACAGTGTATGTTGTAGTTCATTGAATGATGACAACAGTGTATGTTGTAGTTCATTGAGAGATGACAACAGTGTATGTTTTAGTTCATTGACTGATGACAACAGTGTATGTTGTAGTTCATTGAATGATGACAACAGTGTATGTTGTAGTTCATTGAGAGATGACAACAGTGTATGTTGTAGTTATAGTTGTTTGTTTGAATATCAAATTATTCATGAATCAGAAAAGGATATTTTATAGCCATCAGCCAGTAAGAATGATATGACTCTAAGGCTTTATGGTTCTGTAAAAGAAGTCCTTTGAATGAAATTGTGAAAGAAGGAAAAATATTTCACAATGGATATTTTCTTACTGGTACTTTATGTTATGTAAGCTAAAAGCCATGAAAATATCAACGAAGTGCTAATAAATCTTAATTCTGATTTCAAAATGAGCTTCAAATCCAATCAGTTGCTACATGGATCAGGAGTGTTTTCTGATTACCATTTCAAAAAACAAGAGAACAAAAAACAGTTTTAATATTTTAATACATTTCTATCATTAATCTTTTGAATGCTGTTATTGTTTTATTTTTTTCTCTGGACATCTGCCAATAAAACGACTAAATTTAAAATGACACCACATCCAAATGCATTGTCAGCCTCATAAAGAATTCTGTTTCATTTTAATTCATATAACAGCTGAATAGCAAATTTTTCACATCATTAGATATGAAAATCATCAGTTTTAAAAAAAATCATCTTCATTATACATAAAATGTATTTATACAATTTTTTCAAATTTGAAAACACCAATTTGATGAAAACTTTCAAATAATCAAATCAAAATTTGAAAATCAGTATTGTGAAAAAATTCCCCGCCTAAAATAAAACCCACAACAAATAATGAATCACCAACATAAAATCATTGGTACAGATCTTTTCTCCTGATATTCCCAGCTTCTGCATCACATAGAGAAAACAGAAATGTATTTCAGTAATTCATATCATGGCAGGTGTAGATTTCAGGATGTCCGTTACATTGTCACTCATTAGGATTTCCGCCTCACAGACTTAAGCTAGATTACAATAACGTACCAGCACCTGTTTCACAACAAGAGCTTGTCTGGCTGTTCGGGTGCCTGCATAAACACATAGGTATCAAATAGGAGCTTGTATTCTAGGTATGAGATATTCATACCTTACCTCCGTGCTATTTTCATGTATCCGTTTCTGAAGTTGATAAACACTATGCCGTTCACATTTCACTGTTTCATGAAAATATGTATAACACATAGTTTTGATATCAGCATACAATTTGAACCTCAGAATTTCTGCCCCACCTGCATGTTTAGAATATTGTCAACACCTGAATGTGAACACCTGTTAGCTATCTGATAAGTTTAGCTTTTTTCTCAGGTGGGGGTTTGATAACATTAGATGTTTTTTCTTCTGTCTTTTCTTGTTTGATTTCCTGTTTCACTGTTACAGTATCAGGTTTGGGGGCTTCCTCTGTAAATACAAAACAAAATAGCTGTCAAAATGAACTATTGACTCATCACACGATCATATTTGTCAACGTAGACCTCACTTTGGGAGACAGATAAACAGAATGCTGTTGGTCAAACGGAGGCCATATCAAGTAAATACAATCACATATTCTGACTAAACATCAGTAAGATAAACCTTGTGATTAATAGTCTGAGATTCTAAGAATATTTTGAGGGACATGTAGTACATTTCACAAAATACTGAAACCTTGTTCATTCAAATATCATGCTCTCATTCCAATCCCACCAAAAAGACAAAATATTGAACTGTCTTCTCCCTAACCCCTGTCCTGTCTGACCAATATGAGATTGGCCATATAAGTTAGATTAGAAAGGTTAATCCGATTCAAATCAAAGGTTTCATATAAAACAGGTTTCATCTTAACAGATAAAAAACACACTCCAAGGATAATTTAGAAAGATTTTGTCAAGAGACAAACCCTCCATTCAAGCTCCTTCTGAGAGAGAAACCCCTTGACTAGAGACTCTCTCAAGAGACAAACCCTCCAAAGGAGCTCCTACCAAGAGAGAAACCCTCCACTAGAGACTCTCTCAAGAGACAAACCCTCCACTGGAGCTCCTACCAAGTGAGAAACCCTCCACTAGAGACTCTCTCAAGAGACAAACCCTCCACTGGAGCTCCTACCAAGTGAGAAACCCTCAACTAGAGACTCTCTCAAGAGACAAACCCTCCAATGGAGCTCCTCTATAGAATGAAACCCTTGACTAGAACCCATCCCAAGACAGAGACCTACAACTAATGCCCCTCCTGAGACAGAAACCATCAACTTGAGCCCCTAATGAGATAAAAACCCTGAACTTGAGCCCCTACTGAGTGAGAGACCTACCACTAGAGCCTCTCCTGAGTAAGAGACCTACGACTAAAGCCTCTCCTGAGTGAGAGACCTACGACTAGAGTCCCTTCTGAGTGAGAGACCTACGACTAGAGTCCCTTCTGAGTGAGAGACCTACGACTAGAGTCCCTTCTGAGTAAGAGACCTACGACTAGAGCCTCTCCTGAGTAAGAGACCTACGACTAGAGCCTCTCCTGAGTAAGAGACCTACGACTAGAGCCTCTCCTGAGTAAGAGACCTACGACTAGAGTCCCTTCTGAGTAAGAGACCTACGACTAGAGCCTCTCCTGAGTAAGAGACCTACGACTAGAGCCTCTCCTGAGTGAGAGACCTACGACTAGAGTCCCTTCTGAGTAAGAGACCTACGACTAGAGTCCCTTCTGAGTGAGAGACCTACGACTAGAGTCCCTTCTGAGTGAGAGACCTATGACTAGAGTCCCTTCTGAGTGAGAGACCTACGACTAGAGTCCCTTCTGAGTAAGAGACCTACGACTAGAGCCTCTCCTGAGTAAGAGACCTACGAGTAGAGTCCCTTCTGAGTGAGAGACCTACGACTAGAGTCCCTTCTGAGTAAGAGACCTACGACTAGAGTCCCTTCTGAGTGAGAGACCTACGACTAGAGCCTCTCCTGAGTGAGAGACCTACTACTAGAGCCTCTCCTGAGTGAGAGACCTACGACTAGAGTCCCTTCTGAGTGACAGACCTAAGACTAGAGTCCCTTCTGAGTGACAGACCTATGACTAGAGTCCCTTCTGAGTGACAGACCTACGACTAGAGCCTCTCCTGAGTGAGAGACCTACGACTAGAGCCTCTCCTGAGTGAGAGACCTACGACTAGAGTCCCTTCTGAGTGAGAGACCTACGACTAGAGCCTCTCCTGAGTATGAGACCTACGACTAGAGCCTCTCCTGAGTAAGAGACCTACGACTAGAGTCCCTTCTGAGTGAGAGACCTACGACTAGAGCCTCTCCTGAGTGAGAGACCTATGACTAGAGCCTCTCCTGAGTGAGAGACCTACGACTAGAGCCTCTCCTGAGTAAGAGACCTATGACTAGAGTCCCTTCTGAGTGAGAGACCTACTACTTGAGCTCCACCTGAGTATGACCCTTTTTTCAAATCAAACTACAAAAGAGTCACTTGTATGTTAATACAAGAAAAGTTTATTATGTGTGTAATGGAATTTTTCTGGTGTATAAAACATGTATACCAGAGTGGATTAGAAACATGTTATGATCTTGTGACTAATTTTTAGGTGTGTATTGTACAGATGATACATCTTTTATCTTATAAGATGGCTTGAAGGTGGAGCTGGGTGTTCAGATTTAACAAAGACTTGACATGGAGTGCTGATATTACAGCTTGAACTATGGACATCTTACTTATTCATTGTAATCTATAATCAGAACCGAGAAAGACAAACATAGAATTATAATTCTGAATGGTACATTAAGAGATGTGAGTGCATTTGTTTAAAACACACATGTATCTGAATTGTAATTACTTTGTAAGTGTGAAATTTTTCCTGACAGAAGTAAAATAAAGGACATACAAATGTTACACTTCTTTACCTGTATATAGAACACCAGTGTGTAAATACATTTATCAAAAAAAACTTGAGGAAAACATAGATTTAAGCATAAACACTTTTATTTCTGAATCTATATAGAACAGAACACCTGTATATACAGAACACCTCTATAAAAAGAACACCTGTATATACAGTTCACCTGTATATACAGAACACCTTTATATATAGAACACCTGTATATACAAAACACCTCTATAAATAGAACACATCTTCATACAGAACACAATTTCATATAGAACAACTGAGTATATATAAAGCAAAACATATGTATATGTAGGACATCTGTATATACTGAACATCTGTATATACAGAACACCATTTTATATAGAACAACTGAGTATATATTAAGTAAAACATATGTATATGTAGAACATCTGTATATACTGAACATCTGTATAAACTGAACATCTGTATACTGAACACCTGTATATACTGAACACCTCTATATATAGAACAACTGAGTATATATAAAGTAAAACATATGTATATGTAGAACATCTGTACATACTGAACACCTCTTTATATAGAACAACTGAGTATATATAAAGTAAAACATATGTACATGTAGAACACCTGTACATACTGAACACCTCTTTATATAGAACAACTGAGTATATATAAAGTAAAACATATGTATATGTAGAACATCTGTATATACTGAACACCTCTTTATATAGAACAACTGAGTATATATAAAGTAAAACATATGTATATGTAGAACATCTGTATATACTGAACACCTCTTTATATAGAACAACTGAGTATATATAAAGTAAAACATATGTATATGTAGAACATCTGTACATACTGAACACCTGTTTATATAGAATAACTGAGTATATATAAAGTAAAACATATGTATATGTAGAACACCTGTACATACTGAACACCTCTTTATATAGAACAACTGAGTATATATAGAGTAAAAAATATGTATATGTAGAACATCTGTATATACTGAACACCTCTTTACATAGAACAACTGAGTATATATAAAGTAAAACATATGTATATGTAGAACATCTGTATATACTGAACACCTCTTTATATAGAGCAACTGAGTATATCCAGAGTATATGTAGAGTATAAATAGAGTAGAACATCTGTATTTAAAGAACACTTGTAATATATAGAACACCTGTATATACAGAACACCTGTACATAAAGAATACCTATATATAAGGAACACCTGTGATATATAGAACACCTTTAAATATAGAACATCTTTGCATAGAGAACACTTGTATATAATGAACACTTGTAATATATTGAACATCTGTATATAATGAACACCTATAATATATAGAACATTTGTATATAACAAACACCTGTAATATAGAGAACACCTTACAGTCCATAACACTGTCCCCTACAGTCCGAAACACTGTCCCCTACAGTCCGTAACACTGTCCCCTACAGTCCGTAACACTGTCCCCTACAGTCCATAACACTGTCTCCTACAGTCCGTAACACTGTCCCCTTCAGTCTGTAACACTGTCCCCTACAGTCCGTAACACTGTCCCCTACAGTCCGTAACACTGTCTACTACAGTCCATAACACTGTCTCCTACAGTCTGTAACACTGTCCCCTACAGTCCGTAACACGGTCTCCTACAGTCTGTAACACTGTCCCCTACAGTCTGTAACACTGTCCCCTACAGTCCGTAACACTGTCTACTACAGTCCATAACACTGTCTCCTACAGTCTGTAACACTGTCCCCTACAGTTCATAACCCTGTCTCCTGCACTCTGTAACACTGTCTCCTACAGTCTGTAACACTGTCCCCTACAGTTCATAACCCTGTCTCCTGCACTCTGTAACACTGTCTCCTACAGTCTGTAACACTGTCCCCTACAGTCTGTAAAACTGTCCCCTACAGTCTGTAAAACTGTCCCCTACAATCCGTAACACTGTCTCCTACAGTCTGTAACACTGTCCCCTACAGTCCGTAACACGGTCTCCTACAGTCTGTAACACTGTCCCCTACAGTCTGTAACACTGTCCCCTACAGTCTAACACTGTCCCCTACAGTCCATAACCCTGTCTCCTACAGTCTGTAACACTGTCCCCTACAGTCTGTAACACTGTCTCCTACAGTCTGTAACACTTTCTCCTACAGTCTGTAACACTGTCCCCTACAGTCTCTAACACTGTCCCCTACAGTCCATATTGTGACCTGTGTATATTTAACATGTTAATTTGATACGGTAACAGTTAAAAATGTCACATCAGGCCAATGAAGATTTCTAACTATAAAATGCAAGTACATGTTTCTATTACACTTTTACAGCTGGGGGTATCTCCCAGTACCTAGCTGTAAGCAACATACTGTCTACAGACTCAAAGCACATCTTTGGATCTGCATTAAACAGCACAAATAGTTTAACATACATCATAAATAAATATCTATATATAATATTAATGTACATCTTTATTTTTTCTTATTTGATTAATTCCTTTTTTCAGTTGATCAGATTTTTTAGTACCTTAACAGTCATCTGACTATAAAAATCTACGGTATATATGACAAAGGCCCAAAAGGCATAGATTGAAGTCATTGCCAGTTCACAAAAACATTTTCTGTAAACTTGAAATCCTGCTTCCTTATAAATGCTACTACACAAATACCATGACCAGGACCTATTGCTTGTTGAAAGAAGAAATTTTAAGATTGGAACATATTTGACCCCAGAGACCTTCAAAGTAGGTCAAGGTCAGTGATTTAAATACATTTTGTAGCCATTCATCCAATTATGTTAAAGAACAGATATCAACCGCCTGGGCCTTATGGTAATTGAGAAGATGCTTTTTAAAGATTTCAACACATTTACCATAGTGACCTTAAAAGTGGGTCAATGTCGGTCATATGAATAAATTTGGTATCCCTTCACCCAGCATGCTACAGGCCAAACATCTGCATCCTAGGCCATTTGGTTAATGAGAAGAAGTTGTGAAAAGATTTTAACACATTTGACTCATGTAACCTTGAGGTGGGTGTCAAGGTCAATTAAGTGAACATACTTGCATTGGTAATCCTTCATACAAGCATGCTACATGACCAATATCAGCACCCTGGGCATTTTGGTTATTGAGATGAAGTTGTTTAAAGATTTCAACATATTTGACCCTGTGACCTTGACATATCAGCACCCTGGGCTTTTTGGTCATTAAGAAGTGTGAATGGAAAGTTTATGCACAGAAAATGGTGCATGGCGGATGGGGCATGGCCAGAAAACATACTGTATAATGCACTTTACAAGGATCATCGAGATATTTCATTCATGTGTTATTAGTTGATGAATTTACAAACTGTAATCAATGAGGTTAGAAATTACAAGAATCAAGGCAGGGAGAGTTTCCTCCCTTGTAAATTGATTAAAACAGTACCAAGTCTAAGGAAAGTAACCCTTAGAGCAAGTTGAAAGTATAGTGAATAAAATAATTGTCAGGCAAGTTAAGTCTTACAAAATGATAAAACTTTAATGCAAATTGTTTTCTGACCATTGATACCAAATTGATCTTTCTTATCAACTGTTCACATGGATGCTCAAGACCATCCAAGGATGCTTAACACCAAACAGATAAAATCCAGGCATTCCTACAGAAGAAGAAAGATTTTTAAAATCTTGCTTTTCCTCTTTTGTACCCTGCACATAAGGCCCTTGGGGGCAGAGAACCACCATTTATACAAACCTGGTTCTTTCTCCCCAAAGGATACTTCTGACCAAACTTGGTCAAAATATGGTCAATCATTTATTATTAGAAATGATTTTTAGGATGATGGATGCCGCGGTACGACATAAACTCACAATCCTTTTGACGGGGATAGCTAACACTTAGTTCTATATGAAATAGCAGTACCAAGGTGCATACAGCCTTAAGCTCTATATTGATAGAACCTATTTCATTTCTGCACCTTTTAACCAACAAATTTTCTCTGAAGATATTTTTAAATATTTTTCTTTTATTAAATCTTTGAAAATATTTAACCTTGGTGATTTTTTAATAACATAAAACATTACATTGGAAAACATGAAATATCTCTTTCTGTTAATTTGATTGTCCATAGGCAGATTTGAATCCAGTAAAATTTCAGGCTTTTTTTTCAAGGGAGGTAATGCAATGAGATAATTTTATCATAACATGAATGTAACAAGAGAAAATTTCAAAATGATCTATTCATGTTTTGAAATGGATTTTATTTCAATGTTTGAAGACCTATTTACATATTTTTATTCATTTAAATAGATATTATGTTGTATTTTTGTGGTAAATTTCTCTTAAAATAATCAAATAAAATACTCTTCAACACTTGCATAAATTTTTTTTTTTTAAGTTACGATATATTATAATTTAGATAATGGACTTTTGTTGCTAATATTTCCATCAATTCAGAGAAGATGAAGACGTGTTTTAAATACACTAAGGAAAGTTCAAGTCCAAAGACACCTTGTTATTAGTTCATGTTCAGTCTAGTATATAATAGATCATGAATGATTTTGTGTACAATAGTACCTGACCTTTAACCTTTGAGGGCTTGTCTGGAGGTAAGATGGACTTTGTACACTGATAACAAGCCTACCTTTAATCTCTGTGGGCTGGGTTGGGGGTATGAACTTGGGAGGAAATTTTTTGGACAATTCTCCGAGTAGGAGGTCTACTCTCTGCCTTTGGAACATAGAGCTTGGCTCTTCTTTCTTTTTCTTTTCTTTTGAATCCTTTTTGTCTGGAATATCAAAATAACTGGTAATTAGGTCTGAATGATGGAAGGGAGATAACCTATAAATTATCCCTTACTCATGTAAAAAAAATTATATTTTATGATGATTGTTCTAACTTAACCATCAATATAGTATGTTGTACAATCTTCAATCATTATTTATTTATTTCAGTAATCTGTACTTTTACAAACATTCATTGTGGCAGCTGTAACATCTTTTTTAAGATACAGAACAAATCTATACAAATTCTGTATCTTTTAAAACTGTTGTCAGCATGAAATTATCTTTCAGAGGACAAAAAAATTGATGGCGACGCCTCTGGCCAATTTGGAATCTAACGCCTGTACTGATATTGTTAGATTGATAAAATTACAAAGTAAATATTACAAGTAAGTTTTTGTGTCAGATTCGGGTGTATAATTTCCATAAGGACATGAGCAGATACTTCTGTATGAGAAAACAACACCTAACCAAATACTATTATTTTTGGAATACTTTATCCAATAACAGTTTTCAGTCTATCTATAAATAACTACAATGTTAATCCTACCTGAAGCTTCTTGATCTTTGAACTCCCACCAATAGCCTTTGCTAGGATGGTATTTAGAGAAGGACTGGGCTGTAAGAAATTATATTTGATTAAATATCACTTCAACATAGTATGAAAATTGAAAATCTGATATTGTTGAAACTGTCCTGACGATGAATTCTGTGATCAAATCAACTTCCCAAATTAGATAGGAATCAATATAACTGTGACATGGTAAAAATCCACACAACCACAAAATAAACTTAGGCTTTCTTCATTTCTTTCACACCATTGTAAATAACTGGAACCCAAATTAATCATTACTTGTTCCATGATCAATGTACATTTATTTTCATGGGTCCTTTTAAACATTATTGTGAAAACAATGGGTGCCACACTGTAAAATTTCAGTATTTCCAGAAATTCTACAAATCCCATCAAAATTTAAAACTGAAAGTGGTGTGTCATTTAAAAGCTTTAATAACAATTTCATGAAATCCTAATCAATGTTTCAGTTTAAACCTTACCTTCATCAAATGCTGATTTCAAGTTAGACAATGTATTAAGCTGAAATGGGAAAGTAAAAAACGCTAAGAAATACTGACATCACTGACTTTGTCAAGAAAAATTATTGATATCTTATCGTTAAATATTTATATACAATTAAAGGTTTTTGAAAATATTGGTGTGTAACTGAAAAGACATGATTACACAATATCAACCAAACGATATCTATGTACCTGTCACAGGTAAAGCCACTATATACAGCAGCAATTAGACATTTTTTTATGATAAGCGTGATGTAAACCCTCACTAATACCCAATAAACATGGTAAGTAAAATGACCTACCAATCGAGAGTTGATGACTGAGGCGAGATCTGGGGCTTGGTATACAACTCCAGCAATAATATAGTAGTCAGCCAGTGGCACCACTGTAGAAAAACAGGAAAGATTTTAGCTATTTGTAAGATATTCTTCCATTCTTACAAACTGTGAAGGTCATTCACATTCATACTCTTATTTATGTAAACAATTACAAAGCAATATGGATGATCTGAATCAGCAAAAAAGACAAAACTCTTCATCGACACTATCATTTTTGAACTTTGATTATTGTGGTACAATGTTTACACTTCAATTTCAACAAGTGACATGGCAGCTAGGTGTTCTTTTTAGTATAAGAAAGGCATCTAAACACACAATCACACAAGTTTGGTAATGACAGAACCTTCCATGAATCAGGTCTTTTTTCCATTCATTTGGGAAAGTGTCTTTTTATTTCATTTTGGGAAGAAAATTGATCAGTTGGAAATGAGGTTTTAAAGAGTTAAATATAAATCTGGAGAAATTTTTGCCATATCATAAAATAAATCAAAGTAAAGATGTGTATGTATAAATGAAGTATGTCACAGTAAAGATGTGTATGTATAAATGAAGTATGTCACAGTAAAGATGTGTATGTATAAATGAAGTATGTCACAGTAAAGTTGTGTATGTTTAAATGAAGTATGTCACAGTAAAGATGTGTATGTTTAAATAAAGTATGTCACAGTAAAGATGTGTATGTTTAAATAAAGTATGTCACAGTAAAGATGTGTATGTTTAAATGAAGTATAAGAGTTATACAAACCATGATTTGGACCATTTCTTTCCTGTTTTCTGACTACATACAAGATTGGTTCCTGGGTATGAAGTAAAATGTATTCCACACCTATCATGTTACTGTTGATAGAGAAAATCAGAATATCTAAAGAGTACAATGTAAGAATTACAATACGAACAATTTATGAATCTTGGCTGTCCTAAACTAAACAGTTATTACAAATCTTTATCAAATTTTCGGTGTTTTTTCCTTTTTGTAGCCTGCTATTGGTCTTACAAACTATAATGGGGTATGCAATTTTTTTTCATAAGGATAGATTATACAGAATACATCACATTTTCTGATCTTAAGAAAAACTTACTTCAATTGATCCAGGCTTAGTCTCTGCATTTTGATGATTTCGTTGTTACATGTGTGATCATAGAAAGGATTACTTCTCTCGCTGAAGTAGTCCATTACATTAGAAGGGTTCAACAATGGAATGAATGTACTGTCATGCCAGCTGATGCCAAGGGCACCAGCGTTCAATTCTGTTTGATAAAAATGAAAGAAAATATATCAGAATGCTTTTGTGAACAAGCTAAGATGTGAATACTGATTTTTTACTAAGTAAATTTATATTCTCTTTGTCTATGTTTTAAACAGAATGTTGCAGAAATTTAAGAATCTATTGGCAACAACTTTGTCGTTTAGACACAATAATTTGTTTTGGTATTTGGTATCTGATCAAGGTCTCAGAACAGTACACAAGACATTGTCCTTTCATTCACTATGTATTAGTTATTATCATGACAGTGTTTGTTTACACTTGTACATATTCTAGCTTTCACTTTATAATCCTTCTGCTTTTCTACTTAGCAAGCTTTTAATTTTGTTTAGTACCCTGTTTTCTTAAACATCTTTGTCGTGATAATAGCTCCTTGGAGATTATGTTTCATGTTATGCTATACAAGACATTAAATAATGTTTCTCGAATCTTTCATGTTCCCGTATAGATTGCAGGCTGTATGGCTATAAAGTACTTTTATAAACACATACACCATAAACAATGTCTGGATTGTTCTAGGGTTGTTTAGATATCAACTGACAGATAACTGTAGACTAATCTTTACATCTAGTGCATTAGGTAGTGGTCTCCGGTAATAGCTTCACTTTTTGTGAATCAGGGTTTTTCCATTCCCTGTGCCTTTTTATCTCATTTTAAAAAGGAAATTAATCAGTTAGAAAGGAAATTTTCTGGAGTATAATATCAATTTTGGGAATCTGGACATATCATGAAATTTAAGGCCTGTCAATACAACCAATACTTTGTATCAGAGACATATAATACGGATCTATATTATACAACTAGTGACGTTTAAGTATGTGTGCGTTTTATTTGCGAAACTTTTTTTCGAATTCGTTGGCATTAATTATTTATTCGTTGCGTTTGACTATCTTATTTCGTTTCGTGAACTCCAGCTTTCATTTGTCCGGGTATTGTTTTGTTAAATTATAAATCAAAGTCATGTATTTTGACTTACCGGGCGCGCGATTTTAAAGAAAATAATTACTGCTGTTGATCAGTCAAATATATATCTAAGCATTTCTATAAGTTTATAACGTATAGCTTATTATATACGACAAAAATCAAATATGTGATATTATTACCCTTCTCCATAGCTGTTTAAACAAAGAGAAGTCCGTAAAACCCGTCTAATTCTATTCTTTCATGGACGACGCCATTTTGTTTGTCACGTGATGAATTGTTAAGGCAGGTTCGATTACGTTGGTCTGCTACTTGAATGTTGACCGTTTCAATAATATTTAGAGCATAAGGAATAGATGCGTTAGTATAAAGGGGATGGCTCTTTACGACATTTATGTACAGATATTAAAATGTCATGTGTTTAAAAATTAGATTAAGTTAATAATAGATAGGACAGATGATATACACATCATATGTAAGGAAAGAAGAATACGCAGTGAAAAATTGGGATCTACAACGTGCAAATATATACAACACAGGCAGGTAAGTGCTAAACTGCGCCAGAAGGAGCACAACACAATACTGATAAAAGAAGAAGAAGAAGAAGAAGAAGAAGAAGAAGAAGAAGAAGAAGAAGAAGAAGAAGAAGAAGAAGAACAACAACAACAACAACAACAACAACAACAAAAACGTATTCACTTTACTTTTAGCTGACCGGGGGCATGAATTATACGCTTCTGGACTCACCAAACGTTAAAAACAAAATACGAGAACAAAACACACAAAAAATGAAACAATAACTAAATAAACAAACTAGAAATAAAAGAAAAAGGAAAACAAATGGAAACCAAAATAAATAAATTTACAAAGAAATAAACGAACATAATCAATCTATTTATTCTAATCGAAAGAAAATACCGAGGCTGTCAACAAAGTCTTATTTCAGTTTCAAATTGGGTAAAAACAAAACCGTTCCGGAAGATTGGTCACGATATCGACACGTAAGTCGTGACGTTGGGAATAAGTCATAGGATATGCGACCATTTAAACACCGTAGACTGGAAGCATAAATGTTGCTATCTGTAAATGGAAAATACACCATAGCTAAAATGAAATTTTATCACACAGCTTTGTAGAACGCAGGATCGACATAAGAGGTGTATGTAGAAGAATCTGTTGTGTCCTTGATGTCCAGTATGTTTGGTATATAACATGTACATGGCTAATAACTTTTTATTACTTATAGAAAATAAATCATCAATCAGTCTAAAAGCGATATTGAAGGATTTGGACTGAAGGTATTTCATACCTGGAGCAGTTTAAGGATGGTACGTCCAGATTTATCACCAAAGCATATATACATACAGTGATTATAGAGAAACACTGATGCTAAATTAAGTTTTATTTCAATGAGCTTTGCTTTTCGTATCTTAATCCAACAAATTCCAAGTTAATGACATTGGTATTAACCTACCACCTGATGACGGTGGGCAGCTCAAACAACTGAAGTATTGAATAGATCACAACTTTATTCTGATGTTTCTCCTTGGTCTCTGGTTACGCCCTTTTGATTTTGGGACTGATCAGAAAAACAAAATTGCTGACAGGCGACAGACTTGGATTTTAACGATAGATGTGTTTTTATTATTATTATTATTATTATGCATTGAAAAGTCTCAGTTGGATATTTCCCAAAAAGCTATTAATACTCCCTTTTAATACTTTTTAATTTTAATGTTGAAACTGACCAGAAAAAAAAAAAAAAAAAAATAGGACTAAGTAGCAGTCATTTCGTATTTGAAAAATGAAAAAATGTTATCAGTATTTCTGGAGAGATATTCACAAATTCATTCAAGAGAAGGTGAAAGATCGAATTCCTGATTAAAGAACAAAGAAAATCATACAACTGCTTGCGCCAAGATCCATTCACACGCACGCCCGCACGCGCATACACACACAAACACACACTCACCACCACCACACACACATACACACACACTCTCTCTCTCCCTCTCTCTCTCTCTCTCTCTCTCTCTCTCTCTCTCTCTCTCTCACACACACACACACACATCCTCACTCTCTCTCTCTCACACACACACAAACACACTCACTCACGCACGCACACCAACCCATCCCCCACACACTTTCTCTCTCTCTCCTACACACACACACCCTCGCTCTCACACACACACATACACACACAAGCACACTCACCACCACACACACTCTCTCTCTCCCTCTCTCTCTCTCTCTCTCTCACACACACACACACACTCACGCACGCACGCACGCACACCACATACACATACGCACATACTCTCTCTCTTTCACACACACACCCTTTCACGCACACATACATACACACACACTCGCTTTCTCTCATACACACACACACACACAAACTCACCCTCACGCACACACCATCTCACACACTTATATATACATAGTTATGTGACATAAATAAGAACAAAGTATACAAGTAGTCACTATTAGTCACATAACATAGTGTACATGTAGTCACTATTAGCGACATATCATAGCGTTCATGTAGACACATAGTGTACATGTAGTCACATAGTGTACATGAAGTCACGATTAGTCACATAACAAAGTGTATATGTAGTCACATAGTGTACATGAAGTCACTATTAGTCACATAACAAAGTGTACATGTAGTCACATAGTGTACATGTAGTCACATAGTTCACAATCTTATTACCACCCCGTCATTCTACCTCAGTTTATATAGGATACAGTACAGCCGATAATGTTGGTCGATTCCTTACGATCTCGAACATTGCCTATGTCAGTGCTAGTACGTTTCACCGGCTATTGAAGGTGACCTTGTAGTCATCGAAACATCACACTCTAACCTTTTACTGGTTGTGTTATAAGAACTTCTATTCTATTGACATTACCAATCGGAAGAAAATGTTTAAATAATGTTCATGTAGTATTATAGTTTAATATGCTGGTAGGTAGGTAGTGTTAGTGAATATAACGAAATATTTCCTTAACACTAAAACGTGTTAGTTAATATAACGAAATATTTCCTTTTCTATAAAACGTGTTAGTGAATATAACGAAATATTTCCTTAACACTAAAACGTGTTAGTTAACATAACGAAATATTGCCCCAAGTTCCTAGTAGGTAATATTTATATTTAAGCAATTTTAAGATGTCAAACCTGCTGTATAAAAAACTACATATAAAATCACCAATGTGGGTTGTGTTCTAAATAAAGCGCCCTTGGGTGTTCTAATGCCCTCTGGGAGCACATGTACATGTCTATATTTACGTATAATTAATAGGCACAGCAGCGTTGTGAGCTTCCGCACACGTGTTACACATACAGAGATAGCCGTGTGTTCATATGAGCTTTTAGTAGTCTTAGGTCCTCATATCTTTGTGTATACTTATTTAGCTACCATCGCCACGGAAAACTGACATGTCCGGATGTCTTTGAAGTAAGTAGACTTTTTACACAAAACGTTCTGTACTTAAGGTCAGGAACTGGTGGTGGCGTTATGGCTGAGAGAAAAATACCGCATGATGTTCTTGTTGAAATTTTAAACTCTTCATGCCAGTTTGTGGCTAGTATTACACTGATAGCGTGTGTACAGATACTGCCTTGGTAAATACAACTTATCTAGATATCACAGTCTATTCATTATTTCTCGTCTGACAGGTCAAACCAACGTTCCTGTGTCATCTCGTACTATCTTCGTAAATTTTGTTGTAGCTAGTACTACAAAGATTGCTTTCTGTACTGACCGGGCATACTAATCAGATACGATGTAACTGATATTTTCAGGGCCCTGTGTATCGACTGCACAGGTACTGGTCACAATTTATACATAGTCGCCTTTCTCATAGGGAAATGAATTGTTGCTTGAACGACAGTAAATAGGTATACAGTGCCATAACACACCAACTCGGACTACATTTAGAAAACTATTTATATATAACATTCACGTAACCAACAATATGTTGGGGGATTTTGATTGAGTGACAGATTCTAAAGAATGACTCGTGGGGATGGAGGGGTTAGGGGTGGGGAGGAGGATGGAAGTGACAAGCAAAGGTAAATATCTCTTAGCATCTACTTAATTATCAGATTAGTAAGATTAAAAGAGGTTGAATATGGCCATTTTGTAGTAGTCCCATCAGATACTCTGATATATATGTAGAACATTTTTTATATTTTAATCACCATCTTACATACAACAACTTGGAATAGCTTTTTTTGTCCGCTATAAAGGGCATTCGGCGTCCATTGGCGTCCACCGGCCGAAGGGATTATCGAGACAACTTAATTTACACCACCGCTCTCGATTTAGATTTATAACTTTGTATTTGTTTTATGTTCTATGTATGTGATGTAATTTATGTAATATTTGTGTCTTGATAAAGGGACAGGTTGCTCGAAAATTTGACAATTCGCTTGTCCGTACTGTTGCTATTACTTCATTGATCATATATATACATATGTATATATATATATAAACATAACGAAACGCCATGACAGAATGATATCCAAACTGACATAGATTAATAGTATGTTGATGATTGTATACATACCATCGTTACAGTGATAATGGTGCATTCATCATATATTTTCTTTGGTCAAACGTATTGAAAACTATAGAATATATTGACTATATATATCAAACTATTATCTCATCAACCTGGCATGATTCGCAAATAATTAGAAAAAAATACCCGGCAGTATGGATGTCAGTGAAGATCAGTTTCCTGTGTGCTAATTTCCATAATCTCAGTAAATATATTCAACTTCACCTGAGTGTGATTAAATTGAGTTTTACTAACAATTGTGTAGGCGTTTAATATAAATTACTATTTTTATGAAGCGATGTAGATGTTTAAACTTGTTCTGACTGCGAAAGGGTTTTCAGTTTAAAATAACGTTAATTTGCTGTTATTTTTGCACGTGAATTATGTATTTACATTAAAGCCTATTCTTGAGCAAGGAATTATTTATATGGAAAATTGTTAGACAACTTTTAAAACATGGGTATCTCTTTAATAGGATAAGTGTTGACAAATTTCCACACACAAAACCTTACATTATAAAAGACTATTGACTGGTTGTATGAAATGGCGACTGATCACAAACAAGTTGAAAATGAGAAGTTAGTTGGAAGTAACTACATGTATATAAATTCCTCGAAAGTGTGGTAAATATTTGTTGTTGAAGAAATAAAGTTCCAACTCAGTTTTATCTGATAATATAGTTTTTGTGGGTTCAATTAAATTCAATCATTACCTGAAATCTTGCGGGTTATTAGTAGAGTGTATATATTTACGGTGCAGGTAAAAACACAACAACAAACCTAATCAAAATCTACAGAACAATTCATATATCAACCTGCACCTGGACATATATTTCTATCTATTCACATTTTCTTTCTGATACCAGTAGATTTTCTTAAATTCGAAAAAAAAAACTTCATTATATTCTGTTTCCAAGAGTTGAATCAATTTTGCCATATTTGGCTTAAAAAAAACTTAGTTATAAAACGTTTTCTACCTCCTTGTTGCTAATTACAGCTTAAGACGACCTTTACTGTAGTGTACACATATCGAGTATGTATGAGGAGTCACAAATATGCTCGTTACATATCCTACTTACATACTTTAATTTGTATATTGTAGGGCTGATGGGGTTGACAATGTTTACCTAGAAGATCTTACAAAAGATATATATTTATTTAATTCGACAGAACGAATAAGCGTTACACAAGACGTACAATGTACTGATACATCAATAAGTATTTCTTTACTCTTTATATATAATTCGTCTGGTTTCAGTTAGTCTGATGTTTGCACTAGTATCAAGTTTCAAGTTTTATTATATCCAAATGCAACACAGTACATAGGTACAAATGCACTGTAAACGTAATCAAATGATCAGAATTCATGTATGTAATGTAAAAGATGGCGGAGGACAATTCCACTCAAGTACACACACATATATGTTAGATATATATGTCTAATACATGTAGTACGGGTCAGTCACGTGATGAAATACTGTAAGTATGACGTTAATACAGACGTATCTGTGACGTCACGAAATAATGACAACAACATAGAAAAATAAAAAGCACCGTGGCATATCAATAAAGTACTATTTAACGAGTAATTGACAGATATCAAATAGCTGTTATTATACATTTATACGTATAACTCAATTAATCCTTTCAAATGATATTCCAATATAATGCATACTCAGAGAGGAAAGTTTTTCTTTCAGCATTAGCGCACAACAAATATTTACCCAGACTGTTTAAAGGTTTAACACTTTTCTTAAGGTATTCCCACCCTAATAGTCCATTATAATCCCGACGAATGCCGATGTTTGATATAGATCGTGAATTTTCGGAAGTCAAACAGTTCATGCCGTTAATTTTAGAGTGGAAAAGGCAAAACATATGCCTTCCCTACATCCTTTAATATCACAAGGCATTTTAAAACATGCTACTGCTGAAAATATTGCAGGCTCTGGCTTAAACTTCCAACATCTAAAAAAATATTCCAAAGGGATGGTGAAGATGGTCTGAGAGCAATATTTGTGCAAAAGAACTGTAATGGACAGCCGCGGATCTCTTCTGCAAAGCGTGTTCTGGATTCTGTAATTCCAAATTAATTAATTAAAACTTAGAAATATCTAATTACATGTGGTAAAAGTTTCTAAAAGTTATTTGAAAATTTGCAGAAGGTGTGCCAGCAAGTATTTAAACAGATTTTTCATTTGAAAACTCTCTTGTCACACTCAGTTTACCTTACAAAGTGTCTTTGTCACTTTTCTAAGAGTGACTACGAGGGTACCGAGATAACACTTTTTCGCATATCGTACATTGTATATGAATGTGATATGAATAGCAGCTATTTTATTATTCATTGCTGTTATTATGGTATGCAAAAACACATGTTTTTGTTTGAAATTAAGTTTTTTATTGGGCATACACTAATATTTTATTGTATCCAACCAGCATGCTATGTGACACCATTGAAGTACTTAATTTTTTGTTAGACGATAAATATGGTCAGTAATGGAGTATACAATGTGATCTTTATGAATTAGGTGAAAATTTTGATTTTGTCCCTATTAAAAGGCTTTACGGGCTGAATACCTTAAATCAGAATATGCTAGACAAAGTAGTACAAAATGTACAAAGTCTTCGATGTCATTTTTATCACACAGTGTACATACTCTCTGCGGTCTTGGGATGTTATAATAGCGCCCAGATTCTATGTTAAGATTGTGTCCTTGCATGCAAAATTGATTCAATAATGTTTTAAACTTATAAATAATGGACTTTAAGTACAAAAGGTGTCAACAAGTTGCTTGTACAAATAACATTTGGAAGTTACATCAAAGACACTGCATAATTATTGAATAAATACATCATGGACACGTTGAGCATACGTTTGCAAAAATATTTTTCATTTTGTATATATTGGCTATTCCAAACATAGTTAAAACCCGAAGTACATAGTTCATGCTTAATTTGGTAAACCCAATGAATTTTACAATTAGGTTTTCTAATATTCAATTCGACTAATGCGTCATAGCATGCCTTTAAAACACAGTTACTAGTATTTAAAAATTTAACCAGTATTTCATTATGGCTATTTTACGATCTCCCTGTTTCAAAGAAAACGAAAGAGGTATTGACATTTTTCTTAACATTTAATAGATCTTTGAGAAAACGAAGGTAGACCTTAATCTGTGGCGATTAATTATGTCCCCAAATTTCACGACCATAATTCAATATACATGCCACGTATGTATCTAATAATGACATTTTAGTTTCCGTATTAATGACAATATCCTTCTTTTTATGTGATAATATGCTTTTCTGCCTTGACATGCTGATGTATCTGGTGCTGTAGTAAATATTTCATTATATGTAAAAACAAATCCGAGGTAACAAAACATCAACCATTTCGATAGATTTGCCGTTCAAAGTCCAACTTTCAGAGGGTAACATTCTTTTTCTAAAAACAATATTTTTTTTCACTATATTAACAGTTCATTTTTCCCGTGCACCTATGTAAATAATCTAACATATACTGTAGGTTAGTACATCCTCCGAGAATACAACAATATCATCCGCGTACATCAACATAAAAAGGTTTATCGAATGTAATTCCTAACTTTGAAGATCAGAATTTATAAATTCACTTTCCATATCATTGACAAATAATGGAAAAAGTATCGAAGACAGCTGTTGTCGGATTCCCCTTGTAATAAACCGACATGTGTATCAAACATGGCGGGTGATTTACCATCTAATTTTACATATGAACGTACATTATCATAAATTGATTTAATTACATTAAGAAGTCTACCCCTAATACCGCTTCTCCGAAATTTATATCACAAATTCTGATGTGTCACACTATCAAATACCTTACCATAATCTACAAAAACGCAGTATAGCCCCTTGTTTCGTTCTATCGAGTTAATAATTAAACTATACAATGCGAAAATTGCGTCCCTTGTATCTGACCCAGGCTTAAAACCAAACAGGGCAAGAAACAATGTTTTCTCGTCTACTCCATCTTCAAAGAAGTTTATTTAACAGCGACGTAAACATTTTGGCTGAATGGCTAATTAACGTAATTCTCCGATAGTTACTGATGTTGTTTACATCGCCCTTCTTATGTAAAGGAATAATAACGTCTTGAGTTCATGACACTAGAAAATATCCTGTTTGTAACATAGTATTGAATAACCTTAATAAAACAGGTGAAAATCTCTTTGTACTCAATTCGTATTTTGTATTCGTTAGGTATGAAATAATTACCAGCAGATTTACCACTAGATAAACCTTTAATTACTTCTGATAATTCATCTATGTTAAAATCTAAATCTAATTCAAGAAACAGTGTTTTTGTCTTCCAAAATATCACCGCCATTGTGAGATACTACTTTGTCGCTGACCTTACTCTGACCTAGGAGTAGTATACATGTATATTTCAAACTACATGTAAATAATTTTTTTTATATTTACTTTACTAGAATAACATCGATATTTTTTTTTTATTTTGTGTATCAGATATGTCTCTCTAATCCAACCTAGATTAATTTGTCAACATTCTCTTGGATCAAGATATTTATGAAAAACACCGATTTGCCCAAATTTGATGTGTCCTACCTGTTTTTTTTAATAAATGCATAGGAACGGCAAACATTATGAAAAAATACCAATTATACTCCACTCCTTCTCCATTTCGTAGAAGTAAAAAGGAAATCGTATGCATTTGGACACATTGGGTCTAATTTTGCTGAAAGACAGACAGATGGATAGAAGGATAGAAAAGATTAATAGCGAGACCAACATTGGTTTCATGTCAGTATGATTAAACTTCATGTATTTAAATTTCTCATATGATGGATGTCCATACCACAATTGTGAAGTTATCTAGGGAGCAGGCTTGGAGCGTCTGTAAAATCCTTTATACACAATTCTATTATTCACGTTTTGAAACACACAAAGATAGATTACTTGTTATGATGGTCTGTCTGTGAACCACTTATGTCGATTGATTTAATGATAAACTGGTGGAGTCAACGCCTCTCCGAATCGGTACAGTATTTTGAAGTGCTTCATTTCTCGGTTACACAAGTTATTGCTGATGTTATCAGTTAATACTGAATTACCATAGATTCAATTATAAAAACCAGTAAAACCAATTTTGTTTTGATTACGAATCCGACATAAGAATTTAAATGGTTAGTGTACAAGTAAAAAGAAATCTTTCATTTAAATAAAGATAATTATTTTGTTTTCAATACAGATAGTTGTCGTTGGGTGTAGTTATATAACCATACGTTCCGTAGTTTGTGGTCATCAAGCTACGGTTGTGTTTATAACATCAGTGCATGTTCAAATTTGAGAGAAAGACGAGATAGGATAAAATCTAGGTCAGTGTTGCGTGAGGATACTTAAAGAGGTTGAGGACAAAAGGTAAGTACAAAGGTCACCAGTATTAATGTAGATAGTAATAAACAGGAGCTCTGTGGAATAATATATTCATTCTTACATAGTTCATTGGAGTGTGCCAGTCAGGTTCTCAATGTGTATAATTTATACGTGTGATACTGACACACGCTTTACCCCACTGTAGCTGGTATTGTTATTCGAACGAGCCGCATAAATCGCATAAACCCAGATGTTTGTTAACTTACATTTGGCTAATTACCACGTGACATGTGACACACATCGATGCGCAGTATAAAGGTTTTTTTTTTTTTATAATTATGATTTATAAGACAAAATTATTTTGTAAATAAACCCTCATTAACCTACACGTGAGAACCGTCTTTTATCTGCTGTAGTCGTTTACGGTGAATGATTGCACTTCACCAACTTCTTTCTGTTTGCTTTATAATGATCCGAGTTCTTATAACACAACCAGTGGAAGATTGGAAAAATGACGTTTTGATGTCTACACGGTCACCTTCATCTTATAACACAACCAGTAGAAGGTTGGAGTGTGACATTTCGATGACTACATGGTCACCTTCATCTTATAACACAACCAGTAGAAGGTTGGACTGTGACGTTTCGATGTCTACACGGTCATCTTCATCTTATAACACAACCAGTATAAGATTAGAGTGTGACGTTTCGATGTCTACACGGTCACCTTCATCTTTTAACACAACCAGTAGTAGATTAGAGTGTGACGTTTTGATGACAACACGGTTACCTTCATCTTATAACACAACCAGTAGAAGATTAGAGTGTGACGTTTCGATGTCTACACGGTCACCTTCATCTTATAACACAACCAGTGGAAGGCTGGAATGTGACGTTTCTATGTCTACATGGTCATCTTCATCAGACAGTTGACGCAGGTTGGTTGGTTGGTTTTCCGTCTCCGTGACTCCTCCCGTGTCCCGGATATCGTCTCATCGACTAACGTCAGTGTTCTGGTGACGTGTGACGTACTTAGTATACGTCATACTCTAATCTTCTCCTAGTTGTGTTGAAAGAGCTTCATTCTGTTGACAATACCAACATGAAGAAAATGCTCTGAAAATAAATCTCACAACTACATAGTTTAATACATGTAAGAAATATGGCACTGCTTTTGATACAAGAAATAATGGTCTGTAGATTGTTCAAATCACTATTTATGTTACGTTTTAAACTAAAAAAAAAAAATCCTGAAAACACTGTCATCATTACCGACAGTGTTATTCGGCAAAATGAAACAGCCGTGTACCGACGCCGTTTCTATGCCAACAATAATGACATGCTAATTGTGACAAGCTTTTTCCTGTTTATATAGTGGCTTTGTCGTTCAAATATCAACAATATGAATGTCATTTATGCCGCCTACGTTTAACCGATATTTCTTTATTTGATTTACCAGAAATAGTTTGTGATTTGCTGTTTATTCATGATGGGGCTCTGTTCCATTCCCAACCAAAAACGGACCACCATAAACATTCAATCATCTAAAAAAAGAGCATTTATCGAAATATAATTTAAAATGTAGCAAATAAAATTGAAAAATAAATAATAGCAAATTGCTCTAAAATCTAACAAATTGCTTTGTTTATTTTCAGAATAACCCATGCAGTTGATGACCTATCGAAAGATCGAATGATGTCATCCAACCCATAATGCACATCGAAGACCGGTCAAAATCTTCAGCGTCTTCGAATTCATATACATTCGTCAAAAGATTCAATCGCCAGCGTCATAATCGTCATTAGATCCAGCTGTTTTCGTCAGAATCGTCATAAGATCCAGCTGTTTTCGTCATAATCGTCATAAGATCCAGCTGTTTTAGTCAGAATCGTCATTAGATCCAGCTGTTTTTGTCTTACAAGCTCACTCTCCATATAAGGTTAACTTCTCTCCCTATTGGGTTCAGATACGTTCACCATGGGAAGTTTCCCGGGCCATGCTTTGCCCGGATCGTTCTTCATTGTTATGGCGCTATGGTGGACGGTGAACATTGTGTATTATTTCAACAAAGCGCGATGGACTGGGCAGACCTACGTATCTCGATCTAACTTCATGGTTTATCGACAAATTGGCTCCTTCAACATCATACCCATCGAAGCTATTTTCAAAATAGTATTTGCAATTATAGGAATGCTAGGAGAATTCTTTTGGTCTTTGAAATATGACTTTGGCTTACCCGTTGGAAATGCACAGCATATGACGATGTTTGCGTTTTTTGGAATTTCGGGCTTGTGTGATATAATAGCCCATTACAAAAAGAGCGATGTCCCTCCAAATATTGACTATGTTGCCGTAATTCTTGCGTTTCTGGTCGAGGCTTTGTTGTTTAATTTCCATTTACAAGGACGATCTTCTCTCGATGTCACCATACACACTCTTCTGGTGTACGTCATCTTGTCTAATGCTGTCTTCGTCGGCATTGAATTGACGACAGGTAACAATGCGCTGGCTAGTTTGACCAAGGCACTCTCCTTGCTCGTACAAGGTACGTGGTTTTGGCAGATTGGATTTATTCTTTACAGTCCGACACGAGCGCCATCTACATGGCACGCTGAAGATCATGATCATGTATTTCTAGCAGTGTTGATTTTTGTATGGCATGTTGCCATTGACATAGCGGTTTTAGCGGGAACAGGTTTCGTAGTTACTCTCGTCCAGAAAAGATTGTTTTATGAAACGGGTGGCTATAGGATCGTGGACATTTCGGATTCTCAGTATTCTAGAACAATGTTCCTTGGGAAGGAGGATGTGCTGACAGACGAATCAGACTCGAGCTGAAGAATTCTGAAAGTTGGAAGACAAACACGAGTTTTCACGTGTTGGTAAAACCTATAGTTTCACTTCGAAAATAGACTTATTTTGTTTGTACTTTAAAAGATCTTTCATCTTATTTGGTCTGTACTTAAGTGATATTCCATCGGACAAACCTGCCAACTATAAATAGCGAATACATTCACATATAAATGGGGATTTTTTTCATATTTTCTTACATAGTGCCTTTGTGTTTCATTGGTTATAGATTTGAAAGAATATCACAATTTTTTATTCAAACTATTAATGTACCATTAGGTGCTGGATACTGACCAGTGGTCACTGTGTTTATTTTAAGTCGACAATAAAGACTCATTCTGGAGGACATTTATCCCAACGTGTAAAATGCCTTTTACTTAGATGATGATCTCAAATTTTTTTTTCCAGATTTTGTATCTAGAATGTATTCGGATTTACCTGTACTGAAATTATACGGACAACATGTTATGATAGTTGTAAAAGCAAGTCCATTGGTATCTAAGTTGAAATTGATAACAAGAAATGTTGATATTTGTGACATTTTCATCGAGTGAAATTTCACAATTTCACCTGTTTGCGAGAGTTTTATGAAAATTTGTCAAACTTGTATGTCTTTCGTACAGTCTAAATATTAGAGCGAGAAAGAAGAACACTTTGATCCTTCTGGTTACTCACTATATCTAGCATAATAAGTGGCTTTTCTCTTGTGTGCCTTTTTCGCAATACATCGATCAGTAGTGACTTTGTAATTCATCGATCAGTGGTAAGTTTGTAATTCATCGATCTGTGGTAACTTTGTAATTGATCGATCTGTGGTAGTTTTGTAATTTATCGATCTGTGGTAGTTTTGTAATTTATCGATCAGTGGTAAGTTCGTATTAACTGTGTTAGACATGTGAAGGCATACTACACGTTTTCCCAACGCTGTAGTAGAAGAAAAACAGAACAAAAACCACAGACTAATATCTAACAGATATAATTTCAGAAAGGATGTTGGGACAAATAGCATTGGGCATCATTGAGATAGACGTTGACAGAGAATGGTGAAATGCTAACGAGTTGAAAATTTAGACGAGTTTTGCAAACGAATGAATGTTCGCTGCTTGTTAATTAGTACAAACAAAATACTAGAAGACAACGACAATGAAACTATGTGCCTCCTCATCTAGATTTTTGACAGATTTTCCCAACACTTTCCTTCTAGATTTCAAAACTTTCACCCTTAGCATCATTAACGAGTGCTAGAAGGACGAAACAGCTGTATGATGTAGCATCACTGACGAGTGCTAGAAGGACGAAACAGCTGCATGATGTAACATCACTGACGAGTGCTAGAAGGACGAAACAGCTGCATGATGTAGCATCACTGACGAGTCCTAGTAGGACGAAACAGCTGTATGATGCAGTTTAATTCATTACTTTGCGCTACTGTATCTGATTCTAAATTATATTAAAAAACCTATTCACATGTGTGTCTTTTGTACAAACATGAATTACTTGAAATGAATTAATTACTTTAAAATGAAATATTTCGTGAGGTTCAATTTTCACGGATTTTCATGAAATATTTTTTTTATCATAACCCAGTAAATCTGGGTAAACTAATTTTAACAGTTTGTGGACATGTCATTGTTGTTTCAGAGTACCTCGAAATGAACAAAAATAAAACTCCCATGAAAATTAATAATTTCACAATTTTCAAAAAATTTCAAAGAATCATTTCTTTTGTCGTTTTATCCAAACCTTTATCAAAGATAGTAAGCGATTCAATGGTGATGTCTTTGACGGAGATCTTTCTCCATTGCTTCATCCTTCATTTCCGTCGTCTAAATTTTAATTTTCTCCATCACTGTTTATAAAAAAAAAGAGATGAATATGTTTGATATCGCTGTCATGGAACTTTTGTAATGAAACGTTTTAGAGAGGGCTACTTTTAGTAATGCCAACTTTGTAGTTTCGACAATGAAAGGATGTTTAAACGAAAGTTATATTTTATTATGTCCCAAATAAATATTCAAGCTTTGTACTATGGAGTTAAAATTGTCACTTCCTAGTTTTGATGACATGAACTTGGAAAACCGGTGGAAGATCGATTTTTTTTTTAAGAATTGAGGATATTTGTGTGAGAGAGAGAGAGAGAGAGAGAGAGAGAGAGAGAGAGAGAGAGAGAGAGAGAGAGAGAGAGAGAGGGGGGGGGGGGGGGGGGGGGGCTTGCTAAGGTTTAATTCATTTGAATGGTGGCACGGTTCAGGTTAGCATTCAGGTTTTAACATTTATTTTTACCAATATGGATTTTCCTCAGTCATCTACTCAATTTAGCATCACTGATGAGTCCTACAAGGATAAAACTGCTACTGGGATGCAGTTTAATTATTTATCTCTAATTCTATGTTTGTATTGAAAGGTGTGTTTCTATTTCGTGTCTTTAGGACAATCCCAGTAGATGGCTGATGCATCCAATAAAAATGGATTTGTTGTGATTATTTCAAGCATGGGTGATATTTTTAATCTCATTTCCGTATATACATTTTAAAATGCTTTTTAGTACCCAGGCAAGTAATTCCAAAGTTTTTCAGGAGAAACATGACATTAATAATGAAACTAAGCGTTCCAAAAAATTTCGGTCACTTTCTTTTCGATCCATCAAGTACGCTGATAAAACCTATGGCAAACCTATATAATTAAAATTATGATGTTTGATAGTGATGTATATTTCTCTATTTTCTTCAAATATCCTACAGAGAACAGAAATTCAGTGCTATGACAGGAAACATTAATTTACCGTAAATGAAAGCTGACTACTGTTTAATGGTGATGAAACTACTAACTGTTTGTCATGACAAAAGTGGATATCATACTAAAATATTTCCTTATTTCGGTACCTGTTATATGGAAGCCAGTTAGGGTCACAAGAAGAGAAAAAAAAATGATGTCGTAATAACGACTTAGTCATGTTGTAGTAACGATTTAGTACATTATAAATTGTTATTACGACAAAGCTTAATCGTTGTTACGACAAAGCTAAGGTAGCAGTACACAGTTTCTCGGTGTGGCCATGGGTGTTTTTTTTTGCTCATTAGATTACCCCATTATAAAGGTTTTAATCAAAATTTATAAAATATATCCTTGCTAAAGTTGGTCTTGTCATGTTGAAGTGGACAATGTGGTGTTTCATTTTTTTCAGAATAATATTTTAGCTTGTGTTAGAGATTACTATTTGGGCAGTCTCGAATCTGTGTCTACGCACCAAAAACCAGCTTTACAAGAACAGAAATTTTCATAGTGTTTACATGTTGTCATGTTATGACGGATTTCCGAGTTTGAATTGCTGAAATGTCAGTACTTTGTCATCATGACGATGTTGTTGATTTTAAGATAGGTGTTTAGAAATAAATTTCCGTTCCAGAAAGTTGAAGTGTTAGGCTGGAATTAGCAGTATTTTTGCATTTTTAGCATGTTTTTCAGTAGGTAACCATGGCAATCACATGTCAGAAATCAGTGGAAATGTTTGATTTACACAAATTTTATCTCTCTACTATTAATGTAGTTTATAAATATATATACATGTAATGATATATTTTTCATAACCAAATTGCTATGCCTGTATATTTCAAACATGACCAATAATTTCAGGAAAAAATGCAAATTAACTGTTTCCTGCTACCTAAGTCATTATTACGACAAAGCCTAATCGTTATTACGACAACGCTAAATCGTTATTATAACAAAGCTAATTCGTTATTATAACAAAGCTAAATCGTTATTATAACAAAGCTAAATCGTAACTTCAGTAAAGGTACGTCATCACGCTATTGAAGCCTCAGATAGCACTGAAATAACCAGCAACTTATCAAACAGGACAGTATATATACAGTTCGATTTAAGTGGAACTATTATTGATTCGATGGATATATTCTGTAAACTTGGTGACTATTTTCTTTGTGTACACACAGTTATGTAAAATTCCAACACACCTAGATGACGACTCGAATATGACGAGTTACAGATGTATGACGAATACGATTTGTACATGTCTATCAGTCAGATAATTAAGTTTCTCCTTGGTGAAGTATTGAAGTATACCGTTTATAAGACAGGGCTCTTGTTTCTGTTAATGTTGTATTTACCAATTAGTTTCCCGATAACATCACAGTTACAACCGACTTACGTGAAAGGATTGGTGTGCTACATCACTTCGTATGGGTTGGAACATTTATTTCTGTGTTCTTTCCGTCTGAACTCTGATATCACAAATCTGATGGCTTCAGACAGACAGGAAAAGTGTCATGCAACCGTAAAATATGGTTAAAGTGGTTTCCATGGTGATTATTTTAATTGTTTATTGAAGCCAATGGACACATGGTGTGGGGGAAATAATTGTTTTATTTCTCACCTGTATACTTTGATGCTGGCTTTAATTCTTCCCGTATCATTTGTTCTCGTTTCTTTGTTTGAAATATAGCATTGTTTTTGATTGTTCATTACTTATATAATACATCAATATACGTGGATAATGGGCCAGCGTTTTGTCGGGTCGAGATCCGTCCGATAGATTTTAAAACATGTCCAGTTTACAGGGAATGTTTATTACACTAAGTTTTACGTGTAATAATCGTGCGATCAGATATTTGTTCACTGAAAAAGAAAACGGAGTCCACCTAGTCAAGCTCTAGTGGTACTCGGCAGATAACCCATTCATTCTATAGTAACAGCAGGTTAACGAGTGTAATGGCGACTGTTTAGTTTAGATAAACAATCTAAACATTTAGGTTTCCAATTAGACTAACTAAGGCTTGGGTGTCTTTATTTATAACAATATTTGTTTGTTTTATTATTTATATCATAAAAAAAACAATTAAAAAATGTCTCATTGAAATGCCACGATTTTTCCTGGTTATGATCAGTGCAAGGAGGGTGAAAGTTAAAATATCAAGTTTTTTTTTATCAGAAAAGAAATTTTACCAATTCTTGATTCTGGTTAATTCAGGGCTTTTCAGCAAGTTCTAACCACAATGCAACATTGTGAAAATATTCTTACATTTTAAACAACTTTCAGTTTCCTATGATTATACCGGGAGCATTGCTTTACCACGACTGGTAATAATAAAAAGTGCAGCTTGATGCATGTTATAAAGTTTCCCAGGTAACGATATTCACTTAAACATAAATGATAAATGAACTACAGCTATTAGCACTGGAAAACATTTGTCTATAAAAAAAATACTGTATTTTCTTGTGTGATATGAAATTGGTAGTTAGTGTGCCCGATGGTTCCTTTATTTTTAACTTTGTTGGAATTAGGCAACCTATCATTACTTATATTACCCGTAATCGATGACGCTGAAGAAGTTTGCCATTTTGCAACACTTGATCTTAATATCCTTGTATTATTTCGGGCCTCTATTTATTCCATGTTCTTTGGTTGTTTAGTTGTGATAGCAAGTCATTCACTAGTGTTTTAATCTTACATATTGTTTTTATATTATAAAATGTATATTTATAAAAGAATATGATGCAATACAATGTGTATGATACATTACAAAGTATATCAATGAGTGATCGCTGTATAATTGGTGCCTATAGGGCACAATCCATAGGACGAGTGTCGATCATCAATACAACATCTACTGATGTACGACTATTTGTAGTGGTATTTAGATAAATGCTTTAAAATATGGCTGTTTTATCAAGTATCCAACATTAGCATCTGGCGTTCTGTAAGTACACACCAATAAAAACCCCTTGTCATTGTAGTGATAGACTCCAATCATTTCAATGTCATCATGTTTAGTGGAGTTGTCTTAAAATAACAGCTGAATCTTTGTGATGAATTAATCTACATCTATCAAGAATGGCAATGTGTTTCAATTATTTCAGAAAAACACACAGTGTGAAACAACACAATAATACAAGTCTTTTATCTATCAGGTAGTGTCAAGGACGATTTGCTTGTGTGATATAAAAAGTAGTGTCAAGGACGATTTGCTTGTGTGATATGGTAGTTAGTGTGCCTCATGGTTCCCTTGATTTTAACTTTGTTGTAATTAGGGAACACATCATAACTTACATTACCGTAATTGTGTTGTAAATGACGCTGAAGAAGTTTGCCTTTTGGGACCTTCTAGCCACCTATAATTCTACAACCACATGGACAAACAGAGAACACTGCATCATAACATTGAAGTTCAATCAACCCTTAGGGCCAGGTGAGCAATTAAACTCTTCAAACAGTATTGTCTCTTATAAGCTGCAGAGCTGGTGGGTTATACAGCTTGCGGTTCTGGAGTCATTCTTTTTGTATAAGTATGTAGCTATAATTTGGTCTTCATCTGCTTATCAAGCTAACAGTCTTGCTTTGATACAACTTTCTCTTCAGGAGAAGTAACGATAATTAACTACATTTTCAAGATGGCAATACACACACAATACTTACAGCAATTCCTGGATGTCTCAATATACAACAAAGTTTGTGGTAATGTATGGTTTTAAAATGTAAAAGTGCTAGTGTTAAGGGGGTATGTAACACAGAATGAGGTCCTGAAATCACTGTATAATAAAAAAAATAGTCATTGAAAATACATAATCTTTTTAATGTTCAGCACTATTTCATTACAAATAAAAATCACAAAACATAAATCACTTGCATACATAAAGAGGGTTTTCCTGTATCTATCACATACACCTGAGCATACTTTTCATTCTTCCTTACCACTTTAAAGAAAGTAAAAATTGTCTGCAGTTACTTTATCACTGCAGATAATTCAGGCAGGGAAAAGGATTCACAGACAGCGCCAAATAGTATTGAAAGTAAAATTAGTCTATTGCACTTGTTTCCAATCAGTTGGTTCAGGTGTACCAAACCAAAAATAGTAAACACTCACTGAAGTTAACATATCACTGTTCAAGTCAGTATTTCTTTCAGCTAGATTTTCTTTAAGCTCTTTTCAATATCCACCAGCAGTTTTTGTCGTAATGGAGGAAGTATGTCATATAACTCCATCCCATAATTCCTGGAAACATCTGCTGTTTTGTAGAACAATAGGTGTTGTCTCACTTCCTGGAGAAGAAGAAAATGGCAACATTACAGTATTGTGTAATTGATATACCACACAATTGAAGAGAAGATGGGACCAGCCAACTTTACACAAGAAGGACTCCCACTTCAATCAATGCAAAGTTTCACATGACATGTTGTGTCAATGATGTGAACAGATTATCTTCTGACTTCTAAAATTCATTTTTTAATAGACATGTCTTTGGGGCCCTGACAGGGTTGCAGTGCATGTTGTGTTTAATCTATAACATGATTCATTTTGAGACATGAGGAATTGGACACTCTATTTCCTGGCTGGCAGCAGTGTCCCAGAGCATGCTGAGTTTGAGCTAAAGTAAAGTAAGTTTTTCAAGACATGAGGAGTTGGACATACCGTTCTTTGGCTGGCAAAGGTGTCGCGAAGCATGTTCTGCTTTAGCTGAGTGTGTTTGCCATCCTGGGTGTAACAGAAACGGTTCACATGATGAACAGCTGTGAGATAAAATACTGGACACCAGCGAGGTTGGACACTTCCAGACAGCAAGCCTTCCAGGTACAGACGAAGCATCTCTAGGTCTGACTCCTCTGGTGTCAGAAAACCCTCAATGGGGATCAGCAGCTAAAATAGTAAAACAACGTAATGATCAACAGGTGCAGTAAGAATAAGAGGAGATAACTCCTCTTAAACATTTAAGCATAGAAAAAAATATCATTGATCCTGGTCTTAAAGAACTGGTTTGTTGGTACTTTAAATGTAACCTTTCAGACAGAAATCAAGATGGACCTACAAGTGTTAATACATGCCTTGAAAAGCTTTGTTGAAGCTTGCCAGAAAACAAAATAAGATAAGTAGGTCTGTCTGTATCATAAATGATCCAACTGGTCAAACCGATAAATAAATGCACTAAATCCAAGCGTAATGCAGTGCCTGTAAAATTTCATGAATTGTATAAAATTTTTACGAGGACATCAGTATTTCCGTTTCAAAGCAGATTGCCGCACCCCTACCAATACATTCAACTTTTGCTATAAAAGTGAAGAGAAAAAATATCTATTTATATGGATATCGTACAAACATGTAAACATGTCTCCATGTATGATCTTTGCCATACTGAAGTCGTATTTCTTAATAGATACTACTCAGCTTAAGAATGTTTTAATCTTGTCTTTGCATAATTACCAATTGGAAGTATTCGCAAAAATTTTCCGCGTCTCGTAAATTAGGCAAATGAAGCATATATTGGGGCTTTAACAGAAGACTGATCTGACATTCAACAATCCATTTGTAATGTTTATGTTCTAACCTCTTTAACAGGAAGGTATAGAGTTCTCAGTATACCCCGATACTCCACCCAAACCGCCCGCCTCAGCTGTATTGCATGTCTCTGTTGTAGAGGAAGCAGCAAGTAACATCCAAATAGAGAGTCCCCAAAGGATACAGCCTCATACTGCTGGAGTAAGGCCACATATCTGTAACACAAGTACCACTATGATTGGTTAAAACAGATCACATGACCATTTGAAATATCATCTTCTTAATAAACAAGCTTACAGGTTACTTTTCACATCTGGCTGGGTAATAATGAAACTATTTTAATGTTTTTGCTTATCCAGAGACATTATCCATGATTGGTTAGGTAAAACCTTAAGACAGTGTTAGACTTCAGATCATTTTATGATCCTGGTGCCTCATCAATTCAGATGTACATGCTTTTAATGAATTCCTGCCATCATTTCAATCGGACTAATCCATTACTAGCCGTTCAGGTTCACAATTAACCGAGTTGGTGGAAAAAAGAAACTAAGGCAAGGACTTACAAGTCATAGAAGGACACAAGTCCAGGGATATCTTCCTCAAAGTCCAGCTTGTTTAGAAGAGTTGGTGTGGTGTAGCGTTGTAGCAGAGCCTCTAGATAACAATGGACGGTGCGGTCAAGGAAGAGATCATTACCTACAACCAATGAAATAACATCAGCTTTAATTACATATTGTTAGTCCAGATAATTCTACAGCAGAATACTTTGTTGTATAAGACAACAGATTTTACACTATAACCTTACAGTTCTTTAATCACAATGGTTAATGTGCTTTATTTATACCAGAAATGTTGGTTAGTATTCAATGGTCTGTATATCTGTATCAGCTTTAAAGATAACCATGGAATATAGCAAATTATAATCTCTATACCCAATTGTTTCAGGAGTCTCTGTTCAAATTTTTCTAATGTTCAGATTTTGCCTTCATTTTTATTGAATATGAGTATGGGTAATGATTTTGGTGATGTGTTGGTATTTTCTTGTTGTTTTAAATTCTCAGAGTGAGAAAACTATTAGTACGTTCCATGATGAGGTTGAGATGTGTGATAACGATTTAAATACATGATTATTTAACACAATCAGGTAATTTCAAAACAATTTGTGTTTCCATAGATAAAAGATTTGTAAATTCCTAATAAAAGCAAACAACATTAAGGTTTGTATAACTTTGGGGGCTGTTTATTGAAATTTAATTTTGTATAATCTTGGGGACTGTTTACCATGAAACAGGACAAGCTACATACCTGTGAGGAAAACACACATGATGCGTGACATTTTGAGTGTGATGGAGATGGTGGCCATTTTATCTCCCTGGCAGACCTCCAGTAGGTAAATCCACTGCAGGACAGCGGTCACTGTGTCCAGTTGACCCACAGACAGAGCATTCTGGACATCTCCGCCCCTGTTCGCCACAAACTTTATACATTCATACTCAGTGACCTCAAATTGCTCCTTTTCAACATTTACATACCACAGTTGTTTCATATCATTTCCAGCAGTATGATAGCCAGTTTTATAAATGTGTCTGAATTTGAAGTCATTGGCATTCTTCAAACCCAGTTTTATACAAATTAGACAAACAATGTTTCAGAGACAACTGGGTTTCAACCCAGTTTTGTATAAGAAAGCCGTTGGACGTTACCATCACTTAAAAGTTCACAGTAAACTCAGCAAGGTTATATTTCCACAGAAAATGTTAATGTTTAATATTTTCTTTTAAAAAGTTATTGGATTATCATATAATCTATGTATGTATTACATAGAAAAAGAAGACGAAATTCCCACCCGTCGTGCGTGTTAAGTTATACTCACACAGAGCTGAAGACATTGTACAAGTTAATGAGTGGGACAAACATCCAGTCACAGGGCATTAAACACTCGCCAGACCGTGAAGTAAAAAACTTATCTGTCTCAAGGGGAATCATCGTAAAACAATATCTAAAACAGAACAAAATTTTTTAAAAATGCAATTTTAAAACAATATCTAATAGAAAAACCAAACATTTTTTGAACAATGCATTTAATATACTGAATAGAAATCTAACACAGATAGTGTAAATAAACACAGACAAAAACAGAACAAAGTTGACCTTTGACTAATACTTCATTCTGGCCTGAATAAAGTGAAGATTATTATTTTGATAATTTCTGATCATCATTATTTTTACCGATAGACTAAAGTTGCGAAAAAACGAGAAATATAGGTAATAAAAAAATTAAAATAGGCAATTACATGAACTCTGTGTTTTTTTTTTGTTTTCTTTTTTCATTTTAAACTTTACATACAATTTTACATGTAAACTCACCTGGATTTGTGCACCATTTGCTCGCGATCACTGAATGACTTGAGGTAAGTGGCACGGAGTGTGTTCAGTTGAGTATGACATCCTTGTAACAGCTCTCTCTGTGGTGCGGGGTCCTCCTGTGTTACCTGCGTCACGTGCCGAGTGTCCGACAGCTTGAGATCAGCTAATTCCCCACATGCTCTGTCATCACTCTCAAGTCTACAACAGATTGATATTTTTCCATTGAAACTTACCATTGAACCAGGACACAACATGACTACAAGGACATTGTGTATACAGCACGTTTATGCAACATACAAAGTGTGTTTGGCTACTGGTCAAATGCCTATTAATTCACACTAATATGTTGCTATGAAATTCTGGATAGTCTCTACAAATTTTTACATCCTCTCATTGAATCTGAAAAAAGCCATATCCTGATTACAGGATTTTAGAGTGTTCAATTTAGAAAGGTTATATTTTGTTTAAGTGTACCTCCATAAGCTGGGACTGAACACAATCGTGGACAGAATGTCGTGAACAATATGCTCACTTCCATAGTGGAGTCTCATCAGCAAGGTCAAGGTCAGTCTTTGTATCACAGAAAGGTTAAGCTGTGTCTGCTCCAGGTCCTGCAAATCCGATGATTAGTGATGTTTAAAAGGTCCACATCTCATTCATACTAATAGTTATTGTTTATCACTGAAGTTTACAAATTTTTCTTTATTATTTTATCATTTCCACTACATAAACAAACACTTCAGACAAGGTTTAATAAAAAAAATTAATTGATGTTAAAATGAATTAAGAACTGTAAACCAATATCAATATACAATGTATTTCAAAATTTTCAAAAGTAGAACACTGTATATATATATATATATATACATATAAACCTTTGTATGATAAATAAAGCGACCTGATGGTCAGATGGAAAGGAAATACAAAGAGATACAAAGATACAAAAAGATAAACAACCATCTCCCTCTTCCTCCAGGAGTGTTAACTACTTACCGACATAATCACCAGCTTCAGGTAGAAATAATGCAGAATGTTTTCAAACTTGGTAAAGTAGTTACCATGGAGATGGGATGTGCTAACAGAGGTCTTTTGTAGGTAAATCCATAGGTCTTTGTGACTCAGTACCCATGGTAGCACCTGTAGTTGAAAAGACATTAACATTAGCTTAAAGCTCCACAATGACCTAAAACCTAAACTAAATATTCTCTACTTCAAGGAAATGTCCACTATGCATACTACATAATGTACATAAGTGTAGAATCTGAGAATGGCTGTCACCAGGCTGTAGGACGTCCTGTGTATAGATACTAAATTCACCCTGACTTGGATGCCCCTGTGTATACTACACAGTGTACAAAGATGTCTCGAGGATGGCTGTCACCAGGATGTAGGACGTCCTGTGTATAGATACTAAACTCACCCTGACTTGGATGCCCCTGTGTATACTACACAGTGTACAAACATGTCTGAGGATGGCTGTCACCAGGCTGTAGGACGTTCTGTGTATAGATACTAAACTCACCCTGACTTGGATGCCCCTGTGTATACTACACAGTGTACAAACATGTCTGAGGATGGTTGTCATGTGGCCATTGGGCATTCTGTTTATAGATACTGAACTCACCCTGACTTGGATGAACCTTTGTATACTACACAGTGTACAAACATGTCTGAGGATGGCTGTCATGTGGCCATTGGGCATTCTGTTTATAGATACTGAACTCACCATGACTTGGATGCCCCTGTGTATACTGCAAAGTGTATAAATCTGTCTCATTATGGCTGTTACTAGGCCGTATGGTGTTCCTGAGGTAAGAATTGGATGTTGGCCATCATCAAGCTCTGTGCATCCCAGATCTGGAACACTGGGTGTTATCTCCAACACAGGGGATTTAGATCGAGACAACAATTGGGAATGATTGCTGCAATGATATAAACATTATTATCAAATGATGATTATTTAGTAAGTGGAGCAAAGTACTGACTACATACATATATAGCTAGAGGGGCATTGACTAAATATACATATAGGGAGCAGCACACAGACCTGATACTTACACAGCTAGGGGGCAGCACATAGACTTGTTACTTACACAGCTAGAGGGCAGCACTCAGGCCTGATACTTACACAGCTAGGGGGCAGCACACAGACCTGATACTTACACAGCTAGAGGGCAGCACTCAGGCCTGATACTTACACAGCTAGGGGGCAGCACACAGACTTGTTACTTACACAGCTAGAGGGCAGCACTCAGGCCTGATACTTACACAGCTTGGGGGCAGCACTCATACCTGATACTTACACAGCTATAGGGCAGCACTCATACCTGATACTTACACAGCTAGGGGGCAGCACACAGACCTGATACTTACACAGCTAGGGCGCAGCACACAGTCGTGGCAGCACACAGACCTGATACACAGCTAGGGGCAGCACACAGTCGTGAGACTTACACAGCTGATACTTTTTCACAGCTAGAGGGCAGCACTCAGACCTGATACTTATACAGCAAGAGGGCAGCACTCAGGCCTGAAACTTACACAGCTAAAGGGCAGCACTCAGACCTGATACTTACACAGCTAGAGGGCAGCACTCAGACCTGATACTTATACAGCAAGAGGGCAGCACTCACCCCTGATACTTATACAGCAAGAGGGCAGCACTCACCCCTGATACTTACACAACTTGAGGGCAGCACTCACACCTGATACTTCTACAGCTAGTATAAACCTGGTACTTGCACAATTAGGCGGCAGTACCGAATGTATCCTTGCTAACACAACCTTGAGGAATTTAACTGACACCATTAGCTTTAAGAGGTAGCACTGACCTGAGATTGGAGAAAATGACCTGGAAACCAAAGCCGAATGTATCCTTGCTAACACAACCTTGAGGAATTTAACTGACACCATTAGCTTTAAGAGGTAGCACTGACCTGAGATTGGAGAAAATGACCTGGAAACCAAAGCCTGACCAACATGGCTCCAGAACGGTGGAAAGATAATCTTCTACACTCTGCAGACTGACAACAGCACTGACAGATACCTGTGACTGCCAGCGAGCATAGTAAGATGTTACAAAGTTGATACAGGCCACAGCCAGCTGAAGGCTCTGCTTCTGTTAATACAATACAAGGAAAGGTTTTCAATTTGAGACAGTGACATGGAAATTTATAAAACACTAAATCAGGTTAAAATGTAACATCATATTCTACATTCTACATCTACATTTATTTCTACAACACAATTTTGCTCATGTTCAGACATTTTTTGAAATAGCGGGAAATGCCAATTATTATTATTAAGAGGTCTAGTATTCTACAGTTGCCATATTACCAGCTAAAATCTATGTTTTTACATAATCTATTTATCATCTATGATCAAAACACACAACTGACCTTGATTTGGTAGGTGTCCTTGATCTCAGACAAGTGTTTCTGTAGGACAGATATCAATGGCTGTAGAAGGTCAGCAACATGACCCCAATTTACGGTTGGCATGGCAACCGTCTCAGTCTTGGAAGTCTCTGGTGACATACCATCTGCACTGGTGTTGAAATTCAGTGGAATAAAAAGTTGACAAAATAGGTGAAATAATGTCACATTTATTTTCTCAGCATTTTCAAGTGCGATTATGATATATGAATTATTTGGTTCAGAATAGTAAAATAAACAAAAAGGAAGACAGTCTTTTTTCCTGGAGGTAAAAATGGTCACAGAATATCACTTGCCCATAATTTTTTGTTTTCCTTGAATAGAAATTAGGAACTTTGCATTTCAGTCAAACATGAAAATATTTCTGCAATTCTTATGCATACTTTTATCAATGGTAAATATTGTTAGCTCTGTACCTCCCACAATACCGTTTCTTAATAACAGAATGATACCAGTGTCAATATGGACGATATGGACTAAATAGTTTGAGGTTGGATGTGGAATGAAGTAACCCACTGCTCCATTATTCCAGCCTTGTGTAGACAAATTTGTTTGAACCAATGTAAGTGAGAATCATGCTCTCATTTCTACCATACATATCATATCAACAAGAAATACCTTCTAACAAATGCTGCTTTTTGATTGGCTGTTACTGCTGTTCCAGCTAAGTGAACTGCTGCCTCTAAGACGCCAACAAGCTCCACATACTGCTCCATCCTTTGAGGACTGACTGACTCCCCAGTAACATCCTGCTGCAGCTGCTGAAGCTGTTTCACAAATGTTGGAAACAAGTCGCTGGAAATAAAATTATTTTCCTGAAGACTATGTGTATCTATAACGAAAAAGTCTGACGAAATCATTATATTGAAATGTGTCTGTTTCTATGATATCAAAACGTCACAACTAGATTCATCTGTAACTTATAGAATGTTTCTGTAGCCATGCTGTTCAATATGCATAATCTGAAGACGTTTACACTCTATTATACAGTCAGTACTCACATGAATGTTTCTGTAGCCTGGGCGTACAGTAAACAGAGTCTGAGGACTTGTACACTCTATTGTACAGTCGGTACTCACATGAAAGTTTCTGAAGCCAGGCCGTACAGTAAACAGAGTTTGAGGACACGCAGACTCTCAATCTGTAACTGGTAACAATCTGCATCAGCTAACTGGAGATGACTGCAAGCAAATTCAATTCATAGTGAAGATTTGTTTCATGTATTTTGCGGTACCCACATTTCTTCTCAAAAAAGATGAAATCCAAAATCACAAAAATTAAGGAGAAATTTTCTGATTCAGCAAAGAAATCTGGAATTGTATATTGATATTACCAGTGCTGAAAATCCACCAAAATATTTAACAATTTATCATATTGTCGTAAAGTTGTGTATGAACTTAGTTTTGATAACAATATCTACATTTAATATGCATTACACAGAGGTCAATCTAAATGTTCCAATTATTTATATACTTAGATGTCCTTCTTTACCTTGGCTGATCAGCAATCAGATATCTCAGGAGTTGTTTGTGTAAGTGATGTTTTGAGATCTGGAAAACAGACAAAAAAATAGACTGTAAATTAAGATGCTTAGCCCATCTGTTTCAATGGTAATATCATTTTATTACTTTTTCTCCCAATTCAAGTGTTGTATTGAATTATTAAAGTGACAATTCAAGTGTTGTATTAATTATAAAAGTGACAATTCAAGTGTTGTATTGAATTATAAAAGTGACAATTCAAGTGTTGTATTAATTATAAAAGTGACAATTCAAGTGTTGTATTGAATTATAAAAGTGACAATTCAAGTGTTGTATTAATTATAAAAGTGACAATTCAAGTGTTGTATTGAATTATAAAAGTGACAATTCAAGTGTTGTATTAATTATAAAAGTGACAATTCAAGTGTTGTATTAATTATAAAAGTGACAATTCAAGTGTTGTATCAAATTATAAAAGTGACAATTCAAGTGTTGTATTAATTATAAAAGTGACAATTCAAGTGTTATATTGAATTATAAAAGTGACATTTCAAGTGTTGTACTAAATTATAAAAGTGACAATTCAAGTGTTGTACTAAATTATAAAAGTGACCACATCATCAATTTAAAAAGGATTGTTTCATTGGGAAAATTACCCTAAAACTTTGACAATAATAATACTTCTATGAAAATAAGGTAACAGCCTGTGTATATTGATAATAATACTATCTATATGAAATAAGGTAACAGACTAAGTAAGGTAACAGCCCGCTGTGTACAGTGATAATAATACTTCCTATTGACTAAGTAAGTAAGGTAAGGTAACAGCCCGCTGTGTACAGTGTAACAGCCCGCTGTGTACAGTGATAATAATACTTCCTATTGACTAAGTAAGGTAACAGCAGTAAGGTAACAGCCCGCTGTGTACAGTGATAATAATACTTCCTATTGACTAAGTAAGGTAACAGCAGTAAGGTAACAGCCCGCTGTGTACAGTGATAATAATACTTCCTATTGACTAAGTAAGGTAACAGCAGTAAGGTAACAGCCCGCTGTGTACAGTGATAATAATACTTCCTATTGACTAAGTAAGGTAACAGCAGTAAGATAACAGCAGTAAGGTAACAGCCCGCTGTGTACAGTGATAATAATACTTCCTATTGACTAAGTAAGGTAACAGCAGTAAGGTAACAGCCCGCTGTGTACAGTGATAATAATACTTCCTATTGACTAAGTAAGGTAACAGCCCGCTGTGTACAGTGATAATAATACTTCCTATTGACTAAGTAAGGTAACAGCAGTAAGGTAACAGCCCGCTGTGTACAGTGATAATAATACTTCCTATTGACTAAGTAAGGTAACAGCAGGAAGGTCATCAGCTGTAATGTACAGCCCGCTGTGTACAGTGATAATAATACTTCCTATTGACTAAGTAAGGTAACAGCCCGCTGTGTACAGTGATAATAATACTTCCTAGAACAGCCCGCTGTGTACAGTGATAATAATACTTCCTATTGACTAAGTAAGGTAACAGCTGTTAGGTTACTTCATTGTAAGTAAGGTAACAGCCCGCTGTGTACAGTGATAATAATACTTCCTATTGACTAAGTAAGGTAACAGCCCGCTGTGTACAGTGATAATAATACTTCCTATTGACTAAGTAAGGTAACAGCCCGCTGTGTACAGTGATAATAATACTTCCTATTGACTAAGTAAGTGTGTACAGTGATAATAATACTTCATTGCTAAGTAAGGTAACAGCAAGTAAGGTAACAGCCCGCTGTGTACAGTGATAATAATACTTCCTATTGACTAAGTAAGGTAACAGCAGTAAGGTAACAGCCCGCTGTGTACAGTGATAATAATACTTCCTATTGACTAAGTAAGGTAACAGCAGTTATGTAACATACAGCTGTGTACAGTGATAATAATACTTCCTATTGACTAAGTAAGGTAACAGCAGTAAGGTAACAGCAGTAAGGTAACAGCCCGCTGTGTACAGTGATAATAATACTTCCTATTGACTAAGTAAGGTAACAGCAGTAAGGTAACAGCCCGCTGTGTACAGTGATAATAATACTTCCTATTGACTAAGTAAGGTGACTAAATAATACTTCCTATTGACTAAGTAAGGTAACAGCCCGCTGTGTACAGTGATAATAATACTTCCTATTGACTAAGTAAGGTAACAGCAGTAAGGTAACAGCCCGCTGTGTACAGTGATAATAATACTTCCTATTGACTAAGTAAGGTAACAGCCCGCTGTGTACAGTGATAATAATACTTGCTATTGACTAAGTAAGGTAACAGCCCGCTGTGTACAGTGATAATAATACTTCCTATTGACTAAGTAAGGTAACAGCAGTAAGGTAACAGCCCGCTGTGTACAGTGATAATAATACTTCCTATTGACTAAGTAAGGTAACAGCCCGCTGTGTACAGTGATAATAATACTTCCTATTGACTAAGTAAGGTAACAGCAGTAAGGTAACAGCCCGCTGTGTACAGTGATAATAATACTTCCTATTGACTAAGTAAGGTAACAGCCCGCTGTGTACAGTGATAATAATACTTCCTATTGACTAAGTAAGGTAACAGCAGTAAGGTAACAGCCCGCTGTGTACAGTGATAATAATACTTCCTATTGACTAAGTAAGGTAACAGCCCGCTGTGTACAGTGATAATAATACTTCCTATTGACTAAGTAAGGTAACAGCAGTGATAATAATACTTCCTATTGGTAAGCAGTAAGGTAACAGCCCGCTGTGTACAGTGATAATAATACTTCCTATTGACTAAGTAAGGTAACAGCCACCGCTGTGTACAGTGATAATAATACTTCCTATTGACTAAGTAAGGTAACAGCAGTAAGGTAACAGCCCGCTGTGTACAGTGATAATAATACTTCCTATTGACTAAGTAAGATAACAGCAGTAAGGTAACAGCCCGCTGTGTACAGTGATAATAATACTTCCTATTGACTAAGTAAGATAACAGCAGTAAGGTAACAGCCCGCTGTGTACAGTGATAATAATACTTCCTATTGACTAAGTAAGGTAACAGCAGTAAGGTAACAGCCCGCTGTGTACAGTGATAATAATACTTCCTATTGACTAAGTAAGGTAACAGCAGTAAGGTAACAGCCCAGCCCGCTGTGTACAGTGATAATAATACTTCCTATTGACTAAGTAAGGTAACAGCAGTAAGGTAACAGCCAGCCCGCTGTGTACAGTGATAATAATACTTCCTATTGACTAAGTAAGGTAACAGCAGTAAGGTAACAGCCCGCTGTGTACAGTGATAATAATACTTCCTATTGACTAAGTAAGGTAACAGCAGTAAGGTAACAGCCCGCTGTGTACAGGCATAATACTACTTCCTAATGACTACGTATTGACTAAGTAAGGTAACAGCAGTAAGGTAACAGCCCGCTGTGTACAGTGATAATAATACTTCCTATTGACTAAGTAAGGTAACAGCCCGCTGTGTACAGTGATAATAATACTTCCTATTGACTAAGTAAGGTAACAGCAGTAAGGTAACAGCAGTAAGGTAACAGCCCGCTGTGTACAGTGATAATAATACTTCCTATTGACTAAGTAAGGTAACAGCAGTAAGGTAACAGCAGTAAGGTAACAGCCCGCTGTGTACAGTGATAATAATACTTCCTATTGACTAAGTAAGGTAACAGCAGTAAGGTAACAGTGTGTTCAGTGTAATAATACTTCCTATTGACTAAGTAAGGTAACAGCAGTAAGACTAAGTAACAGCAGTAAGGTAACAGCAGTAAGGTAACAGCCCGCCGTGTACAGTGATAATAATACTTCCTATTGACTAAGTAAGGTAACAGCCCGCTGTGTACAGCAATAATAATACTTCCTAGCGTGATCAATTTACCCTGTGGCAGGCTTTCATTTTACGAAGGATTGCACAAGACACACAAGTAATACAAACTTAGAATTATAGACCCAGATAGTGAAATAAACTGTTTTCATACTTCTAGGACTCCTCGTTGATGTTAAGGGCCTAAATTTTGAAATATTGGGAGATGACGGAGTGAAATCAAAATTGCTTGAAAGAAAAGTCAATATATTTCTTTTTTGTGAAGGAAGCTTATCATACTTGCATGATGTTACATATCTATAAAAAGAGGTGTAATCAACTGGTGTTTATCATCACTTAGAGATGTCTTACCACAAACCGTAACTTAGTTACAACAACTGCCAAACTAGTTCTCAGTATATATACCACTATTGTTAGCCCAAATTGAAATGTGTGATGGGGTCTTACTGCAGGAGAAAACCAAACATTCCAGGGAAACCAACATGGTTGCCAAGGTTCCCATCTGATTGAGAAATCAAACTTATCTAGGTAAAAGGAGAGAAAATATCTCTGTGCTATCTGACCATCTGAAGAGAAGACTTACCAAGTGAGCAGCAATATGTCTACCAGCCTGGGCCAGGGCTCGCATCAGTTTCATCACTACTGGAACTGGTGTACCATAGAGGTCAGACAAAGGAGCATCTCTCACTGAGGACAGGGATTCAATGTATGGTAAGCTGTGGTTAAGGTGTTAACTTATACATACAGCTGTGTTGTCAGAACAAGTTATACCACCATAAGAGATTCGATTAAAAGCATGCCACTTGTAAACACAGAATTTCAAAATGTGGAACATTCTTCCATAAAAGAATTTTCAATAAAACAAAAGAAATATTTCCTACTGGAAAAACTTTCAATTGTGTTAAGGAAACCCATAATTGTGCAATAATGTTTCAAAATGGCTCCTGCAGACACAATATCAAATTTCTGATTGAACCAAAACAAAATTTTTCTAGCATCCTTCACTAAATTGCCAGAATTAGTTTTGGTTCATTGCCATCAGTGGAACTAAAGAAGTTCAAACTGTTTTGGAGAACAAGGTTCGCACAGTATAATCTTCTTTCAAAATGACTGTCATGTCATCTGACCAGGTTGAAAGATATCAACGCTTTAACACCATCCTTCACTTAATATCCCCATCAATTTTAATGATAATGACCACAGGTCATCTTGACCCTTCTGGTCAGGTGACTAATAAATCATATTGCACTAATACTGGTATGTGTCCTTACCTTGATCCTGCCAACATGTTGGTAAGAACTCACGTATAACCATTTCAATCAAACCTGGGCACAGCATCACCTTAATGAAAAATATACATTTTTGTAGGCACTTGATTTCGTGGATACATCATGATCTTGAGTGTCTCTAGTGCTATAATCCATGTCAGCAAAAATCAATCCCCTCGAAATAAATGACTTTTCAGTAAACAGGTTGGTCTGCATACAAAATTAATCTAACAAACCTACCTTATATGCCACTGTGGTGGAATGTCTAACAACCCGTGTCAGAATACCAATAATATGAAGCACAGTGGGGGCCTGGGGACGACACTGATCTAGCAGGAATCGTATCCTTGGTAACAGGTTCATTCTCTCTACAAGACACTGAAATCAGCAGATGCAAATAAAATGCAAACAAATAATTAAAAACTGAGAGAATGGCAATTTAAACACACATTAAAGTTTACATTAAAAAAAAACCTATGAAAATTTCTGAAAAGTACTATCAAAATTATCATTGATTTGGGGCTGAAGTTAATTAACATAATCGTATATCAAATATAACAGTTGTAAATGTTTATAAAAACTGAGTTCAATATTGCAGGCTTACAAAATTAAACCAATGAATAGATACCAACTCTATGATGTATAAAAATTTATCAAGAACCTGATCGGTAAACACAGGTAAAATAATTAATCATGAAGGTGATATCCACATGTGATGGAACCACTCAAGGATGTCTTTTCTAGTAGCTGCCCATGATAGCTGAACATCCCACTCAGTTACAAAATAGTGACAGTTCGCTGTTAATCCAGACTTTTTCATTTTAGTCTGATGTCATCCTGAGTTATTTACTAATTTTAAAGACTTTCTTTTGGTCAGGGAACAGTACCTACAACCATTCTGATATGGACAAACAACCAACAGCGAGGCCAAAAGTGAGGTTCAACTTAATGAGCATTATACAGAATAGAAAAGATTTGATACCAAAATAACATCACGCTTGAGAACATCTGCATCGGTTTCCTGAACTGTGTTCTCATCATCCTCTTCCTTGGGAACTGACTGATTTTGTGATGGGTTCATCTCTGGGATCACATGTCCCTGATACCAGGAGAACACTTGGTCAAGTGCAAGCTGTTATAAAAATGTCATAAATGTATTTATATGAATATAGAAAATGTCAAGTTCTCGCTTCCATGCATGTAAGTATCATTGTTTAATGAATTTGCAAAAGTTGATCAAATGTGACCTTTGACCTTTTAACCCTGACTGATGATTACCTGATATGGAAAGATGTGGAATTGATGTAATGATGCCATAGGGTGAATATGAACCACATTTGTTGAATGGTTCTGAAGATATGAAGGAATGGACAGACAGGGATAAGACTATATGTCCCCAATACAATTTAGGAACAAGACAGAGTTTTATGAAGTAACAATAGTTCTTGCCAAAAGAAACAACTATGTATATTGCACATTAACATTAAATCAAAGAAACAATATTGGAAAGAAAAACATTCAAACAGGTTGTCAAGAATGTTCTACAGCCATGGTCTGAAAAATCTAAAACAGAAGGTATTTTCACTCATGATAAATGTTCTATAGCCATGGTCTGAAAAATCTAAAAACAGAAGATATTTTCACTCCTGATCAATGTTCTATAGCCATGGTCTGAAAAATCTAAAAACAGAAGATATTTTCACTCCCGATAAATGTTCTATAGCCATGGTCTGAAAAATCTAAAAACAGAAGATATTTTCACTCCTGATCAATGTTCTATTACCGTGGTCTGAAAAATCTAAAAAAAGAAGGTATTTTCACTCCCGATAAATGTTCTATAGCCATGGTCTGAAAAATCTAAAAACAGAAGATATTTTCACTCCCGATAAACGTTCTTTAGCCGTGGTCTGAAAAATCTAAAAACAAGATATTTTCACTCCCGATAAATGTTCTATAGCCGTGGTCTGAAACATCTAAAAACAGAAGGTATTTTCACTCCCGATAAATGTTCTATAGCCATGGTCTGAAAAATCTAAAAACAGAAGATATTTTCACTCCCGATAAACGTTCTTTAGCCGTGGTCTGAAAAATCTAAAAACAAGATATTTTCACTCCCGATAAATGTTCTATAGCCGTGGTCTGAAACATCTAAAAACAGAAGATATTTTCACTCCCGATAAATGTTCTTTAGCCGTGGTCTGAAACATCTAAAAACAGAAGGTATTTTCACTCCCGATAAATGTTCTATAGCCATGGTCTGAAAAATCTAAAAACAAAGGATATTTTCACTCCCGATAAACGTTCTTTAGCCATGGTCTGAAAAATCTAAAAACAAGATATTTTCACTCCCGATAAATGTTCTATAGCCGTGGTCTGAAAAATCTAAAAACAAGATATTTTCACTCCCGATAAATGTTCTATAGCCGTGGTCTGAAACATCTAAAAACAGAAGGTATTTTCACTCCCGATAAATGTTCTATAGCCATGGTCTGAAAAATCTAAAAACAGAAGGTTTTTCACTCTTGATAAATGATCTACAGCCATGGTAGTAGTCTGAAAACAGGTTTCTTCATTCTTGATAAAGTTCAACATGAGGGAGAATGATTTTCTCAGAAGATAAATTGGTCAGGAGAATTATCATTATTTAGGATTTAAAAAATGAGTAACCTTAACACAACACACTGACCTCATCTGCAGGATTGACCAGAAGATTGTAGAGGGCATGTACGGATGCTGACAGGACCATGTCAATTTTGTCATCCATTGCCCATCGCACCAAGAAGACAACGCCCCCATCCAACACTGCTGGGAGTATAGCCGACTGAACGAGCTGACTCAGTTCACCACTTCGTGCCTAGAAATGGAAGAGATCGTACATTACAGTACAAAACAGACAATTAAGCTTTGCTGAACCAATATATATATATATATATATCCTTTTATCAAGAGATTTAGGAGATTTAGAAATTATATCTTTGTTTTTGTCAGACAGGAAAGAAACAAGAAATGACTTCACAATATTGAAGTTTTGATATCTACTTAGATCGGATACATCTTATGATTAAAAAAAGTCATCAACAATACAGTAAAGGAAAGTAAAAATAGAAATGAAGGCCAAACTATAAAAAAAATTGTAATATGATTTTTTTTTAGGTCTGATGATATTTAACACTACTCAATGTTTGCCAATGAAGATACCTTAGAGAAGATGCGGGCCAGTGTGTTGAGAGCTATGACACGTTGCTGCGTGTTGGTACTCCGAGCAAGCAGAAAAAGTTCCTCTAGAGTGTATCCTGCTCTCTACAAAATCAACAATCAACACTCAATGACAGATCTTGGTATCCATCTACAAACAACAGAAGCTGAAACAATTTGAAATCATAGTACCACATGACCACTTCCAATCACATTAATAATGTCTTTAAATGATCATACTGTCCAAAAATACCACATTTTAAAGAAAATCCTTTTTATATTTCAAACCATTTACATGGTCATATCTTTGATACTAACTACAATTGTGACATTGCAAAACTTTTTTTTTAAAATTGAGAAAGATTTGAAAAAAAAAAAATATATATATATAAAATCTGAATGATGATTTTTTTCCATCATACATTTCAGACACACCACGCAAATTAAATTCTTTTTAAACTCATAAAATTTGTCCATACATGAATCAGTTGAACTTTCGATGATGTGACAAATTATTTAATAACACCTGCAGTTATACAATAAGTAGTAGATATCTAATTGCTACAAACCTCTGGTTCGTTACCATGGTGATGTAATCCAGAGGTCACAGGAAGGTCAAGATCAGCATGTAATATTTGACCTTTAAAGTCGAATCTTGCTTGCTGACCTGTCTAGTAAAATAAAAAATAAAATACAAGTGTTTTATCAATAATAAAGCACATATTATAAGACCTTAAATGAATTTTCATTTCATATGAAATTTAAGAAACAAGTCTTTGAAATTTTGGTTTTCGCAAACCTTGGTGAGCAAAAATCAAAATATTTTATGACAAGTTTCATCAATTCTCATATGAAATCAAAACACATTAAAAATAATTTTCATCATTCCTCACTGGCATTGTCAATGAAACACACACCAGGAAATGATATAATAGTGACATGCAAAATTATCACATGGGCAAATTCACTGGATATGTGATAAATATTCAACTTTGACCCTTGTATGACACAATTGATAATAGAGTTCTTTTCTGGGATGTACAGTTCTATTTTACTTATTGATACTTGTGATGGACATACAATTCTATCTCTATTTTTATATACGATATAACAGATTTCTTACATGTGTGTCTCCTGTTTTAGGGGGAGGTAACTCTTTCATCCAGGATAACTTGTCATACTCTGCCTTGTCCATATTAATCCATTTTTTGTCAGGTTTCACAGGTAGTTCATCTTCACCTACACACAGTAAACAAGTGGAAGTACAAAATGAAAACTGTTCAAACTAGAAATTTTGTAATTAATAAATGTAAAGGAAAGAGACATAAGGAGTTACTTACTGTATACAACACAAGGAGGAAAACATTAGAGATCAGGTATTCAACAAGATGAAGGGACTCAGATTTATTTAAGACACACTACTAAATCATACAGTTTGCGTCCATGGAAACCTAGACTGTCGACAGCTTACCTAAAGTAAGGACTCAGATTTATCTCAGTCACACTACTAAATCATACAGTCTGTGTCCAAGAAAACCTTGACTGTTGACAGCTTACCTAAAGTAAGGACTCAGATTTATCTCAGTCACACCACTAAATCATACAGTCTGTGTCCAAGAAAACCTTGACTGTTGACAGCTTACGTTAATTAAGGACTCAGATTTACCTCAGTCATGCTACTAATCATAGCTTTTCCAAGAAAACCTAGATTGTGGACAGCTTACCTAAAGCAAGAGACTCTGATTTATCTTTCTGTGACTTGTCTTTTTCCAAAGGCTGAGGAGGTGGTATGGAGAATTCAGGTGTGGCGTTTTCCTTTTTTGATTTTGATTTAATAAATGACACCAGTTTTGGATCTGTAGAGAAAAATATACCAATAAATTCATACAACCTTCAGGATTATAAATACAAGGCTTGCAGTTCTTTCACCAAGAAATAAGTTTGGTTTTATTTTATCAAAGAATCACTTTAAGGAAATACCTTTTCTTTTTCACCATGACTTACCTAACATTTCAATAAGCTTTTGCTGTTCCTGTAAAATTTCTGCTTCTGACATGGCAGTCATTTTTTCTGTGTTCTCTTGATGAATTTGTCTGGCTTCATCCTTTCCAAAGGTAGCACTTAGTCCTCGCCCTTCTACCAGGTGGGGACCTGCATCACCTGTAGAATAAATCTCATTACAGGGTGGAGAATAACAAAGATCTTACATACAAGGCTTTCACTGAGCTTTACTGGTGAAGTGAAATGCCAAAAGAAATGGCCAACTTTATCAGATAAATTCATATTAAATATAAAAGCTGTCTGTTTCAGAAAACTCAAGCTTTGCGAAAAACTAAAGTTAATTGAAAGAGTGGCTATAATACTGTGATGTTGAATTATACTCAGCTGTTATTGTTTCCATAGTACCTGTTTGAAACATCACACAGGCATGGACACGTAATGTTTACACAGGTGATACCTAATATTCTCAATCGTGCATGAATAGTTATAATTGTAGGTATACAGCTGAGGACTTTCAGGGGTCAGTCTGATCATTACCATCAACGGTACATACCTCTTTGCTCTCTGACTGACTCAAAACACCTGTAATCACATCTAGACAATGTCCTTGTATTTGTAACATTTCCTGACTAAAAAATAATTACAACTTAAAAGATTGACCTGTTTCTCTGTTCTGCTACATGGCGACCAACACATTTCACCCTGTCCTGGGAAAATCTATGGGTGTTCAAAAGATTGGAGAAATTGAGAGTGAAACCCTCTGATTTTAAATATGTATCATATACCTGAGACACAAGTCTCCATGGAGGCTTGTGATGCTGAAGTTGTGGAAACTTTGGCTTCTTCCTGTTGTAACATCACACCAAAGTAACCAGCACCTCGTGTAGAAAACTGCTGGGCAAACAGACTCCTTGTCTTTCCAGGACTAGCAGTCTTTGTCTGTGACAATAACAACTTCATTTAAACAATGTGGTAAAATCACTTGCATCCTAGTAATTAAACAACTTTCTTTACTTATCAAATGAAATAATCATATACACATTTTGCACAGAGTAAATGTGTGAAAATAAGCCAAACATTAATGATTACAAGTACAGTTTATATTTTATTTTTTTATTTTTTGTTTGTTTTGTTTTTTTGTGTTTTTTTCATATTTACTTACTCATTAATTGTAGTGAGGTGTAGTCTATTTTTATACAAAAATACACAAAACTCAGTCTCATCCAGTTCCTTTCACATTTAGGATTATAGAACTTTATACACATGGTGTGTTGGATTGTTGAACTGGGACACTGAAGGAAAACTTATCTGATGTGTTTAGGGTATTAACATCTGTCAGATTTACCTGTGTTGGATTATCACACTGGGACACTGAAGGAAAACTTATCTGATGTGTTTGGGGCATTAACATCTGTCAGATTTACCTGTGTTGCATTATCACACTGGAACACTGAAGGGAAACTTATCTGATGTGTTTGGGGTATTAACATCTGTCAGATTTACCTGTGTTGGATTATCACACTGGGACACTGAAGGGAAACTTATCTGATGTGTTTGGGGTATTAACATCTGTCAGATTTACCTGTGTTGGATTATCACACTGGGACACTGAAGGAAAACTTATCTGATGTGTTTGGGGTATTAACATCTGTCAGATTTACCTGTGTTGGATTATCACACTGGGACACTGAAGGAAAACTTATCTGATGTGTTTGGGGTATTAACATCTGTCAGATTTACCTGTGTTGGATTATCACACTGGGACACTGAAGGGAAACTTATCTGATGTGTTTGGGGTATAACATCTGTCAGATTTACCTGTGTTGGATTATCACACCGGAACACTGAAGGGAAAGCTTGGTTAGCATGTCTAGGGAGGTGAACCTGACTTGTCTTGGTGTCTCTTTCCTGTTTAAATATAAATAGCAAACAGTCATAATCCAAGTGTCTTGTTCTATATAAATCTACATCTAATTGGACACAAGTTTAGATTGATGTACAAATTATAGCCCTGATTTTTTTAGTGATTCCTGGAGATTATATTTGCAGTTTTCCTGTCTAAATACCTTCAGTAAATATACCATAATTTACCATCTATCTAACATGATTCATATGAAAGTACCAGATATTTGTTTCCCAGTAATAAAATAATGTACAGTAAATGTGAGGTATCAAAGTCCCCAAATAAAAGTCAAAGCTGTCTATAAAGGACACTGACTTCAGGTTCCAATGCAATATAGATCATAGTATTTGAACCCCTGTAAAGGTCACTTGCTCTGCTCCCTTAAGTGGCCTTTATAGACAGGTTTGACTGTACATATTTCAAAATCTATAATACTGTGTACACGTTGTATTGAGAGAAGGTCAAATTCACAAAATGGTACCTTATCACAGGAAAAGTGGAATTGAAACTTACAGCATTGACGATTTTACACAGCAGCTGCTTTACATCGGTTGTATTTTCACAGATGTAATATTTAAAGCAGGTTTTTATCTTTGTGTCGTAACATTTTTTACCATATTAATAATATTGAAATATATTTTGATGAAACTTACAATAATTTTGGTTAACACTGCAGCAGTAGATGAGTCTGTTTCTGAAATAATGAATTCAATATCAATACACCTTACTGTTTTTTTTCGCAATAAATATGTTAGAATTATTTAAAGTAGTTCAATTCAACAGAATAACATTCATTAAAGTTTATGGCAAATTTAACTAAATCACAAATATGAATGGTACAAAGTACAAAATAACTGCGGTTTATTTTTTTCCAGGTCGTAAGATTACTTGTGCACTTCAATCATGGCAATCAAAAGTGATAGATATAAACTGAAACAACATCAAATACCAAATCAAAATACTGAATGTATGATATGTCTGGAATCCATGCATTGATTCCGTTTAACCATCCAAGAATCTGGCTTGGTCAACACAAGTGATAAACCAAACATGATTCTATTATATTCATAATGAATGGAGGGGGATGCATGGTCTTCCCAGTTTATCAACTTTGAACATTTATCTTTAAATATCATTGTCAGGATATATTTGGCTTAAAACGTAAGCAAATCTATATACTATAAATGACATTGCAAGGTTACATTTGGGAATGTAAACATGGTGACCTTACTATCGATTCTTTCTTCAGGACTAAGGTTCATTTCTGCTTCTCTTTTCTGTCTTCTGATTTTCTTCTCCTGTTGACTCTTAAACCTAGACTTTTTAACTGGTGGCACACTTTGTGGTTCAGGAGGAAAAACTAAAAAAATTCACAGTATGGTTTGGAGTAGAATTTCCCCATTACACATTAGACAAAAAATTGACCCTTTGTCTAGATTAACAGCGATTTAAAGTTAATTACATTTCAGCCACATACACAGTGCCTGTATACATTTTATATGTACCATAGTGATTTTCAAAATATAGTCATGACAATGCTGAATAATGTCAAATAGAACAAGTACATATTTGTCATAACTTTTTCAATTGTTCAAAGTTTCAAAGAAGTCATGAAAAAAAAAAAATGTTCTTTATAAAATGCAATTTCAGCACATTATTACTTTTTTCCAAATTAGATCTATGATGAATTGACGCATCCACAATAATCGTTACATAAACAACTCCAATTGGTGAAATCAAATCTTATTGACATTTTTTTAAGCATGACAATTGCGGAAATAACATAACTACTAAACTCTGTACTTTTACAGTATTTATCACTGCAGCTGTTGTATGATTAAGTAAAACTTTGCATTCTACCTTCCATGTTTACTATGTCTCGATTTGGCCCTATTCTGTCATTGTCAGGTTTGCTGTCTTGAGTATCCTCACTAGAACTGGACTTGCGTTTGTCTGGACGCTTGACCACTGTGACTGCTGGTTTTTCCTGGTTAGCCATGAATTCTTTTTGAAATTTAAGGAGATCTTCCTCTGTATCACCTGGTTTAGGTCTAGGAAACATCTTGGAGAAATATCTAAAATGATAAAAAGTTAATGAAATGAATTGTTTATAAAACTTGTACATCAAACATCATCACATTCAATTTTATTTGATTATTCAGACTTACAAGACCCTATATTTACTGTAAAAGAATGAAGTATAGAAAAACATGTTCAGTCCCCATTTGCTTAAACTATTGACTTTTTAGTCTCCAGCTGGATGCTCTGCCATTTAACAAACAGGAAATTCCCACTAATTGTGAATAGTATGATAATCTTTGCTTTCAATTTCTCCACTTACAATGCTGGAATTACTTGTAAATATATGATGTAAATTATAAAAATATGAATCCTTTGATAGTTTGGGTGTCTCAAAGAGGTGATTGTTAATGCACTGACAGTGTGACTGTCACTTTCACAAGTCTATAAGCCATTTTTTTTATCACACTTAATCATTTATGTTTACACATTAATCGACCTCCTTCATCATAATCAGTGATTTTTTGTAAGGACTTGATCAGGTGAGTTTAAACCATCATCATGTCAGTAACTATTACACTCATCTCTTACACAAATTTAATTAAACGAGTTTTCATAAATTTGAACTCTCATGGAAAATCCTGGTAGCTGGGAGCAGTGGGCCGTTTTCACCACTTTATTCACAGTCAAAAGTAAGGCAGGCCATACTACGTGAAATTAAAAATAGCGAAATGAAGGGACTAACTTGCGGGGAAAAGTCGTTTCGATACTTTTGAAAATGTATTGATTTATGTATTGAATTGATTTTTAAAGGGGTTTTATCATTAATAAATATTGCTCATTCCATTAACGGAAAATTGTTCACTTAATATGACACTCTAGTTAACAATTTTTCAGGCATCGAAACGACTTTTGTAACAACTTGGTACCAAAAGAACTAGAATGAGAGTCCATTCAGCTTTGAGGGACCCTGGACCCATTGGCTTCCCTAAAGGATCCCATTTAAAAAAGTCACGAAGTAAACACCTTTTGACGCCTTATATTTAGATTGGTCCAACAGAATAAGCAACTACGAAATCGTTGTCATAAGCCTAATTAATCAGAACTTTTCAAAAGTTAACAGAATCGACATCATGCATCTTGTACTGCGCGCCACCATTTTGAGAATCCCCGGATGAAGTTAACGCGATCGTAATGCCACAGTAGGAAAAACCCGGATGTATATTAGCGTATACTAAATCCTACTTCCGGTTGTTTCCATAACGACGTGATCAAGCTGAAGGTACAGTCTTGTGAAAAATTGGTAAGAAAACTTATGGAAATAACACTATTCAGTACTTACATTTCAACAATATTATACTAATATGAGCGCTACATCAATTTAGAATTCTTTTGTGATTTTTTAACAATTTGGATGTTTTGAAGTGCCGTTAAAACAGATATTCAAACATCCAAACTGGTTTGCCTCACTACTGCAGTCTGCATTGATCGGGGTAATGTGACAGACTACAGTGTAACCGTATCGTCTTTCCTACCTCACACATTCCTGTAGCAACTTGAATTGTACTTTAATACAAAATAATTAGTAAATAAAATTCTTGTGACATTATCAAATATACTTTGAGTTCAATCGATTTTAAATTGGTAGCAGTCAATGTTCTTTCGTATTGATGAGCTGGAGAGAGTAGAGTCATACAAACTTATTTTGTATAAAATTGCATATGCAAGAGAGTTCATCTTAATTCTTTTTTTAAAATTCCTCTGCTATGTATTAAGATAAGATAAGATAAGTTTATTTCCGGTTCAGGACGTGCTTGAGTCCTCTATACCAGACTCAATAATACATGTTAGAGTTTCAAGATACTATATTGAATTGGGGTCTTGATGTTCTTATCTGGCATTCTTCACAAATGTAACAGAGGGTATGATTTTCACAATGCCTACAGTATAGAAATCAAACCAGGAACGATATTGCCGGGTTGGTAAGAAAATTTGTAAATCACCAAGGAGACACAACAGTTCGCATATCATTTCAATCCTGCATTTCTTTCCATTTGCAGTAGATTCAAAATGGCAGATGCTGATCAAGCAGCTGATGGCGGCGAAAAGACAGGGGAGGAAGAGGCCAAAAGTACCCGTAGTGGCCCAAAAAGTCAAGGAGGCTCCAAACCTGCTTCCAGAGCTGGATCTGCACAGTCAGGGAAAAGTGGCAAGAGTGGTGCAGGTAGCAAAAAGAGTGGTGTCCCACCGTCCCCATCGGGTTCAGCCAAGGATAATCCAGCTGCTGACTGGAGAAATATGAGACGAATCATTGCTGAGGATTCTGAATGGTCACTGGCTACAGTTCCACTATTAGTTGAGCTTTGTGTGAAGCATATTGTCACAAATTTTGAAAGTAAGACACCTTATTTTCCCCCATTATTAATTTAGTCCAATATAACAAGATTGTTCAGCAGAAATATAATAATGAAAAATATAGCAGTAGAATTGGTAATCTTTAAACTGATACTAATATTGATATGAAAATGTTTGAGATCTCATAAACACCAGAATTTCATCTCACTTTCATCTGAGATAAAGTCTGATCTCAGAAAAAAGCATGATAGCCAATGAACTCAATAACAGAACGAAGATTCTTACTATATAAGATATACATATTCATAAAGACAATAACATTTCAATAGCAACCTAGACTAATTAAGTTATATTGTGTTGTTTGTTATGATTTTTTACAACATCCTGATCTACAGTAGCTATTGAATTATAAAAAAAACATGCACTTGCTACAATTTTTTTTCAGATTTTTAAAATTTCGTGAAAAGTAGGAAAATCTTAAGGTTCAGTCCTGTTTCAGAAATTTCCTTTAAAAAAAACACACACACACATTGAATTGGTCGGGCCATATACCAGGTATTTCATTTTCAAAATTGGTTATTGTTGATGATGCATCTTGTTTTAATTGTTGTGGGGGTTCTAATAATTTTGTTCTTTTTTCATTTGCAGATAACTCAAAGATATTAAATGATTTATTGCCTAAACACAAAGGTAGAGTGCTTGAGAGAATATCAACTGACTTGCCCTTGAAAATTACTGCTAATCTGGTTGATGACGAAGGATATTGGAAAAGATGCTGTAAAGCGCGCTGGGAAATATGTGATGTTGCTGCTTTTGGCAACAACTGGAAAAGGATGTACTTTGAAAGGAACCTGCAATCCATTATTGAAAATTTTATCCCAGAAACAACAGATGTCACAGAATTGAATGATACTCTTCCTTTGTCTGCAAATTACGTTAAAAAGATTGATGTCCGCCAGTTACTCCCACCAGTCAGAGAGGCACCAAAAGGGCCTGACTTTGATGATTCATCTGATGCTGGTAGTGATACTGGAGATGAACCAGAATGTGATCACTTTAACTTTGGCCCTGTCCTTAAACTTCTCCCCAACATTGAGGAGCTACATTTGACATATGGGGTGAGAGACTGTGGAATGAACTTTGAATGGAATCTGTTTAACTTCACTGCTAGAGACTGTTTACAGCTTGCACAATGTGTGGCTGCCTGCAAAGGACTGAAAGTGTTTAGACTACATCGTAGTAAAGTGGATGATGACAAAGTTCGAGTTCTTATAAGTCACATTCTGGATCACCCTGGACTTACAGAGCTTGATTTGTCACACAATCTAATTGGTGATCGTGGTGCACGAGCTGTTGGAAAGTTTTTGAACAATCATAGTCAGCTGGTAAAGTTGAACCTCTGTGATAATGACATTAGAGCCGCTGGAGCTCAGGCAATTGCTCATGCTCTCACTAAGAACACAACTTTAGATATGTTGAACCTGAGACTGAATCGCCTGGGAGATGAAGGAGGTCAGGCCATTTGTCGTGCACTATTACGTAACAGTACACTAACAACCATCAACCTTGGAAGCAATGACATGGCTGAACCCACTGCAGCCATCCTTTCTCAGGTCGTCATTCAGAACACAACTCTTCGGTCAATTGATCTCACGTGTAACAAACTTGCTCAGGTAATATTACTCTATTGGTTTTGGCAACAAGGTGCCAGCATATTACAAAGTCAGTAGAGGGGCTTGTCATAGGACAATTATGTTAAAATTAAATGTCCAGGTAGTGATAAAAAGTCTTACCATTTTAAAACTGTTGTAATCAGTGTATGATACAATTGTCTCTCATTGAAGATCGTTATCACTTGACATTGATTTATAATCAGGAAAACTGCAAATATCCTGTAAATTCAAATATTTTCTTAAGAAATCTCTTCAATATTTATTCATCAAAGCCAAATTTGTATATAGTCTGGAAGAATTATGTTTCAGCTTTGTCTTTTCTAAAAACTACATATACATTTTTGTAGTGCATGTGGCAGTCATGTTTTATTCAATAATGTTTATTTTTTAACAATATTTGTTACAGGATGGTGGTAAACAGATTCAAGAAGGTATGGAGGATAATACCTCTATAACTCATATGGACTTGACGCTAACAGACAGCGGTCAGGAGGCTGAGTACTGCATCAAACAAATCCTTCATCGTAACCAAGAACGAGAACGCGAGTCCAAAATCGTTGACCAGGCTCCACCATCCAAGAAAATTCAACCACAGGCTGCACATCGGTTTAAACCCATTGTGCAAAAAGCATAGATTTCGACGATGATGATAATGATGATGATGCTGATGATGATAATGTGATGATCATGATGATGAACTTAAGACAGGCTTATGTTAACAGCCATAATTTGTTAGAGAGGGGTAACAGAATGAAATCTGTTGGTTGTTTACATGCTGCTGTGAGGACAACAAACATTCAGCTATATCACAATTTTGTTGTATAAAATGAAATAATGGAAAAAATCTGAAGTCTTTCTTCAGGTGTACCTTGTTTTAACCACATTTTCACCATTGCTTATGAGGTGGAAGTAGGTAGTACTCAGTGGGAAAGATGCTGCGATTGTCTTTCAGAGGGATAACCTCATTGGTCTGTTGTGGAGGTCCACAGAAAGCAGTGCCAAATCAGAAACAAAAACAAACAAAAAATCTGCAGAAAAGGTGTTGATGTAGAAACTCACTGTGTTTAATTCATACAAAAACAATCTATTTTTATCAAAAATATGTTATGAAACTTATATATTCTGCTTGACACTTGAAATCTTTATATGTAAATTTCAGTTGTTTATATTGAGTAATTATACAGTAAAGATGTGCTAATTTACCTATGTCTCTAGTGTGTGTTGTATCTGTTTCTGTATAGATGTATATATACAGTACATTATGAATATCACAACACAGTCTCTAGGGTCGAATTATTATGTACCTCGAAGATTGAATTACTTTGTTAATAAATTTAATAACAAGACAAGAAAATTTGCTGTATTTGTTTTATTTACTTTTTTTATTAATATCGTGAAGGGGGAAATGAAAAAACAAAACAAACAAACAAAAAAGTACCCCAATAATTGAAGAAAAGCAGACCAAAAAAAAGAGGCAGAATTGACAGCACAAGCTAATTAAGTTATTTGTTTGGCTCCACGGAAAAAATAAACCGAGCTATGACAGATTGATACACTCCTGAAAGTTACAAAGGAGGGCAACCAACATCAAAGCCAGTGAAATATACCGTTACGTGACCTCGAGATTCGTTTGATGCATATCAAAGGATCAAACTAGTCTTTTGTATTGGCCACATGATGTCGCACATGAAATTTTGGTATGACATGTTAAGAAGGGCAGAGAGCAAAAGTGATAGTAACTCCTGGAGTATCAGAATGCAAGGTGTCACACATGGATCCTTCAATATTGCCATGGCATTCCACACAGACAACAACAAAAAAAAAGAATGACAATGTCGTTCCGAGGATGAATAAAACTACACAGATGAAAAAGGGAATGACGATATCTTATCTCAAGACATATATCAGCTGTGCATATAGACAGGAAAAGGCGTGTAGTAAACCAGTTTTGGCAAATGTCCAAATTTGTCACAGTATATGGCATGTATTGCAGACAGAAGGCAGTGTATAAATTAGGCTGTGGGCGTAAAGAGGTAATATTATCTTTGGGCACGATTTTTAAGGGAAATATATATATACCTATTTTATCATTTAGAAAACACTTTTTAATTATCATTTTTTATAGGATGCTCATTTTATCGTATATGTAAAAAAATGTATCGATTTTTTCCGAGTCACTTTTTAATTTTTGCTCGAGTCCCACAGTGTGGCACGCTATTGTAGGCATGTCGGTGCACTTGGTGACCCTGTTCTCTGTTGTAATAGAATAAAAACAAGTGCTAGATAATAACTTCGGTTACGACAACTTCTTAAACACTTAAATGGATGTTCATTAAGAAAGTTGTCTTACAGTTACTTCCTATCGTGTAAAATCTATCAGCGTATGCTTTTAGTTGCACAATAAAGAGTGGTCTATTTATAGATTGCAGCGAGACGTTTTATTAATGGAACTATCGCAGTATACAGTCAGCTAGAGAGAACTTCTCCCGAGATTGATCTGTTCAGCTGTAGAATAGCTGTGTTCAATCCGTGCAGTACATAAGCAACATCATCGTAACACATTACTGTTATACGACACCAAGAACAGGATAAACATGGTCATAGGGTGTGGTTTGGTGAAATAGAGGTATGTTGAAAGCATTGAATTTCATTGTTGCTTACAATTTCTTATGTTTGTAAGAAAGAAAGAAAACCGACGCGAAAACAAAGCTACAATGTGTTGAAACTTTGGCCTTATATGAACAAAAGAAAATGTTCCCTAGAGACGCATACGAAAAATTTAGAAAGAAAACTCATCCTAGTATACGACAGGGCGTATAAGTAAGGTAAATGTCATCTACTCTACCAACAGTCAAATTCAGAAATGCCACGTTCTCAATATAAGAGCAGTACTATTTTACTTGGACTTGGAAACCCGTAACAATTGTCCAATGATATCTTTAACAGCAAAACTACAGGAAAAACTAATATATAATGTACACGTTGACAACAGCATCGTCATCGAAAAATGATAGCTTCACTAAAACACTAGAACATTTATGGAACAAAATAACTATGAAATATATGTAATTAAAGTCCTCTCCTGGATGTCGTACAAAAATAATATGTAAATGATGGAAAAATAAAACAAAGTCCTCTCCTGGCTGCCGTACAAAATTGATATGTAAATGATGGAATTATAAAGCAAAGTCCTCTCCTGGCTACCGTACAAAATTGATATGTAAATGATGGAATGATAAAGCAAAGTCCTCTCCTGGTTGTCTTACAAATGTAAATAATGGAACAAAGTACAAAAACGAGGAGAATTTCTTCTATAAGCCATGTTGATATATTTTACCATAGCGCCTGTGTTGTTAGATTAACAGGTAATGTATTTACCTAAGCACAGCTTTATTGACCATATAAACACAGTACGGCGTACAGGTGTGCGGTTTTCAGTCTGACAATATATTAAGTGCCGTTTTCATCATTAGGAAAAACAGGTAAGGTCCAAAAGATCTCTTATAATATTTAATCGTAAATGTGATATCAGCAATATCTGTTGCAGAGTTGGTATAAATAGATTGATATGTCTACAAAATCTACAAAGATCAATAAATTTTAATCTAGATTAACAATTCAGTCTGTACTAAATATATTTATTGGAATTTTATTTCACGTTATCATCATTCGGAACCTTCACAAATAACGTTTTCCGAAGGCCGTCTTGGGGTCAAAGGCTATGTAATGGTCCTTATCATCCACTTGACATAAACCCGGCCTTTTACCAGCCTTAATCACAATTCAAGTTAATATGTATTTTATCGGATTTTGGACTCCGTGAACTACGCCCGAATTAAGTGTTATTGCTGTATTCAAGGACATGCTATACCGGATGATTTCATGAAATAATGAATGATTTAAGTACAAGTTCAGACGGGAGACATCTAACAATGTCCTACAAATCCAATCCACCACAAAAGAACAACCAGGGAACAACACATCTGGACAGGAATTCCGGAAGTGACGATATGTCTGACATGAAGATACCGGACGGTGGCTATGGATGGGTGATAGTGGGCGCGAGCTTCTTTAATTTGTTCTGCCTGGATGGACTTATTGGGATATATGGTCTCCTGTATCCAGAGCTTCTCCTTCATTTTGGGGCCGACCCTGCCTTCACTGCTCTTCCTGGCTCCCTCGTGGTAGGAATGTGTTGCTTTCTAGGTGAGTGTTACATACCATTTACAGTTGTCCATAATAATCTTGGTCTTTGTTCCTCGCCACCGACTTCTACATGTATTGAAATGTGTTGTATTTGTAGGTCCCGTTTGCAGTAAGTTGATCCGAAGGTTTGGTGTCCGTCTGGTGTCAGTTTTGGGGGCCTTTGTAACGTGTGCTGGACTTTTATGTAGTTACGCCAGCCCTTCCATGACGGTGCTGTTTTTCACCCATGGCATCCTCACAGGTATATTATTTCGTCCCAGATAGTCGGAACACCAGATATATTATTGTGTATAATTGGATCAAAAAGTCGGTAATTGTTGACCTTTCATCATCGAGTTGCAAAGAGCTACAACTCTTCAGCATTTGATTGCGTGGACAACACAATGTTCCACCGCATGATTCACTCATTTTACGGTGTTTTATGAAGACTAGCGATTATTTTTCTGTATAACATATGGTGAAAAAATGTGTTTATGAAACACTATTGCCCCCTGTTGCAACAAAATGCTGAAGTGGGACATTAAAACTGTACTGTGTAAGGCATTCGTTAAGTGCACTCACACTTTGTGAAATCCTTGTGTCTCCATGGTCTTCATTGACAGTTTTAAGTTCAATAGTTATAGTCAATGCTACAATTTTTCAAACATTGATTGTCAAAAACATGGTACAATCGGAAAGGCATTGTCACAAAGAGCACACACGCCAAATATGAAAGTCCTACCTCTTACGGTGTAATAGTGATGGACTAAGTTTAAGTTGACAACAGAAAAACAGAGTGCACAAAAACACTATGGCCCGGATCTTACGATCCCGGGGCATACAATATCCCAACAATTAAAAACTTCGGACGATTCTTAACGAAGAATCATGAGCGATTTTGGCATCCGAAAATGGATAGTTTTTCCCAGGTGGGTGGAGTTACTGACGCAGTTAAGGTTGCAGGTACATTGACAGTCGAGTATTGCTCGTGATGTGTTTGAATCTTTGCAAATGAGCAGCCCCTAATCACAATTGCTATTTACTTTTTCGCCAAAATATGTTTTAATGTGTTAAATATGTGAGCTTAAGTGATGGTTTCGTTGATTAGTACAGTTCTGATTATTTTCGGTAATTCATAGTGTTGCTTGTAACTGCCAGGCAGGTTTCCCAATCGAATATATGGAAGGGAACTGATCGTCGTCCTTACTGACAGGAGAAAGGGGAGATAATCAAAGTTGATAAAGAGATAATCATGTAGGTATACATAGCTTTACAAATGTTAATGTAAGTAAAATCTTACTTGGCATGAATACGTATGACATTATGTTATATGATAGATATTTAGATATCAAAATAGAAAACTCTAGTTAAGACATTTTGAACAGAACAGAAATGGAACTGTAATCCATGACAGGAACACACTCACACCCTCTCACACCTCCATACAAACGGTAAATCGTGACAGGAACACACTCACACCCTCTCACACCTCCATACAAACGGTAAAATGTGACAGGAACACACTCACACCCTCTCACACCCCCATACAAACGGTAAAATGTGACAGAACATCACTTTGGAAATATTTAAAAGGTGCATTAAAAAAAGGGAAACTCAATGGATCTAAATGTCAAACTCCAGTCTTTTGCGAATTGTAATGATATTCAAGAATCAAGAATGTGGAACCGACGATGATACATTTTTTGTCAAAACCTCAATTCATCAGAACATTGCAGTGGGGCAGAAGGTATGGTGTTGATGTAGACATTGTTGATGCACATAAACCACATTTCAGAATATATTTATCTTTCAGGAACTGGATGTAGCCTGTTCTATTTGCCATCTGTCACTTTGGTTAACACCTATTTTGACAGGAAGCGTGGAATTGCGCAAGGCATCATTACTGCCGGAAGTGGGCTAGGTGTCATTGTCCTATCGCCACTGACAAAGTTTTTGATTGGTTATTATGGTTGGAGAGCAACTATTTTATTGTGGGCGGGCTTCGTTCTAAATATATGTGTCTCCGGTTTACTAATGCGCCCTCTCCCTCCTCCTACACAGGGAGATAACAACAGACACAACAACAGGAGTAAATTGAATACAAAACATCACGATCATTTAAGTAAGGAACAGGAAGAATGTTTACGGTCGTTTTTATCTCTGCATGAAAATAAAAGCATACATAATGAAGGCATCCAGGACAGAATGGCACAAAATCAGTTCATTTACGTTGGTAATGCTGATCTTTCAAGTACCCGCAGTCTTCCGCATCGCAACATAGACAGAACTGAAATTCAACAGGACCGTCTTGGTCTGTATCGATCTCTTCAGTGTATTCAACAAGCCAAACATAATCGACACGAACAGAGGTCAGAATATGGAAATAACATATTTGACAGAAAAGACATTTTTCTGACAGGAAGTACAAGCATGTTGAAATCATACGTGTCCAATAAATCCGTTCAATCAATTCGTATTGAGAAAAGTGAACCAACAGAACCTGAAATTGTGTCGTGTGTGATATCAGATAGTGACGTAAGCCACGGCTTGTGTAGAGGATCGTGTAAACCGTTTACCAAGGATCCAGCTTTTCTCCTTCTTGTGGCGGGTTGTGCTCTTGCTCAGATGGCGCAACACATTCCAATGACATTCATGGCCCAATACAGTGAACTCATTGGACTAGACGGTCAGGACATCGCTACACTCTTCATTCTCTTTGGTAAGTGTAATGGTGAGATTTGATTGGATAATTATTGAAAATCGTTCAATAGTTGTTGAACACTTTTAAATCATGGAAATCATAGAGAAGGACAAATTTCAAAGAACGGTTTATCAGAAAAGAAATGATAAGAAGAAAAAAGGGAAACAATTATATTGAAAGAAATCCTTTCATGGACCGTTGCCGCTGGTAGTAACATGAAAGAAGGCGACGAAAGGAATATACCTACAAACCTTTCTCTCCTTCCCAATTATCACACTCTCCGAGAAAAATCAGTTGAGAAGTTTATAATCAGATACACAAGTTCATACCAACTAGTGTGCTCTGTGGGTAAGCTATAGATAAAGTCAAAAGTCAACACTTATTGTTATGTATTTCCATGTACGCACGTCCCTAGCCATTTTCAGCATGATAAAAGACGTAAAGAAGTAACCCTAGAGTGTCTGATTTGCATCTACATATGCACCAGATCATCCTTTTCTTCTTTTCAGAAAAAAGAAGAAAGTTAATGCACGTGCTTCAGAATTTGCCTTTTTGAAAATATACAGATGTTAAATGTATTTCAACAGTTTAATCGGGTTTTGTTTTGACCAGGTGTGGTGAATATGGCGGGCAGACTCGGGAGCGGACTGCTGGCTTCGATCCGGATGTTCAGTCCACTCTTTGTCTGTAACTTTGGCACTTTCGCCTGTGCTGTAGCTTGTTTCCTGTTTTGGTTGTGTACAACATTTGAGACACTAGTAGTTTTTATTTCAGTCTACGGATTCTTTGTCGGTGAGTGACACACTGTGAACAGCTTATTTTTCCACGCAATTATATAATTAAGCAAGGCGTTGTACGGAAACCAGGAATAAACATGTAATGATCCCATCATAATACAATCAATATTTTTTAATGTTGATAATTATGGGTGTTTGTAGGCTTCCGTAGGGCTGTGAGTAATTGAAATAATTAAAAAAAAACCGATTATTATTGTGGCCGCCACAGAGGTTCGCTAAACCTTAAAGAATACACAGTCACCCTTTCATATACACGTATTGCCGCTCAATATTTCCAGATGTTTCCACCAAGCCAGCTGTTTTCCTTTGTAAAATGTTTTAAAATAAATACACAAATATATATAGCAGGGAGATTAAATCTACGATCGAATGACGCTTGGGTCAGACTATGCATCTGACCTAGTCACTAGTGAATACACTTGTGTACATGTTTACATCAATCTTGTAAACACATAGTTTCTTTTACATAATTTTCACAGTGCGGATAGTTCGAATCTACATAAATCGGAAATTCCATACCTTTAGTTACTAGTTGCACCTGACGTTTGACGATGTGTCAATACGTTATGTTAGATCATTTTTCAGGGTCAGAAAATAATGATTTGAGATAGAGATTAAAACATTTTACAAACGCTACATATAAAAAAAACATTGCTATATCTCCCGTATATCTAGCTCGATAATGCTGTTAGTAACATACATAATACATACATAATGCCATATTCCCAACTAAGTTTTATCATACATCTATAAACCATCATAAACGTTCCTAGCCTTTAGTGTCTTATCCAGTGAATCTAGGCTTTCACAGTTTCACATACAGGAAGTTTGAAGTACACCGGATGAATACAACGTAACTAAACAATTAGTGTTATAGTATCATGTCCAGTTCGTGTATATACCTTAGCAACTATCGTTGTTTCATGACTCAAAAGCTAAAGTAAAATAAAAACAATGCAAATTTAGGAGTTTTAAATACCATTTACCGGTGATATGAACTCATTGTCATTCATATTGTATGAAACGCAATACACAAATGAATATAAAGTGTGTAGTGAATTAATTCTCATTGTGCTATATTATCAACTATGAAGTCCGAAGCAGTCCGAGCAATTTTGCCCTGTTTCCGAACGTATCCCTTTCATTTTATGATGTAAACACACTTTACAAAAATAAGCTGTATATAAAAGCATCATCTTCCGAAGACATGAAAGACGCGATGGCGATAGTGCTTATAAACCTGGTAAAATATTAGCTGGTTCCTAAGGTCTCGGCTAGAGGAAATTTATCCCCGACTCGGTTGGTAGCAGAAAACTTGTTACCAGAGATCCCGTGAGGATAAACTGAAAAACATAGTCTTTCTAAACAGAATTACGCAAAATTAGCACGTGTACATTGAGACTGCGTTTTCATTTAACAGGTTTCTCCTGCCCCACACAACCACTGATTACAGTAGAATACGTTGGATTGGACAATCTCACATTAGCGTATGGTCTCATCACCATGGCTAAAGGGCCTGCCGCCATGGCAGGTCCACCAATGGCTGGTAAGAATAAAACACTTGATTCTTCTCAACCTCAGATTGTAGGATAACAAAGACGTCAGCTAAGATATTTAAAAATATTTAAAGTTTGGTGAATGTATCAAAAATTTGTTGTTACTTTCCTTCTTCTTAATTTGCATTTTGAAGTATGGTTTCTTACTTCGTCTCTGGGAACAAGACGTGTAGAAAAAAAAGATGTCGATTTTATACAACAATAATATTTCTGAAATACAAGAGAGAGTTGTGTAGAAGGACGGATATGTCTAAATGCATCTGAACATAGATAAGAAAGCAACCAGTTGCTTGGTCAGTGAAGTAAAACCAGTAGCGGGATGTTTAGCTTCAAATGGTGCCGAATCGGACGGGGTTTACAGTCAGACAAATGGATGACTCCCCAAGACTTAATCAGGGAAAACATTATCAGGAGAAGTATTAAGACTATTCAGCAATTGTGTGAATATTAAATGTACTGACAAACAAGTTCTTAAGTCGCAAATTCTAACAGTTGCGACTAGCCATACCGAGAATATATAACTTTACTATAGTGTTATAACAACTTATTAATCGAAGATGAGAACACCGTAGTATTCAATGCTAATGTGACATGTTCATGTTGTATGAGGAAGTTTAATCATTATTCAGTTTGCGTAATTTCTTTCACTTGATTTGAAAGGAACTAGAGATACAAAAGAGGAGAATGTTTTAGCATGTTTCCAGTGCTTTCAATTTCATTTTTATCGTGTTCAATTCTACGGCGTAGGCTTTTCAAACCTTTTCGATCAGTTTTTGAAATGCTAATGTTTTGGAAAAGAATCAAAGTCTCTTTTTGGTATCTTAACGTTTCGGTTTACATCGACCGCTAACACATACTCTACTTGAGAAATCAGAAAGACGAAATCTGTGACTTTATTTTCGATTACTATATCCTTGGAGCTTATCAAATAACCATTTATGGTTTTCGAAACAAGCTGACAAATTAGCCCATGAAAATAATCATAATCCAAACTTAAATTCAGGAAAACGAGCGCAAAATGCGAAAAAAAGAAATATTTACAGGTGGGCATATTGCAAAGAAAATAACACCAGGTGTTCCGAAAGAGCAAGCGTCTTCTGCTACATCGACGACAACCGCCTTTTGAATCTTGGTTAATCCAAGTAGGCAATGTCATGTTCCCAAACGAAAACACGAGATATAACAACTGAAACATGATGAAACACACGAAGGCTTAAGTAGAAATCTGCCATTACAAACACAGAACAACCAGGAATTGCCGTCATTACACGATAACTATTATCGTTGATACAGGAATCGTTTATGCTGGCAGTATTTGTTTTGGTTTTGGTTTTGATTTTGTTTTTCGTTTTTTTTTTCAATCAGCTGTTAATGGATTCGTTTCTTTTCTTCCAGGTAGCTTGTACCAACTCACACAAAAGTACACTAACTCCATAATATTTGCTGGTGGTCCTCTCCTGCTCGCGGCAGCTGTCATGTCACTCATGCCGTTTGTAGGAAAGCGTCGTCTTGATGCACTAGACATATCAGACACTGTAGTATCGCCATCCACCTTGGATATAACGGACGTAACTTCCGGCGAACAGGGAAAACAGTTATGACGTCATTTGTACTTAGACAGGGGTTTATTTTATATTGCATAGAATCTAGCATTTTCCTGGTTTCGTGAATTGCCCTGATGTTTTTGAACAATTTTCTAGTTTCTCTTTCCGGCATTGTGTATTTGAGTGTATCCGGATATAAAGAAAGTAGTTCAAGTCATGATTGAAATTTGAATAAACAGTTTGTAAACGTTTCGAATTTCTCGACAAATACTTGCACAAACTTGACCAACTTGGTCATTTCTTACTAAACCTTAATCACTAATATCAGCAGATGGTAGAGACTTTGATTAGTCTTTCGTCCGTCCGTCTTTCAACGATTCTCTTATCATTATTTCCCGTGAAAGAAGGACGGACAAGGTGGTCACTATATCTCAGTTCCTGCTCCTCTAACTCACGGTTCTTGTCCTCTTACTGACGGTACCCACCCTGTCTTCAAAATTCCTGGCCATATGCAAGCTTTTCTTCTTACATAATCGCATTGAACAATTCTATTTTTAAAGATTGGTCAGCGAGTTTGTTATTTACTTATATAAATAGCCCTAATGAAGGCAAGTCTGATAATAGCAATAATGGAACAGGTTGTTCGAACGCGCCCATGTGAACAGCCTGTCAATTCATGTTCTTATAGTCCTTTTGCCATTTCGGTACACAGCACTATAGGAATTGGAACAAGACATCCTTTGTGTAAGAGTTCTCACTTGCCAGAATTGTTATTCCGAATAGATGTAGATATGAATTCCCTCGTCTTTGTATGTTGATCAACGTTAGCATCACGTCCTAATATATATGCCGTTATATTCGTAACGCTAATAAGTCATCTCGGTATTAAACAAACTATCAAATTGACAAAATTTGACAGTACTTTGTTCTTTTGATTATTCCCAACAACAAGTGAATAAATTGGAAGTATATCTTGATGACTTACTCAGAATTGGTTGTTAAGATAATTCATTACCTTTTTGTATATCTAGCCAGTCTGAAACATTTTTTTATCACACCTAACACCACATTCCTTAACCAACACCTTTTTGTATATCTAGCCAGTCCGAAACATTTTTTATCACACCAAACACCACATCCTTAACCAACACCTTTATGTATATCTAGCCAGTCTGAAACATTTTTTATCACACCAAACACCACATCCTTAACCAACACCTTTTTGTATATCTAGCCGGTCTGAAACATTTTTTTATCACACCAAACACCACATCCTGAACCAACACACCTGTGTGAGTCCCACATGCTGGTGATGTATGGACATTAAAGTTTAAGGTTTTTAGGAAACCCGACTACCCAGAGAAAAATACCAGTAGATGCAGAGATATGAACTCTCTGCCTTTTCTTATTATGATATTAACATATTTCATTAATTAGTTTTAGCTATTGATCATATAACATTACTTGCTGTTAATGAGTTATACGACTGCAATGTAAAATTAATATTTGAGAATTTCTACCAATCGTCCTGTCCTAACATTACAAGGGACCAAAGATGCTTATACTGTATGCAGTTTCAAGGAACATCCATCTTTTCTTTGGATTGTGGACAGAGGTATTTTACAGCGTTCAAAAGAGAATTCGGAAATAACATGAAGAGCCTTTATTTCATTCAACTGACAACAGATAAACAGAATTTAAAACTACATGAATTTCGTGTCTTTAGACATATCCATATTTTCTTTGTTGTTTTCGACCCGCGATATTTACTAATTGTGAGGCTGTTCATTTAGCGCGAAAAATTTACTTTTTATTTTCCTGAACTGTAAATGGCCGAAAAATGAAAAGCATATCGTAAAGTAAATATAAACTGTAACCATATAGACACGTTTGTGATCTTCCTCTTAAAACCTATATAACCTTCCATCGTAGATGATAACTTCAAACTTAGAGTCGATGAAAAATAAGCTATAATGAAATGTGTATTTGTGGTTTGGTAGAGTCCAGTATTATTGATTTTGTTGAAATAGTGTGGTGATGACAGTGAACTCCGAATTCTGCTCTACATATTTACTTTAGAAGAATATACTTACATGTATTTACAAAGTACATCCATGTATTTACAAAGTACACTCTAACAGAGTTCAGCCAAAAGCGTCCCGCCAATGGAGACTAGCCTCTCTCCTTCGTCTCTCCTGTGTGGTTTCCCCTCTTCTAGTCGATCAAGAGGGTCTATTTGTACCAAATATTTGACACATAGGTTAAATGTAGCTACCTAGGTAATTATCTGGCGGTAAGATGACATAAGTATTGGTTTTGACCGATCTTGCATGACCAATGCATACGTACTTTGACAGTACTACTAGACACGCCTATGTGGCATTTACCTGAACAACCATGTGAAGGTAATATTTCAAATTTTTGAAAAAGTTAAAACTATATAAATTATATGATTACTAAAGGTTAAGTGTTTTGTCCAACGACACAACAACGACAACACAGGCCAGTCCGTTCTCAGCTTGCTGAGAAACATAAACCGTTACGGACAGGGACTGTTTAACTGTCCTTACTCGAGGTTTGGAAGGCCATGTTCTGTCGTGGTCTCTACACATATGTATCACCATACACATTTACTTGTTTTAAGTTATATCGAAATGTGTTGCTACTGGTATATGGATTAAATTCTGGCCAGTGCTTGTTTAAGTCTAGGACCAGCGTAGTAGCAACATTACTGCAATATTACAGCATTTAGATCCGAAACGCTCGTTTCTATGAAACGGAAATATTTCTTATCGTTATTGGCCTCGACGTGTTTAGAATGTATGGTCTTTTTTTTTACCTTGTAGAACATTGAAAAGTTCAATGCCCTGAAACCGAAATCCAGGCGAAGAGATTGTAAACAATCGTGTGTGCTTTTATCTTTATAGGTCCTTTTCAGGCCTGTTTGGTCCGTCATTTTAACAACCCCAAAATGACAAGAGTTTCAATAAGTGGATCATCATCACAGTTAAAATCATCATCATAGACCTCTGTTTGAGGTACACGACGACGGACGAATCACTATGATTTTCGATTGACCTGACCCCAATGACCTCGCACATATTTAACATCCTCGGGAGGATGTGTTGTATCTTCTAGTACCGAGTGGCTTGTGACACACGTGTCTAATCCTATCGACTTATATAGCCGCATTAGGTTATATAGTTAAGTATATCCCACCAGCCAACTCAAGCATCTGTGTTACGATGATCCGGCACGTCGAAAACAGACATTCATGAATACGATTACGTGAACTTGGGCAACTTCTGGGACATACATATGATCGTGTCATTTACATGTAAAACAAGTAAATCTATTTCCTCTCGGCTCCCGTGTAGTCAGCAGTTTGTAGGGTTAGTTACTGTACAGGTGAGCACATTTATTACCTGTCGTATTTTACAGTTTACTTTGTAAACATAAGGTCACGTGCACTCAGTTGTTTACCACTTTCTAAACAAACGGTGTTATTATATATTTGAAATAACTGAACGTTAATTTTTAAACAAAAGTCAATTTCAAACAGGAAGTGTTTAAATGAATGAAGTCAACACGGGAAGTCTCTCGGAGGAACGGAGGTCATATTGGCGTCCGAAAATCAGTTCAAACCCGGAGATGTAGTAGATTTTAATGTTAGTAGAAAAAAATCATACTCTCTCTCAAATATACTGTTTTATGCCATGTAGAAATGCAAATAAATGTTTGACTTGTTTGAGTTTTCATCAACGTCTATTGTTAATTTTCGAATCTGACACTTATTTAGTCTCAACAATTCCCTATTTCTATGTTTCGGACGTCAAAATTCTCTATGATATATCGTTATTTCTTCAAAATCACGTGGTTTAGTTTTGTTGAACGGTGTTTATTTTAATAAGGTACAACGTATATTAAGTGTATAATTTTGCTATGTGTGTGTGTGGTGGTGGTGGTGGTTGTGTGTGTGTGTGGTGATGGTGGTGGTGGTGGTTGTGTGTGTATGTGTGTGTGTGGTGGTTGTGGTGGTTGCGTGTGTGTGTGTGTGTGATGATGGTGGTGGTTGTGTGTGTAAGGGTGTGTGTGTGTGTGTGGTGGTGGTGGTGGTGTGTGTGTGTGTGTGTGTGTGTGTGTGTGTATGTGTGTATGTGTGTGCGTGTGGTGGTGGTGGTTGTGTGTGTGTATGTGTGGGGATGTGTGTGTGTGGTGATGGTGGTGGTTGTGTGTGTGTGTATGTGTGTGTGTGTGTGTGTGTGTGTGTGTGTGTGTGTGTGTGTGTGTGTGTGTGTGGTTGTGGTGGTTGCGTGTGTGTGTGTGGTGATGGTGGTGGTGTGTGGGTGTGTATGTGTATGTGTGTATGTGTGTGTGTGTGTGTGTGTGGTGGTGTGTGGGTGTGTATGTGTATGTGTGTGTGTGTGTGTTGGTTGTGGTGGTTGCGTGTGTGTGTGGGTGGTGGTGGTGGTGGTTGTGTGTGTGTGTGTGTGTGTGTGTGTGGTGGTTGTGGTGGTTGCGTGTGTGTGTGTGGTGATGGTGGTGGTTGTGTGTGTAAGGGTGTGTGGGTGTGTGTGTGGTGGTTTTTGTGGTGGTTGTGTGTGTGTGTGTGTGTGGTGGTGGTGTGTGGGTGTGTATATGTGTGTGTGTGTATGTGTGTGTGTGTGTGTGTGTGTGTGTGTGTGTGTGTGTGTGGTGGTTGTGGTGGTGGTTGTGTGTGTGGGTGTGTGTTTGTGGTGTGGTGGTGGTGTGCGTGTGTGTGTGTGTGTGGTGGTGGTGGTGGTGTGTGTGTGTGTGTGGTGGTGGTGGTGGTGGTGGTGGTGGTGTGTGTGTGTGGTGTATACTATATAAGGGTGTTTAGGTAGTATGGTGAACTTTACTCACTGGTACTTGTCAGGTAAATCTGGCCCTGCCATACTTCACACGTCGGTATGTATGGGGTGTGAGGGAGCAGTCCTTATTGTTTGGTTGAGTAAGAATGCACGCGCATACCCTAAACACCTATCCCTACTCTGCACACTCCTTCCCGAATATCATTCTGGACATAACATCGGGCAGTAATTATATTTATCTACATATTGGTAGACAGTAATGCTTCATCATCCCTGTTAAGACATTTTAAACGTAATTTTGTCTTTTGTAATATCTACAATTGTAAATGTCGATTTTTAATTGTCATCGTGTATGCCCCACACTATCGTATGTTTATGTCAAGTAACTGTTAAAAGTAGGTCGTAATTAAACATATTCAAAAAACCAGAGCAGAGTGCTGTTTTCATTTTCGCACCAGGCTACAAATAAATGAATGAATAAATATGCCAGAGATTAGCTCATTTTTCTCGTATTCAAATCGTGCTGTTTTATCGCCAGAAAAATATTCAGAATACCTCCAGCTATATTTAAAAGGGTTCAATTTGATTAAATAGTATTATTGCTTCCCAATACAGAATTGAATGGAGTTTTGTTTTTTCCCTTTTTTACATGAAACACGCTGTCTTGTAAGTAAAGACTTTGAAATATATGTGGTATATACCTAAGCTATTCGGAACATTTGAGTTCCGAGTGTTGGATTTGATCTACAGGCTAACTCGTCGGCAGACACATTCTTATCACCTGCTTGCCAGAAAACCTACATTAAAACCGACCTTTCATAGCTCTAGTCACGAGGTCGTTAACATATTTACGTCAATATGTACTGCCTGTTTTATCATTGAATATTCGACTCTTTGAACGACTTAACTTTAATGTGATTGTCGTTTTTAGGAGCAGACATGTTATTGAAGGGATAATTCACATGTCTGAATGGACGATTTAAGTACAGTGATTCACGAAGGAGCCAAACACAGGTATGACAAGCGAATCCGAACTTGCTGAAAACGGAAGAGCGCATCGGGACATGAATTCCGGAAGTGACGATATGTCTGACGTAAAATTGCTGGACGGTGGCTATGGATGGGTGGTTGTTGGCGCGAGTTTCTTTAACATGTTCTGCCTGGATGGACTTATTGGGATATATGGTCTCCTGTATCCAGAGTTTCTCCTCCATTTTGGGGCCGAGCCTGCCATCACTGCTCTTCCCGGCTCCATAATGGTTGGTATGTCATGTTTAGTAGGTAAGTGTCCATGTAATCACCGCCAAATACAAACTTATATAAAATTGTTCTTCTCGATCCTTATCACCAACATTCATACGTTAAATTTGATATCAATGTTTATAGGTCCTGTCTGCAGCAAGTTGATTCGAAGGTTCGGATTTCGCCGGGTGACAGTGTTAGGAGCATGTGTTACCAGTGTTGGGCTTTTATGTAGCTATGCAACTCACTCAATTGCAGTCTTCTTTGTCACACACGGGATAATCACAGGTAGGAGGTTTCGTCCCAAAGTGACTTGACACGAAATTAATCGTGTAATTGTGAATTCGCGTCAAGTTCCTGTGTTTCGTCAGAGATAGTAGGAATATATTGTAAGGATTATGCAACGACACGCAAGTTAATATCAATGGAAATAAACAAGCACGTATAAGGTTTATGTCAGATAATGAATATTGAATGACTAAAATTCATTATTCGACTGTTTCGACCATGTAAAGGTTGAAATTAAGCAGGCGAATGAGGAAAAATATTCGTAGATAAAAACCTTTTCTATTGATTGATGTCTGCATGTGTATACGATTGGAGTACAATATCTTTAACGAACGAGTTGATATTATTGGATCACTCTCATTTGGCATAGAGATCTGTATCCAAGCAGTTCCTGCTTTGATGATTTGGACGTCGAGCCTGTTGTATTGGACCAGGAATTCAAGAATCTAACGTGAGGATGACATATGTTAGTCATCTTTGTTGGGTATCGTTAATGTCGACACGATTCATACCCATAACCCCTTGATTCAGTTTGTTTTTACCTTTCAGGAACTGGATGTAGCCTGTTCTATTTGCCGTCTGTCACTTTGGTTAATACGTATTTTGACAGGAAGCGTGGTGTTGCGCAAGGCATTATTACTGCCGGAAGTGGATTAGGTGTCATCGTCCTACCTCCTGTGACGAAGTTTTTGATTGGTTATTACGGCTGGAGAGCAACTATTTTATTATGGGCGGGCTTCGTTCTCAATATATGTGTCTCCGGTCTATTGATGCGACCCCCTCCTCCTACACAGGGAGATACCAACAGACACGGAAAACCGATAAACTTGGAGACGAAACCACATAATCATTCTCTTTCTTCATCTAAACAAGGGAATGAACAATTACAGTCGTTTTCATATCTGCATGAAAATGATTGGATACAGACCGAGGGAGTACGGAATCAATTTATCTACTTTAAGAATAGAGGTCATTCAAGCACCCGTAGTCTTCCGCAATGCTACATCGACAAAAATGAAAATTCATCGGCTCATCTTGGTCTTTATCGGTCTCTTCAGTGTGTTCATCATCCCAAACCTAAGCAATACGAACAGGTTTCAATGTACGCACAAAATATGCTTGACAGAAAAGATATTTTTCTAACCGGAAGTACAAACATATTAAAATCAAACACATCCAATAAGTATATCCAATCAAAACGTGTCGAGGAAATGGAAGGAACAGATCATATTTGCGCAGAAATCGAGTCTTGTATGACGTCAGAGAATGACGTAAGTCACGGCTTGTGTAGAGGATCGTGTAAACCGTTTACCACGGATCCAGCTTTTCTCCTTCTTGTGGCGGGGTCTGCCCTAGCTCAGATGGCGCAACACATTCCAATGACATTCATGGCCGAATACAGTGAACTCATTGGACTAGACGGCCAGGACATCGCTACACTCTTCATTCTCTTTGGTGAGTATTTTGTTCTATATCTGATTTGATTTGATCTGTAAACGCAACACAACACCGAACATTTTCTTTGGTAATCGCCTGGAGACAAAGTTTAAGAAAAAGTGATAGGAATATAGTAGCATTATTCTTCGGTCAACAATATATAGCACAGCTATAGACGTTACCGAATGTTGGCGTTTCTCAACACATAAAATACAAATATTCCTTGGCTATGGGCTACATGTCGGGTAGTGTTAGATCATTTCACCGTCGCCAATAATATACTATATCGCGTTATCCTGTTGACACGACTCTGTGTGTTGGATTGCATTTTGTCAACGCAACTGGTTTGCGCTGGAGCGTATGCTGGAGTGTAATGCTTGCTCAACTGGTGTGCCAGTAATTTCCTTTCGGAAAACTAGTTCTCTGTGCCATATTGAAATATCGCAACAGACAGAAAGATGTACCCACCATTCAGTAATCTCGTTTTATCATACTAGCCAATGTCGTGACACTATGAAATATGAATTACGTTTGATTGGAGCATACAAAAGAATTTCAGTTGATCCTGTCCGAGCACAAGATTTTAAAGTGGTATTTTTTGGGGGGAAATGCCCTATATATGAACAACGTTTTGTCTGTGTCCTATGTTTTCAGTCATTATATTTTATCTATTTCTTTATTCATTTTTATGTTTGTAGGTAATGTAATCAAATCTTTATGTTCAGGTGTGGTTAGTATTGCGGGCAGACTCGTGTGCGGGCTGTTGGCCTCAATCCAGATGTTCGGTCCGCTGTTTGTCTGCAACTTCGGCACTGTGGCATGTGCTGTAGCCTGCTTCCTATTTTGGTTGTGTACAACATTTGAGACACTAGTAGTTTTTATTTCAGTCTACGGATTCTTTGTTGGTGAGCATAACATCACATTGCAGTTTAATTTTCCAATCGCTAATGCTGCATCAACACCCTACACAGCCAGGTAAACTTCATCTTAGATACCCCAGGGTTACAATCACTATCGCTCTTTGCATCCCTCGAACATAGCATGGCGAAATCGAAGGTGCAATGTTTCGTCCTGTGACTTACATCAAACGAATTTCGGGGTCGTATAACGGTATATTGTAATGGCTTTGAGGTTAACTGTCGTTCTTTTGTAACGGAGCGTATCAGCCTGTGAATGGTCTGTTTCTTTCTCATTGAACCAATGAAATTACTTCGCTTGTGCCTTCAATTTCGTCATGACATGTTCCAGGGGTGGAGAGAACGAAGGTGATTGTAACCCCTGGAGTATCGAGGAGGGGTGAATTTCGCGTTTTCTTAATGAAGAAAACGAGTATCAAAAGTCCTCATCTGTATTTGAGTACTCGATATGGCTAATGTAATGGCGCACTATTAACGTAATTGCATTTCACCAAGACGGTTGGTTTTTCATTTCTCTGCAAACGGAAGTGAAAAACTTTGTAGTCACCTGCCCAGCCAGGTGGGTTTTCCCTGGGTATTCGGGTTTCCTCCAACAATAAGACCTCTCACCATTCCCTCTGGACCAGTAAGAGTCTTTATTACACAAACATAAGTTGGAGTGATTTGTTTAGCACTTTTTGTAAAATATGTTTAGTTTTGATTGCAAATTGCGGCCGTTTGCATGACGTGTCACGTGCAGGATGGTGATAGGATAATGTCACACTCTATATATGTTTATATATATTACTGTGTTAGATTACTGCAGACTGCATATGCTTCGAAATGACGATGAAATTTCAAATGCATTTAAACCAATGCAAAATGTCGGCGAATGAATCTTCAATACCTCATCATTTAACAATTGGACTTCAGCTTACATTGACCGGAACGTAGACGGTGGGAGATATATTTTGCCAGATTTGTTAACGTTTAAACAGTTTATACCGGAATCTGTCGATTGCTTTGTGTTTTAACGGGTGCTGTATGAAGAACATACTACAGTTACATAACGTAAACTCATCTCATGGAACAACTCACTCCTATATTGTCCCTGCTGACACGGAATCTATTAAAGTGGAATCTAGCATTGATCATATCATGGACAGTAAACAATTCTTCTTGGTCGGAAACTGTTTTTTTGTATCATCCATGTTTTGGCGCCATGTGAAGCCCATGACCTTCAGGTTAAGTTATGTATGAGTTGTGTAAACTAGTACAGAAACAATTTAAGGAATATGTTTTTACAATACATGTTTACTAATTCAGCACTTACATCACACTGAATCCTGTGACGATTAATACAGAAACCATGATGTGTGATGTTTTTTCTTTACAGGGTTCCCGTTTCCCACACAACCACTGATTACAGTAGAATACGTCGGATTAGACAATCTTACATTAGCGTTCGGTCTCATCATCATGGCTAAAGGCCCTGCCGCCATGGCAGGTCCACCAATGGCTGGTAAGAATTTAAAACACAATAACTTAGAACTCAACTGGTCCAATCTGCTTTCCTATATGTGCATATTCTGTATTATTGATTGACCTATTTTAGATATAAATACATGCAGCCAACAAGGGCACATTTTAGTTACTAAATAAAAGGAGGCAGTTATTCACCTTGGATAGGTATCATTGTTTAGTGACTTTTTCTTTGTTCACGTGTAGAATGATAATAACCAGATAAATATACGTGTGTTTTAAATATTTCAATTGTAACATACGACAAGCATTCCTTAATTGTAAGGCCAAACAATAACCTTTATAGGTGAAATGTTTTCTTCGAGTTTGTAAGCATAAATTGAATAGATGGTATTTGTGTGACATTAGGATAGCCACACTGTCATCTTCGTCAGATAAATGACAAATGTATATGTACTGAATTAAATAGTGTACGAGATGGTGATGAAATCAGGCGTTCCGGCTGTATTATGATCCTATGTATGGTACACAGATCAGAGATTTTTTTGGACTATCAACCCTCCAAAATAGTGTTTTTTTCTGATAGGTTATGTAATCATTTCTTATTTGTGTGAACTGAATTGTTCTAACGGGTTTTTGACGGAGCCAAAAGGTTTTTGAATTTAAACGCAATAGTGGCATTAGAGTTCAATGTTACAGCAAATCTGGTGTGAAACACAGCTACTAGTATTTGCTTTCCAATTCAGGAATATTATAATTCTTTTGGATGTTAACTCGTCCAAAATTTCCGTTAAGACGGTCTCTTGTATATTTTAAATACTGAGATCACTTTTGAGCAATTTGATTCCCGACTATTAACAATATTCGGCTTCAGCTGAAGAAGTGAGTACAGACTGGCTTCATCTAAACCAACTGTATACGCTAGCTTTGACAAACCTTTGTTTTCGTTTTTAGTTTCTTCAGCGAAGCTTTCAATCGTAAATACTAGCATTTTTTATGTGACTTTAATTAATTTTTTTATTCAGGTAGCTTGTACCAGCTCACTCAGAGCTATATTTACTCCGTTATATTTGCTGGCGGTCCCCTCCTTCTCTCGGCGGCTGTCATGTCACTGATGCCTTTTGTTGGGAAGCGTCGCTATAACACAAAGGAGGGTCCAGACACTGTTGTCACGTCATCCAGTTCCTGTTGTAATGGCAGGCAAATTTGAATTTGCTCGACCTACCTTTTATCTATTTAACACGTTTTACCTGAAAAAATAACGCCAACATTAAGGACAACGCAGCACCAAATCCTCGACACGGTCTGTTGGTTTTAAATCTTTGGTAGTTCGAAGTCAGCTAGAATATGTTCACTTGTAAAGCTTATGTATCGACGTTTATAACCTTTACCACGATGTAGCATTAATGCTAACATTCTATTGCGTGACAAATCCTCATGTATTAAATCTTTGTATTGGTTTTGTGACGACTGTGCTCGTTGTATCACAGTTTGTGAATAACACTCGAAGTATAAAGGATGATCTCACAAATAAAGACAGAAATGCTAAAATTAAAAAGCAAATAAAAACAACTTCTAGATTCAGGGCCATGAGTTTCTCTGTGGCTATTTTATCAGAAAGAATTCTATAGTAGGCTGATGTATTAAGCACACCATTTTATTACTAGTCGAAAATTGATTCCTGAATTTTACATTCAATGAGGTTAATGCCTGGGAGTCTACCTCAATCCATTGAAAGTATTACAACTAAAAGTAATGTTTATTTTTATTTCATCTTGATGGGTGAAGCCACGACAGATTTTGAAAATGATTTAAATGTTTGTAATTGTACAAGTCTCCAATAGTGATCTTGTGTCTTTGTGCCAACCAATCTATAAATTTGTGAATAAAGGATTTTATATCTACCTTAACGTTGTATTTTCGCCCACCATTAGGAATATTTAATTCCTGTAAGGACCCCATTGGTATAATTCTGTAGCATTTTAATGAGCTCTTTCAATTAAAGCTGCATGAAATATCCTCCCTTGGATATCATGGACGAAACTGTACCATAATACAAAGTACACAACTTTGATTTTCACTGATCCCCATGTCAGATGACATCAATGAAGCAGACTAAACTTACCCTTCTGAAACGCTGGTTCTGTTTTGCGGCTATGTAATGTGCATCTGTGCGCAAATTGCCTATTTTGGGTTACAATATGATGTTATTTTCACAGGTCAATCCTTGGCTTCAAAATTTAGACACACATCACTGAAAGTCCTAGAAGGATGAAACAGCTGTATGATGCACTTCAATCCATTGTTTGACTCTTCAAAAGGCGATGTTCACTTTCGCGTCTTTTGTTAAATCTAAGAACTCCGTGGGAATGGTCTTTTTGGTGACCAATTCAGTTGAAGCCATCATTATCTACAAGCTTTTCTTTTCAAAATATTACTCTCCCATTCGTTATCAGTCGAGAAAGATGACACGACATTGATCCACTGTCATGTCATGAAAGGTGGATTCCTGTTGGTTGTGTCCTTAATTGAAGGAAAACATTTTTTCTGAATTACTTCATCATGTTTCTCTACATCTTGCTGTTCAGTGTTTAAATCCAGACATTTTCGGGGTTTTTATGCTGGTTGCGTGGTATTTGTTCTTTACCGATTCATTTTTTTTCAGATTGCTAGCTCTTTGGTAACTTTAGGCAGATCGTCAATTCATGCAAGTTGCCTTTAGTTATAAAGCCATTCCTTATTTACGGTAGAGCATCAACCGTTTCTTCTTTTTGGTTGGTACCGTTTCCGATCAAATCAAATGAATGCAAGACAACTTGTTGTTGTTGAGTAAAGCCAATGGCAAACAATCCTCCCCCAATTTGCCGTCAAGATGATTTGTTGTCAGTCAAGATGTAGCACTTGAGGCAACAGTCAGATGATTTCAAATTATGGTTTCATTGAATGTTGTAGGAGGTTTTATCTGTGTATTGTCTGTCAATGGTTATTTTTTGTGACTCCCAACACTATTCTTGTGACTCCTTCTAGCTCAACACTATTCTTGTGACTCCTTCTAGCTCAATAATATTCTTGTGACTCCTTCTAGCTCAATATTATTCTTGTGACTCCCTGTAGCTCAACACTATTCTTGTGACTCCTTCTAGCTCAATACTATTCTTGTGACTCCTTCTAGCTCAACATTATTCTTGTGACTCCTTCTAGCTCAATACTATTCTTGTGACTCCCTGTAGCTCAACACTATTCTTGTGACTCCTTTTAGCTCAACACTATTCTTGTGACTCCCTGTAGCTCAACACTATTCTTGTGACTCCTTCTAGCTCAATACTATTCTTGTGACTCCTTCTAGCTCAACATTATTCTTGTGACTCCTTTTAGCTCAACACTATTCTTGTGACTCCCTGTAGCTCAATACTATTCTTGTGACTCCCTGTAGCTCAATACTATTCTTGTGACTCCCTGTAGCTCAACATTATTCTTGTGAATCCTTCTTCCTCCATACTATTCTTGTGAATCCTTCTTCCTCAATACTATTCTTATGACTCTTTCTAGCTCAATACTATTCTTGTGACTCCTTCTAGCTCAATACTATTCTTGAGACTCCTTCTAGCTCAACACTATTCTTGTGACTCCTTCTAGCTCAGCATTATTCTTGTGACTCCTTCTAGCTCAATACTATTCTTGTGACTCCCAGTAGCTCAATACTATTCTTGTGACTCCTTCTAGCTCAATAATATTCTTGTGAATCCTTCTTCCTCAATACTATTCTTGAGACTCCTTCTAGCTCAATACTATTCTTGTGAATCCTTCTAGCTCAATACTATTCTTGTGACTCCTTCTAGCTCAATATTATTCTTGTGACTCCTTCTAGCTCAACACTATTCTTGTGACTCCTTCTAGCATAATACTGTTCTTGTCACTTCTTCTAGCTCAATATTATTCTTGTGACTCCTTCTAGCTCATTATTATTCTTGTGACTCCCTGTAGCTCAATACTATTCTTGTGACTCCTTCTAGCATAATACTGTTCTTGTGACTTCTTCTAGCTCAATATTATTCTTGTGACTCCTTCTAGCTCATTACTATTCTTGTGACTCCCTGTAGCTCAATACTATTCTTGTGACTCCTTCTAGCTCAATACTATTCTTGTGACTCCTTCTAGCTCAATACTATTCTTGTGACTCCTTCTTCCTCAATACTATTCTTGTGACTCCTTCTAGCTCAACTTTGTTCTTGTGACTCCTTCTAGCACAACATTATTCTTGTGACTCCCTGTAGCTCAATACTATTCTTGTGACTCCTTCTAGCTCAACATTATTCTTGTGACTCCCTGTAGCTCAACACTATTCTTGTGACTCCTTCTAGCTCAATTCTATTCTTGTGACTCCTTCTAGCTCAATACTATTCTTGTGACTCCTTCTAGCATAATACTATTCTTGTGACTCCTTCTAGCTCAATACTATTCTTGTGACTCCTTCTAGCTCAATATTATTCTTGTGACTCCTTCTAGCTCATTACTATTCTTGTGACTCCCTGTAGCTCAATACTATTCTTGTGACTCCTTCTAGCTCAATACTATTCTTGTGACTCCTTCTAGCTCAATACTATTCTTGTGACTCCTTCTAGCTCAATACTATTCTTGTGACTCCTTCTAGCTCAATACTATTCTTGTGACTCCTTCTAGCTCAATACTATTCTTGTGACTCCTTCTAGCTCAACACTATTCTTGTGAATCACTATTCTTGTGACTCCTTCTAGCTCAACTTTGTTCTTGTGACTCCTTCTAGCACAACATTATTCTTGTGACTCCCTGTAGCTCAATACTATTCTTGTGACTCCTTCTAGCTCAACACTATTCTTGTGACTCCCTGTAGCTCAACACTATTCTTGTGAATCCTTCTTCCTCAATACTATTCTTGTGACTCCTTCTAGCTCAATAATATTCTTGTGAATCCTTCTTCCTCAATACTATTCTTGTGAATCCTTCTAGCACAACATTATTCTTGTGACTCCCTGTAGCTCAATACTATTCTTGTGACTCCTTCTAGCTCAACACTATTCTTGTGACTCCTTCTAGCTCAATAATATTCTTGTGACTCCTTCTAGCTCAATACTATTCTTGTGAATCCTTCTAGCTCAATACTATTCTTGTGACTCCTTCTAGCTCAATAATATTCTTGTGACTCCTTCTAGCTCAATATTATTCTTGTGACTCCTTCTAGCTCAACTTTGTTCTTGTGACTCCTTTTAGCTCAATACTATTCTTGTGACTCCTTCTAGCTCAACATTATTCTTGTGACTCCTTCTAACTCATTACTATTTTTGTGACTCCTTCTAACTCAACACTATTTTCGTGACTCCTTCTATCTCAACACTATTCTTTCAAGACTTTTCAAGCTTGTTCATAGCCATCAAATCGACAAACACATTAATTAATGTTTTGTTTTGAAATTTGACACAAACTATTTAAACCTGTATTAAACTTCTCTCAAGTGATTTACTATTAACTTCATTGAAGGACAAGGTTGAAGTTCTTGGTTGTAAGTTTCTGACCCCATTGAAAAATATTTACTTGTGCACTTTATGGATTTAATGACTTCAATATGTGTTACTGTGCATAGTGGTTAGTTGCTGTTGATTTTGAGAATGAGACAATTTTAACTTGGAATGAAAAATTTACATGGTGGGTGTCATCAATAAAGATGAATACACTGTTTCTTTTAATTGCATGTTGTTTTAATCGCCTTACACCTTTTTATATGACTATACAAATCTTTCTTTTGTTCAAATTTTGTTGTCACTTCATTGACTTTGAGTTTGAAATAAGTGTCTGTGGACATGTTGGTATTTTCTTCTGTTCTGTTATACAGTAATATCTGAAAAATAATCTTAAGTTGTAACCTCTGTTTTCAATCCTTTAATCAAGTGTGATTTAGTATATACACATTTTTATCATAACAAAACTAATACACAGCAAATATGATATTTTATCTACAAAAAAAGAAGCTGACACACAGATATTCATTACTCTCATACTCCTACATATACATATATCATCAAATAATTTTTCACCAACTCTGTATGCCTCACCAAACTTTTACATATCTGCATAGGCAGTTTCTACTGTTACTCTTTTCCAGGTAAGACAACATACTCTTCAATACCTAAACTGATGCCTCACACAATTCCTTTTCAATCTAAGTTCTTGATATACATATATGTATCCACTCCATCCACATTCCATGTCTACCTCCCTCTGTGTCGTTACTCCAACAGGAGGTCCACCTCCTCAAGTGGTATTTGAAGCCTGAGTTCTTTTTCGATGATGAGGTCTGTAACATCGGTCACATTTTCTTCACCAAACATTGCCACGCCATCTAGGTACAGCACCTGACATAAACAGATCAATAAAAGTATTAATTTCCTCTCCTGACATCTTAAAACTCCAGTGAATGCAATTCAATACAGATAATAGCATTCTTCTTTATGGCAAACCTTGAAAATTGGCATGTCACTCCCATCATTGACATCCCAATATGATCTATGCTAACTTTGAGAAACATAAACTACTCCATCTATTCACGGTGGAAAGGATTATTGTTGGTACATATAATCTAGTGATGTCTCCTAAATCATACTAAAAAGGTTGTTCAGAGCTAAACAGAATAAACTGGATGACAGATGTGTCAGGATATAACATAGGTAAGGTTACAGAAGGTCAATAAAGAAGACGAGAGTGTTAACAAGGATAAGATGTAATCATGAAATACACAACAACATCAATTTGATAAAATACTGATGGTGAATTAAGTTGAACAAAAGACATGTGTAGTATATCTTTTGTGTGTTTTAGATTCCAACCTTGTTTAAGCATGCTTTAATCTGCTTTTTTTTTGCGACCAGTTTCATACCAGCTGTTTTGTTGTGCTTTTCCCTATCTTTGTCCTTTATCAAAATTGCTATATATTTTATTGCTTTGACAAGATAACTGCCTGGCCAAGCTGTATAATTGTTTGGGATTTATTCCTAACTTTGACCGTTTACATAATCTGCATCTTGTTCTTTCCAACTACCAGTGAAAGAATACTTGTTGTAAAAATGTTGCTTACCTTGGCCCAGGGACAATGCTGAAGAGCTTGATAAAACAACCCTTTGGCCCGCTCTCTTTTTCCGTACTTCATCTGATAATAAAATTCTAGTCTTTGGCAATTTTATAAAATGAATTCCTAGCAGGCAAAATAAAACCAGACATACTGTAGAATCTAAAAAAAAATTTGTTTGGCACGGTTTCAACTTCAATTTTATACGAAGACCACATGGAACATCAGAGTTCTCACTGTTGAACACTGTATGTAGGTAGACTATAAATAGTCTAATTTAAACACATGGAACATCAGAGTTATCACTGTTGAACACTGTATGTAGGTAGACTATAAATAGTCTAATTTAAACACATGGAACATCAGAGTTATCACTGTTGAACACTGTATGTAGGTAGACTATAAATAGTCTAATTTAAACACATGGAACATCAGAGTTATCACTGTTGAACACTGTATGTAGGTAGACTATAAATAGTCTAATTTAAACACATGGAACATCAGAGTTCTCACTGTTGAACACTGTATGTAGGTAGACTATAAATAGTCTAATTTAAACACATGGAACATCAGAGTTATCACTGTTGAACACTGTATGTAGGTAGACTATAAATAGTCTAATTTAAACACATGGAACATCAGAGTTATCACTGTTGAACACTGTATGTAGGTAGACTATAAATAGTCTAATTTAAACACATGGAACATCAGAGTTATCACTGTTGAACACTGTATGTAGGTAGACTATAAATAGTCTAATTTAAACACATGGAACATCAGAGTTATCACTGTTGAACACTGTATGTAGGTAGACTATAAATAGTCTAATTTAAACACATGGAACATCAGAGTTATCACTGTTGAACACTGTATGTAGGTAGACTATAAATAGTCTAATTTAAACACATGGAACATCAGAGTTATCACTGTTGAACACTGTATTTAGGTAGACTATAAATAGTCTAATTTAAACTCTATTTCCAAAAGATATAATAATCATGGCATCACTTGTAAAATCATATTTCTTTGGGAAAAAATGAAAATCAATGAAATAAGCAAGATACAATGAAAGTGGTGTACCTACCTCTGTATAAAGACAAGCACGCCACAACAGAGGACAGTTCCGAGTAAGATTGTTGTCCCTGCCAACATCACAGTAGCTCCTGATACGATGAATCATACTTGTCTCTGGAATCTTCACGTCTTCCCCTGTAGTCGGAGGATATTATCAAAACCAAACATAAGTGTTTCAGCAATCATAGACACAGACCTACAGCCTTATTTACCCCCGCAACTAAAAAAACAGGTCAGAGACTACATTCTTCATGACACTAAATACCATATTATGGTAGTTTAATATCAAAGTAATGGCCTTTTCATGTTTTAAATTGTAATCCACATTGTATACACTCAAATAAGCGTACTGACAGCAAATTTAAACCGGAATCTGTAGATATCATTTCCATTTTGTTGATGTTTCTTTGTTTATTGATTTTTTTTTGTTTACAAAATGCAAAATCTGTGAATGAGCCAACAATGAGCAGATACACACCCTGTTTCAAATAATTTTCCTTCTTCATTTGTTCTTCCAAGTCCTTAAGTTTTTGAACCTGAGACAATATGGCCATCATCAGAAGATTGGGTTGTGTTCCTTCCTTCAGGTGATGAGTAAAGAAACGATCAAGATGCCCTGAAACATTCATCTTCATTTCTGTCTGAGTAAACAGCCACAGGAAGTGAGAACTGTAAGGGAAGTCACTCAGAGCTGCATTAATGGCAGAACGCAAACAACTGAGGGGTGCAGATAAAGTCAACATATGACACAAAACCATTCGTACCTTTATCCTGTGTAGTTCCTCCAGAACTGTAAGACAGTTGGATGTCAGTGGTTCGCAGCGAGGCTGCTTTTTATCTGGGTCGAGGGATGGATGGTTAGAAAGAAGAAGTTGTATCTTGGACAATGCCCAGTCCACTATCCCTATACTCTCCTTCAACATGTCTACCTGAGTGAGCCAAGCATACAAAACACAACACCTGGTGAGCTCACAGAAGTGCTGTAATGTCAACACACATTTTCCACTACTTCCATGTACCTCAGTCTTCAGATTTTCTGCATAGCATTCTAACATTTTCCTCATTTTCTTCATGGTCCAAGAACAGATCAATGGATTCTCAAATGGAACTGGATCCTTTATGCTTTTTTCCTTTACAAGACACTGAAGGCCCCAGCGAGCCTCCTGAGAAGATTTTTCAGAATCTTTATCTAAGATCCTGTCTCCACATACCCGCAAATCTCCCGGTGGAAATTTTAGAATGATCTCTGTCAATATCCTGTGTAGTCGTACAAGTCCACATCTTGTCCCAGGGTCCACTTCAATAGCTGACCCTGATCCACTCTGCATTGACAAGGCCGTCTCTACCACTGGACGAGCCTCCAGCACTCCTCCAACTTCCCAGAGCTGAGCCGTGTATTCGCTCCACACAAACAAGTTACTCCTGTTTCTGGGCTCCTTCAACAGTGACTTACCAAACTTTTTAAGTTGTTTTAGACCACTGGGACTGTCCTTTATACATTGTTTAAAAAATCGTAGTCTTAATGTTGTAAGAACAGTATGTGAATTCACATCGTTTTCGAAATAGCTAACCATCTGTTCTAATAAGGAGTTGATATATGTTTTAAGATGTGGTGTCACTTTTATATCGCCATGACATTCGGGAAGCAGATTCTTGCTAAAGATCTGTGATACTCTGTCTAAGTTACACTGACAGTCAATGGATCTCACTGAGCTTATGATGAAGTCACTTGATGTGTCAACACCAAGAAATAACAAGAATTGTAAAACTGCTTCAAAATGGAGCCACTTGGGCAACGTAAACAGAACACCTGACACATCATCGAACAAAACCAAGCGTTCAACATCCTGGCAGTCCTCTTCTGTCTCATCTTTGGATACATCTGGTCTCCATGGTAACCAGTGAACAGACCCACGCAGAAGCTCCATGTTAAGCCATATCCTCCATTTTGGATCATTCCGCCCTAGCAGTTCTTGTTCCTCTTGTTCTATGTCTAAAAGAAGATATTTCTTGTTTACAAATGGATACAGGATTACTGTCCTATAACTGTCCTAAAAATGTATATGTTTTGGTGATTCAAAAATAACTCAATTATACTGTAAATATCTGGTCTCTTTTACTGGCGAAATTGTTTTTCTATTAAGACTTAAATACATTAAAATAAACAAATAAAGAGCATGCCTCACCATACTTGTTTTTGTATTTAAATTATGATCGATTATACTGCTGGTTGTGAAAAGACATTGTAAGTATAATTCTGAGGATTCTAGGTAGCTACACACGCAAGGCTTTTCCATTACTTGTGTTCAGCTCAATTATTGTGCCATTCAAGGGCAATACAGATGTTTCTACCTGGCGACGCATTGGTCAGATAGATAACATGTTATATAAAATGAAACAGATTACAGGTCCCCGGTAAGAGTTATGCCACAGAAGGGTTGATCTACGTTAAAGTCTCATTAATGAAGTTTTGGAGATACCATATTTGTCTTCAATTAAGCTACTACACCATTTGTTTAATGAGTGTGGAAAATTTGTATGGAGTCATCGTAAACGGTTTCTGAGATATACTCTGAAAACGAAGAAATCAGTGATTTTGATGTTTCCACAGTAACCAGAAAGATACTGAAACAGAAAACTGCTCCATAGTGAAAGGCACTACGAGATCACTTGATTGATGTGTGTAGAAAGTTTTGTGAAGTTATCTATTAGGCTTTTAATGATAATTTCTGGAAATACCCACAGACTGATGAATGAACATACAGTACCCATTTGTATATCCCCCTAGCACCAACCTTATTAAAATGATTACAATCCTGATATTACACCAGTACCTGTGTCAAGTGTCAAGGCAGCTGATGAGGGTAACTCTCCAGGATTTTCTGACCAGAACTGCCAGCCCTTAGCATTGTTCTCTCCCACCCTACTTATACCGCTGTCCCAGAAACTCTCAAATACATTCTGCTTGTCCTGGTGACCAGAACTTTCCAGTGAAGCAGGGCAATAAAGGTTGAACTCTAGCAGAGCCTGGAAACAGCCTACAGCCTTCTCCATATGGCCAGCTTGTCTTAAGAAACAGCAATACTGCACAAACAGATCTGTAATAAAAAGACAGCATGAAATAACTGGACATCATTGACATGCATTTCTGACAATGACAACCAATGAATTTGAGACACATCACAAATGTTTATTCAATGCTAGTCTTCATTTGCCAAGAAAGGCAAAAATGAAAGTGCTATATTATTTTACATACAATGTATGTATATCATATTACCATATACATCAAAAGATTCTTTGTTCTCTTTCCTCAGAAGTTTTTTGATTCAATCAAGCTCCTTCAGAAATTCCTTCAAGATCCTCTATTTCTCATGTCAAATTCACAGAATCATAAATCAAGGCTTTATGGAGTTTTAGAAGAAGTTGTTTGCAATTCTGAACCTATTTGACAGATATGATACATGTACAGACAAGGGTCTAGTAGGTAATTCATCCTGAGAAAGGCATGAATGCCCTTTATGCCAGTAAGAAGTTACTCACTAGATCAGGTGTCACTTACCTAACATGTTCCTGTCAAGCCCATCTGTAGACCCATGGGAGAACACTGACCCCTCTTGGTAGCCAATCAGCTTCTGTATACAGGTGCTGTAGAATTTACACACTCGTGTCACGGAAAAAGTGGCAAGGTGAGATTGATTGTACAAGAGGTATTGCCTCCACAGGGTGGTGTCTGTTGGATACACAAACAGAAGGCTTTCTAATTCCTTGTTCACCTCGGCTGCCTCCAAATTGCCTTGGCAAAGTTCTAGATATCTCAGTTTAAGAGAAACACATGATGAATTTGCCTCCATAGCCTTCTTAAGAATCATTACCTTTTTCTCATGAACGACCTGTTTTGGGAGCTTCTTAACATTCATACTTCCAGCATGGTCCTCATCTGATAAGTCCTCATATAAAAATCTATCTTGGAATTTAACAAATTCCAGCCAAAGTTTGACATCTTTTGGGTTTTCCCTTAAGCGTTTGTTGTAATCAGCATTCTTCTGCCATAACTCTGACCTCACTATAGGTTTGTTATCCTGTTGCGATTGAATCACTCCTGTACCTTGCACATAAGCCAAAGATTTCCCATCCATCAGCTGGTCACGTACATCACCCTTCAACTGGCCGTCCTCTTGGTTCTGATGTTCAGATTTGATCTTGTTGACAGATATGAATTCCTTTGCACTATCAGAACCACTCAAACAGTCCTTACTAATCGGGATGACTTCGTCTGGAGCTGATCTCGATAATTTTCGATTCTCTTTGTTGTAATACCTGTTGTGTGACTTGAATCGACTGCTCTGATCCTTTTGTTCTCTGAGAGACACTGCTAGCTGATCATCAGCAGCCAAACAAACATCAACATGTCTTTTGAATTTGGCAACATGTCTGTCAACCACTGATCCATATATATAGTTGTTTTTATTGGGCTTTCTATCAATCCGATAAGCATCCTCTGCCTCTAGTCCTGGTATCTCGTCAATAAACACTTTGTCACCGTGCTTGAACACCTTTGTTCTAAAATCAGATTAAAATGAAAAAATTAATGTAAGTTGTGATTAATTACGTTAATCCATTACTGTTTTAATCTGTTAACAGGATTCATAGTATTTTCAAAAATTTACAGGAAACAAAATATCAGATTAGGTTTATAAGGTATAGAAATATTTGGATCATTTGATAACATACAAAAGCCATTATCTTAGTCAATTTTCAAAGTATGCCTTGAGATTTCCGGCACAACAATAATTCCGGAAATGTCAATCGGAACATACTTTTACTTTCTGTCATGGAATGTTTCCTTTTAAGGAAAACTAGCGTCGGGGTTACCAGTGTATGTATTGCTGATATTTACTTTCCTAGTGTTTCCTTCTATATTAGAACTACCGGAAAAAAAACACAAAATGAAGTGGTATGAAATTCATATTGTCCATTCACATGCAAGATATCCAGTTCAGTGTAATTGAGAAACAGGGAGTAAGCTAGATGCAACTAGAACTGTAATCCTAATAAATGCTCTGAACAAGTTTAGGATTGGTGGTGACAACTTCTTTATTGATCAGTTATTGTTGTACAAATACTAAGGCAACTATATTCTTGTGAAATAACATTGAACGTGTGCAATACATGGTGGCTAATATTTCTGTGTAGCTTCATTGAAATCTAGACGGAGTTGTCTGCACAAATGTATTGTTTTACAGACAGACAAGATAATTCCAGTATACCCCTCCTAACTTTGTTGAAGGGGTGGAATATAATCAAGTACCAACTCCTTTATGTTAAACAATGCCACACTCTCTAACACCACAAACATTTAAAACCATAATTCCTTATATCTATGTCAGTAAAACCAAACAATCACTTAAGGTTAGAATACTTTCAATTTCTTGCCTCCTTAAAAAATTACATTGATAGATATTCAGAACTATCATCAGTTGTGAGATTCCTTACTGCTTTTTGGTGACATTACTATACTGGGGCACTGGACTCCTTGACCTTGACCTCCGATGTTTATGCTTCTTAGATTTGTGTTTATGTTTTTCCTTCTTTGTTTTCTTTCTGTGTTTTTTCACTTCATCTCCTGTAACAGATGATAATTCCTAATGAACATATTGATTTGTCTACCAAAGTATTCATCAACAAGCAAGAAACTTTTTTAATGTCCTGACAATGTCTTTTTGCTTGGTTTATAAAGTCATTCTGAGGTAGGGTCTCCATGTAGTATCAGAAGACTACCACACTGAACAACAAACAGGAGGCCCATTGTATTTTATCTAGAGCAATTAGGTTAAAATGTCTAGCCATAGACACAACCAGTTCAGCACAGAACACAAAACGTCATTGGTAGGGAGCAGAAAACTATGCACCTTGGATATTCACCTGAGGATACTTAGGTCAATGCTCTACCAACTAAACAATTGTGACCCCCTCCTGACAAGGTATTACAACAATCAGGTGATGGAATGAAGTACAAAGAATGCAATTTCGTACTACATCTTTGTTTATATTTTTTATGTCTTTGCAAATCAGGATTGTAAATTATCACATGCTTGTTTACCAGGTAAATGGATCAATGAAAAAAAAAAAACCCACACAAACAAAAAATGCTTCAGCATGTGGAAGCATAATTATAAAGATGTACACTGCATTATTGATGTTTCTTCAACAAATCTTAAGTAGTCATCTTGACAGGAACACAGACAGCTTTTCTGTTTTAAAAGATTGTTACAAGTTACAATGACTAATATGGATAATAATATATATGCTAAGTATTGTTATGGTTATCATTTTAACTTAATAACTAGTCTTTCTGCCTGATGAAGTTATGCAACTTAACTGACCTCAATTGACTAAATCAATTTCTTTTTTTACAAACAATCTGATGAACATTTTACAGCCTTACTCTCAGTTTCTTCGTCGTTTGTGCCACTCCTCTCATCATCTGCTTTCCACCTCTTAGATCTAAAAGTTATTGAATTAGTAAATGTTATTAAATCAGTAATCATATAGTACATAAAAACACAATGCCACATGGCTGTAGTTTATATAAATATTTATTGAAAATGTAATTATAATTTCCTTTTAATAAATCTTTTTTTAGCTCTTTGCAATTTATTCTGTTTTTTTTTAACTAAAGAAATTTTCAAATATTCAATAAAAAGCATTAATAATTAAAAAACATACTTAGTATGACCTTTGGGTGAGTGATCTTGGTTGTCACAGGAAATCTCTGATGAAGCAGTTGTCTCTATTGGAGAATCGTGTACCTTTTTGATATTCTTTTGTTCATGTTCTGGCTTGTAACTACTGTTACTCAGCCAGTCAAAATTACCTGGGGTCAAAACAGAGAGAAAAATAAATAAAAAAAAATTGTTGGTTTATTGTTGTGTCAACATAAAGAGTCATTTGAGTAGAAGCTGGTGGCTACCTCACTGAACAACATGCAGGAGGCCCATCAGATGTTATCTAAATCAATTGAGGTAAAAGTGTCTAGCCTAAGGACAAAACTGCTATAGCACTGGAAATCGGTGATTTCAGATTCCTGAGCAAATAAAACTGTCTTGAGAAGGAATTAAACCACTTTAGTCTAGTAATACATTTTACTGAAGCACCAAGATACTGCAGCTGTTTGCAAATAAGTAAGGAAAATTTTGTCTGAGGATCAAAATTATGAAAATGTTTATTATTACTGCTATAGCAGGAAAGGAGTAGTGTGTACCTGCTACAGCTTGAACCAGCTGTGACCCCTGGTATACTTACTGGTCCATTGCTGATTGACTAAACAGAAATTTTCACTAGAGGGAAGCTATAAGACTACCTTATTCTAATTCCTATATAATGTATGGTTAAAACCGACCACACTTCCCATTTGTAATATATTGAGCCAAAACAACACATCAATCCAAATTCTCCAGCTCCAAAAAGTCTTTCAGTAACTTGCACTTTGAAAAGGCTATGGCACCAAATGTAACATTAAATGAACCCTGTTTCTCTTCCTGGGATCGAACCACTGATCCAGTGCTTACTGGTCCACTACTCTACCTATTGAACTGAAGGAACATTCCCACTAGCAAGAAGATAGAAAGCAAGTCTACTCTTACATTATGTACAATTAAAGCCTGCCACACTCAAACAAAACTACACAAATTAGCCACCACAAATGTATATATATATAGACTTGATAAAATGCCTTGCAAACTTGAGAGGATATACAAATTATTACAGTAATCATGTTTCATAATCAAGTAACTGGTCATATTCATGACATCTATCAGACAATATCCTTTCAAAATATTTCTTATTGACAACTGAATGTCTATCAATAAAATGGTGACTGAATTTAATGTAATGATTGTGTGAGGGCAGAGCGTCAACATATAGTTATTATGCTACTTAAATGAGTAGTATCTTCGTATCATGATATTTCCGATTCCTGTCATTCTAAAATCAATCAAACGATCAAAATTCCTTTTAGAAATAAATGTATTATTTACACAAATTCACAATCGTTTTAATTAATAGTAGCAAACTTGATAAATAATAGAGTATCGGCGTACGTTCTCAAACGTTAAGTTGAAACTGAAAGTAGCGTTTTAAAGTAATGTCTACTGTCCAAAATTTGTCATTTACCTGGAGAAACCAGATGTTCTGGTGTACCTATCTGTACATCAGCAGCCGGGAATAACTTCTGCGGACGTTCTGTTTCTCCTGCCTGGTCTAATATTGGGAAAAGCGGCATTTTGCATCACGACTTACTGTTATAGAATGGTAAAACAAACCGGAAGCGCAATGTGACATCGTGATGAATTAGACGCTTTCATGTTTTTGAATGCAATCCCTTATCTAATCAAAACGTTTTACTAACTCCAAATTTGGTTTTCGATACGTTTCTAGTCTTTTCTTTTAAATTGAGAAAGACACACGAAACCGTAGATTAAATCGAAAGGAAGAGAAATGAAAGTCCAAAGGAGACAGCTAGCACGATTTCAAATCGAAGAACCTAGTTCAACTAGTCACCCTTTACACCTGTCCATCAGCGAAAAGGATGCTGATACTTTAGGAATAACAACAAAAGAAGACTCTCAATCATTGTTTCTCTCCGTGTGTTATAAGAGGTCATCTGATCTCGATTACAGTTTCAGCAGCTCTTTTCCCGTCACTCCGTCCTCTGGGGGTCAGATTAGTGTCAGTACCTCCCCTAGTGGGAGCCTTCCGTTCCCTCCATCTTGTTCATTTGACCTCCATCAAGAGTCTATCAATGTATGTTGTGATCAGGAATGGCTGGATATTGCTGTGTGCGTTTGGATAAGAAAAGAGCAGGGTGATATTGTTGACAGAAAGTTGAAACCAGAATCTAGTGACTTTATAGTTTTAACTGGGACTCCAGACTTTTTAGCACATTACCAGATTGCTGCAGAAGATGATTTGTTCATCAGACCAGTTAAAATATACCCAGTTCAGAAAATTGTTATTGGTGTGTCAAATTTCAATGCATATCGCTGGCTGCAGAGAGTTAACTTTTGTACAGGACTGTTGGTGGAAGTGTGTCTACACCCCATACTGGTCAGGGAGAATGACATCTTCTTGGCTCCATACTCTAAACTTTTCCTAAGTGACTCAGAATTTGATCCTTCATTCTATTTTGATATGCAGGTTTTAGAATGCTGTCCTCTTAGGGTTGGGAGAATCACAGTGAATACTGAGATAATAATCTCATTCATTGATCAAGATGTCAACAGGAAGAGTGCTGAGTTTCAGTTGGATAGTCCAACAAAGGCTATGGCCTCTAAAAGTGTTGACCAATACCTAATATCAGACTTTTGTCAGGCTATGCGACCAGACTCGCTGACACTCAATGCTAAAACTATTGGTGTCCAGAAATCTTCAACACAACCCCTTTACATATCTTTTAACTACCAAGTAGTACAGCAACACATCCTCTGGAAACGACTTTTGATAAAACCACAACAAAAAGTGACTTTTGATCCTCTTTACTACATAGGTATGACCAAACAAACAATGTTGCAGCACGGATTCTTTGAAGAAAGCCTTGTCCGTGTATCACTAGACGATACAACTCAGCCATTTACAGTACCATTTAGACTTGGTTTGGTCAAGTGTATAACAGAGTCTCTAGAAAATACTAACAAAGTGTTCATTTCACCTCTGATGTTGTTCAATCTGCAAATGACCTGTGCCAAACCTCATGGCATTATTGGACCCATTAGGATAGAGGTATTTTCTTTTCATTTTACATGTAAGATACATTTGAAGAACTCTTATCAAAGAAATACAAAGATTGTACAGATTGTAATATGTTCTGAAAGACAGTATATATAAGTGAAATAAAGAATAATATGATTATATATGAAACAGTTAATTCAGACCTTTCACTAGGTAAATGTAGAAGATTTGACTTGAAGTTTGAATTTATTTAAAGGATCTTAAAATTCTTTTTCAGTACAAAGTTTGTTAAAAAAATGTTTTAAATAGATGATGTTGATTGATCCCTGGAAAGTTCACCAAAATCAACAATCACTTGAGATAAGGTAATGAGTCAATTGCAAGTACATTTGTTTGTTTGTATTTTTGATAAGTGTAATTGTTTTCAAGTTTTATTTATGTGTAAATAATCTCTTTGTTTTCCAGAAATATCATTATGACCTGGATCAGCATGATGTTGACTCTGGAACAACAAGTTCATCCTGGAGCAGTAAGATTCCATTAGCAAGAGAAGTACAGATCTCCATAGTAATCAGTCCATACTACAGTCCAAGGGCCATTCACACTGAGGCTATCAAGGCCTACTTCACTGTGCCAAGGTCTGGTAGACTGCTCAGAAATAATTTGTCTTCCTTTTCATGATGATTTTGTTTATTGGATGTCTTATGGGAGATAATTGGAGTTGTGATACTCTACTGAAGCCAGTTTTTTTACTTAAATTTAATCTCAAGTTCCACCACTGTGATTCAGCTGGGACATGTCTGATGATAAATAATTAATAGAACAAGAGTGATTATGTTTTGGAGTAGTCAAAAATCCAAAATGGCCTTTATGTTGAAAAACACATTTAAAATTTCTTATCAATTTCCACTGGTGCCATTGAGCCGAAATTTGTTTAGAATGGTGAGAAACTGAAGTGATGTTCTTTGCCTTTTCTGCTAAAATATTCTGAGCTGTTTGAATCGTTTGAATACTGTTATTACTTACTTACACTGCTGTTTTATCATATACAGGTGTTTTAAATTGAAAATTTTTAAAAAGAATCATCTGTAAATATGCCGATAATAGTGTAAAATTTGAAAAGCTCGCCAGCAAAAAATCAGGTCACAAGGACTGCTATAATTTCATGGATGAATAACCCAGTCCCTGGTGATATTGTTTTTTTTGCATTAAACAAAAGAGGTTCCAAAATCTTGAGAGGATGCTGTTGTACTTGAGTACACAGACCTTTGTAATTTCATACTTTTCACTGCTTAAGTCAAAATAATGTGACTGACTTGATATAAAAAATCTTACACTTGTATTTTGATTTGTATTTCTGTGTTTTTGTTTTATTATCAGGCTGATGACGAAAGGTGACATTATACCAATTCGAAGTACAGGTAATTGTTTGTTGTATTTGAAATGTTTAATCCAATGTTGTGCACAGTAGTGTTTTCAATACATGTTTTCATATCTATTGTTGTAGGACTAATAAATTTGAATGTTTTATTTGATTCTCAGCATTCTGTTGTTTTCTGATGTTTTCAGATGACCCAGAATTCACCTCCATCGGTATGGAGTCTGACCGGAGGAACCCTGTAGTTTTCTTTAAAGTTGTGAAGATTGATGGACCTGATGTCTCTCTACCATGTTACCTTTGTGATAGTGGTTCTACCAGACTTATACAGGTAAATAAACTGTAAACTGAAAATAGAAACGACATTGCCGTCTTGATATCTATGAAAATACTGGTTACTGCTGGTAAAAATATTACCTGAAACATTGTGTACTTATTGTTATGAGAAATAAACAAGTGATGATTATAGGTACAGAAAAAGTTTGTACTAGATGTGGTTTGGCAATGTCTGATATGTATACGAGATGCTGCCACAATATTAATTCAGATATAAAAGGCAACGAAAGCATTTCAGTTCTTTAGATAGGAACTTACTTTACCAGTCTCTTATATAGTAATCTGTACAATTCGTAAATTTTTTTTTCTCTATTATGAACAGGTTGGGTCTGTACACAGTTATATTCCAGTAACCGCCACGTCGTACCTATCCAGGAATCCTCTTACTTACTGGGAACAGACGTATCTGTTCGGGCTCAACAAATATGCTGACCGCATGGAGGAGCTAATTAGACCCTTACTCCACAATAGGTAGTTTTCAGCAACAATTAATCGAATTTGTCAGTTAAAACAGATTTTTCAGTCTCTGTTAGGAAGAATTATAAGTTATGGATAGATTTTCAGTTTCAATTCATAGCTAAAAAAAAAGGTTATCATTTGAGATTTTGAAATATGCTATTAATTTATTAGACTTTAGCGAACTCATGAATTTGAGTTACAGTAAAACTCACTTGTGTTGACCATGCTTGAATAGAATACATTGGATGAGTGAAAAGTTTTGTTTGGTTCCTATTTTTTCTCTTCTTTATCGTAGTAAATTAAACATTTTGTGATCAATCCGTTCTAAATTCTGCCTAAATTTCCTTATTTTGTGTGATACATTCAGGTGTCACCTTGTCTCAGGTAAAAATTTTTGACTTTGGTCTGAATGACTGATTGTAATTGGTAGGATGTCTTAACTGGCCCTATTGTAAGTTTCTGATATCATTTATCCAGGTGTCCAGGTGGCAGTTTGAATTTGTAAAGAATTCAGCAACCAAACTATTGATAGAATAGGCTGTAGTCTGTTAAATGTAAATCTACTTTGTTCTGTTTACTTTAATTTTTTATGCGTAGGCTGCTGGAAATCAAAAGGTAAAAATAAACAATAAGTACTGTGTCGATGCAGATAAATAAAAATACTGGTTTGTTTTTGACACATTAGTTTATGATAAAATACATTTTTGGATATACATGTACATATATAAACTGCAAGTTTTATTCTATTATTTGCAATAGGTTAGTAATGTGTTCTCACTGATGGACATTGACAATTCTTTGTCACATATTAGGACTGTTTACATAAGTCACACCATGCTTTGAGACATGTATTCAGTAAACAGCCTATGAAAATGGGGTCAATCTTCTTTCCACAGTGTTTCTGTTCATAGAAACACAGCATTTGAACCATCAGATAAGTCAAATATTTCTTTTCGACTTTGACTTATCTGTGTTTTACTGTACATTACATTTTAGCATAAGTATTTTCTAAGTGACCTGGATAAATCACTCGTGATCTTCTGATCTGACCTGTGATGTGTAGTTAAGTAATTTTAGCTTTCACTGAAAGAATATTCATTCAGATTTTCAATGATTCTTCTGAACCTTTGCCATTCTTCTATAAATTTCTACAGCATTTCAAGTCCCCATCTGAAAGATGTCTTGAGATCAATAATGCTGATTGGTCCCTCTGGATGTGGAAAGACCACTATGGCAACTGCTGTTGCTAGGCGACTGAATCTTCACATGTTTAAGGTAAATGAAGTATTTTTTAAATTGGATGTGGTTAATTCTTAAATTTTTCACTCCAGCCCTCCAGTGTTTATATATCATGTAATGAATAGTTTGAAATCAACCATTACATGTTTAGGGTGGATCATTTTAAATAGCTACAGGCAAAAATGATAAGTTGTCATGGAACTTAATTACTTGAAACATTGCAAGAATGTTATTATTTGAGTTACGTTCAATATGTATATGAATTTGAATTAAGGTTATAAATGTGTATTTAATTTATGTAAATTAACAGGTAAATTGTCACAGATTATATGGGGAATCTGCTCGAGTGATGGAAGCCCGCATCAAAGATGTTTTCACTGCAGGTAATTACTGGTATTCATTTATATTCTGACGATGGCATAGTTCAAAATCACAAAAGTGAGATACGGGTGAGATGAAAGTATTGTTGCTGTCCCTTTCCTTAATGGTTAATATTATTACATGATTATAGAGCAAGGTTTTTTGTTTTTACAGCCAGTAACTTCTCACCTTGTATAATGTACCTCCATAGTATACACGCCCTGGGGAAGGACAAGGAGAGGAACACAGACGGTAGGAAACTTTGTCTTAAACTCTTCATTTATAAGTGAAACATGTTAAAATTACAATGGATATTCAGTGATGTTATTGTTTCTCATGTGTTTTTCTACCGTTATTAATTCTTTGATTCTTGTCAGATCCACGTGTGGCCAGCAGTTTTCAGCTGTGTTTACGTCAACAACGGAGGGAACTGTTGGAATATCCAGTCATTGTGATTGGATCCACTCATTCACCTAACATGCTCGCAGCAGATGTAAGAGAATCCTTCTTGCATGAAATACAGATTGAGGTATGTCATGGTCCTTTTTTTATATGGTTGGCTTTGGGTTTAGTTGATTGCGATAATCTACTGAAATTGAAAACTGAGACTTTGAATTAAGAAAACTTTGTAATTATTCAGGCACCAAATGAGGAAGAACGGTCTGAGATATTGGATGGACTTCTACAAAATGTGAACTACTCCGGGGATCTTTCAGGACAATATCTCGCTCAGAGAACAGCGGTAAATACTGCTCATTTTAGTCTTTTTTGTTTGTTTGTTAAAAGGTAGAAAAACAAACAGCGAATAGAAGTGAAATTGATCCATAACAATAATGTCTAGATTATTTTGTTATAAGAGAAGAAAGGGGGAAAATAAATAATGGATAACGATGTGGTAAGTAAAAAGTTTATCATAACATTTTATGTTTTGCCAGGGTTTTGTATTAGGAGATATGGCTGCACTGATTTCTCATGCCAAACAGGATGCCTACGAGAAAGTGTGCAAACTGTGGTAAGTATATACAGAATTAACATAAGAGTGCAGTATTATCATCTATTGTGTTATTGTCATTGTTTTGTTGTTGTTTATTTTACCTGTAATACAGTGTTGGTAAACATGGTTTCAAATGATGCAGGTTTATGGTTATCATTATGCTCTCTTTTCAAATATTCTATTTCCTCATAAGATACAAAGTTTGACATCCTTGATGTTCATTAGTATGTCTATTGGTTCGGTAGTAACTTCTATTTTGAGAATGCACCATTTCTTGGATTTAATGGAGATATATGTCATGAAGTATGAGACTGAAAACTTACCAAAATATCTATTCTTATCTTTTTGTATTTTTTAAGGTCGTTTACGAAAATCTGTCTGTCTTATTTTCATTATTAATTTTGATAATCTGATTTTAACCTTTGATTCAGTGTTTGTTAAACAGTATCTTTACTTAAAATACAAACACTGAAATTCACAACAAGTTCAGTTGAATATCTCTTTTATTTCTTCTCAAATCAGTACAGTTCAGGACATCAGTAAATCTAATTGATGAAAATAAAGGAACACTCATTAGTTTGTCGAAGATTTTTGTAGGACTTGGATACACTGAATAAATCACCTTCTTTTTATCATTCAAAGACCATGTTTCCTAGCATCTGACATTGTCTATGTCAAAACAGACCAGGATTATATCAGGCACATTCTGTATTTTAGGTCACCTGAGACAAAGTCTCACAGTGACTTGTTGCATTTGTCTTTTTGGAAGGTGTCGTGCACCTGGAAACTTTTTTTAATTTTTGACTTCTTCTCAATTTGTGAAAACCTTTCCTTGCCAAAGATAAACCAAAATGGTGAATTACATGCTCCCCACCCCTCAGGGGCCTGAGGGACAGGGCCAACAAGGGTCCCATTGACTCAAATTTCAAAAATCTTCTCATCACTCAGATATGGTAGAATCAGATGTTCTTCATGGATCCTTTACCAAAATTTTGAATTTCAGGGGTAAAGTTTACTATAGTTTATATTAGCAATTGTTGATCCTGTATGACTTTCACGGGCTGATGGGCTTGGCCAAAAAGGGTCAAATGGACTCAAATTTTAAACATCTTCTTCTCAACACCAAGATGTTGGTAGAATCAAATGCTCTTTATGGATGAAAGGGTATTGAGGTGAGGGAGGGGATAAAGTTTACTATAGTTTATGTAGGAAAAATACATTTATGAGCGTTAAGTTGATAACTTTGTAAGAATTATTATTATAGGATGGCAGTTTTGATGGTATTCATATATTGACTACCCCAGAGAGGTTTGATTGTATCACTTAAGCCTTACAATCATCAATGTCACAATTTCTTTCTCATGACACTTGAAGGCTGCCTACTATATTGCTTACCTAAGGTGTCAGGGTCACTAGGCCTCATGTATTATAAACATTTTATATATAAAGTGCTTTAATCTCACAAAGTTATGTTTTTTTGCTCCAAGAAAAATTGGCAGGGTTTAATTTCATACAACTACTTCAATAATCAATTGTTGCTCCCGACTCTGGTAAAATGACATTGAATTCAAATTAAATCAATGTGAAATAGCATGAAAGAAAGAATGCTGTTAATTTTGTCCATTCAGTGGTGATGGCCGCCGTCTGCTCTCATATGATGAAGAGGAAGATTTATCAATGGCAGGGGTAGTGGTTCAACAAGAAAATTTTGTGTCTGCCTTAGACAAACTTCAGGAAGCACATTCAGACACCATTGGAGCCCCAAAGGTATGTATTTGCAGGGTTAAACGCTTCATACAGACATATGCTGGTACCTCATTTCTGTTAACCAGATTACAAAGTGAAACACAACATGACAATTATTATAAATATGAATTATTCCAACATTGTCTTTTTTATACATTTCAGCCATGTAGTAACTGCAAAGAAATGACATTGACACAAATTTTTATCAGTCAGTACCAGTAATCCTATGTGCGTATAATAGAGAATTTTTTCTCTGTTAGATTCCAAACGTAACATGGGCTGATGTTGGTGGCCTGAGTGATGTCAAATCGGAAATCTTAGACACTGTACAACTCCCTCTACAGTATCCAGAACTGCTAGCTGCAGGACTGCGACGATCAGGTAAAAAGTATTTCAGTGTATGAGTGACAAGGATTGCTGTGATCACGTAAAGACAAAACAAGGACTGCCGTTAACATTTGTCAGTCAGTTTTATTCTCACAATGACAAGTAGGAATGGAATTGAGACCATGGTGTTACATTTCCTACATTGACAGTTGCAGCAGTGGTGGTGTCATTATTTCATTTTAAAGATTTCGCGTTTAGATCTGTGACATTAAGTGTATGCATCCACTTGTGATCAAACTTTGTGTATCTCTAGATCACATAATGGACATCTCAGCACATCCTCCATTTGCAAAAAACCTTTATGATTGAACAGTACAGCAACTCTGATAATTGTGGATGCTGAGAAGTTTGACTTCAAAGTTCCATGTTAAGCTAAGTGTCTCATCAAGAACAAGTCCTATTACTGGAATATAGTCATAATGTAGTATGGACATCTGAGTCCACCAAATCTATTACATGAAGTTCATTTTTTTATGTATTTTTGGAACAAAAACTTCAGATTTTGAGAATTTACTTCAGAGTCATTATGGCTTGTTCTGTTTCAGATTTTAGTGAATTTTTAGGAATGAATGATTTACAAAATGTCAATTTCATGTATCAGTATTTAAACGTGACAACAATATAACTATGTTTTTTCATATTAATTAAGATTAACTGGAAATTTGTATAATTTTGGAAGGGGTTGGGATGGAGGGGGTGGGGGGTGGAGGGGGTGGGGGGTGGAAGGGGTTGGGATGGAGGGGGTGGGGGGTGGAGGGCATAAGTTTTAGTTGATTTTGCCTTCAACTTAAAAATTACCTTACTAACAAAGTTGGACAATGGAGTCATATGTATCTGCATGATTCTATATAATGTATGTCAATGTGTTTGTGTGGTCAATTATTGCATGAACCTGTGGAATTAAGCAACATTTAGCATATGCTGATATTATCACCATGTCCCATGATGTTCAATAATGCCCTTGATGTGTTGTTATATGATGTCTTTCATGAAGATACCCAATATTACTTTACAGGTGTGTTATTATACGGCCCACCAGGGACAGGAAAGACTTTACTGGCGAAAGCTGTGGCCACAGAGTGTTCACTTAACTTCCTCAGGTCAGTCTTGACTTAGACTGATCATGAAAGTAGTTCACCACAAATCCTGATTGGTCTATTATGTAGAGAAATTGATTTTCTTTTATTGTTCTATGAAACATTTTCTAGTCCAACATGGAAGCATTGTTATTAGTATTTTATTGTTAATGAAATAAACCAATGTATGTTATTACCATGGTTAACAAATTTTTATTTTATTGTTAATGAAATAAACCAATGTATGTTATTACCATGGTTAACAAATTTTTATTTTATTGTTAATGAAATAAACCAACGTATGTTATTACCATGGTTAACAAATTTTTATTTTATTGTTAATGAAATAAACCAATGTATGTTATTACCATGGTTAACAAATTTTTTTTTTGTTGTTAATGAAATAAACCAATGTATGTTATTACCATGGTTAACAAATTTTTATTTTATTGTTATTGAAATAAACCAACGTATGTTATTACCATGGTTAACAAATTTTTATTTTATTGTTATTGAAATAAACCAACGTATGTTATTACCATGGTTAACAAATTTTTATTTTATTATTAATGAAATAAACCAATATATGATTTTACCATGATTAACCAATAAGATTATACAAATGTATATAAGCAATACAACTCAATAATAAGTAACATACCCCTAAAACTTTTATATAAGTATGACATATATGGTGATTTTGTTACTATTGTTTCAGTGTAAAGGGACCAGAACTGATCAACATGTATGTCGGGCAGAGTGAACAGAATGTTAGAGAAGGTAAGCATGTACATTGTGTATATTTCATTAATCAAAAATACACTGACATTTATTGAATCACTAATGAGAGGTTATTCAGGAAAAAAGTGGTGAAAATTTTGATATATTGAATTTTACTGTGTTTTACAGAGTAGACTTTAGAATGGATTACTTTTCAGTGTTTCATATTTTATTTACACAAAATTCTTCATTTATCTTTTTCACAAATCTAAAATAGTCAGCTATAGTTCCTGACATACCTGTTAATGTCAAATAGGGCCATGAAGGCTTTGTTGGTGTTTGCCAGAAAACAACATTAGACTGTAAGGTCTATTTTTGCTTCCAGAAAACACATCTCTGGTCTAACTCATTTCACTATTTAGATTATCACTATGAAAGTAGCAAACAAACTGAAAATAAGAGCTTGATTTGATACCCTTTGACAATTTCTTCATGCTTATCTACAAATAGAAATCTGGTGTTCGAAGACTTTTTTATTTGCATTCTTCACAGATTTGACTATTACACCATTATCATATATGGAAATGTTATGATTTCAGCACGAACGCCCTGTGGTTTTTTACAGTGGATATTGACCTTTAAAGTGATGATATTGTTGTTTTTGGGTACAATTTGAAATGAGACCACCATGTTAATGTGTGGTATTCTATGGTTGACAGCCATGTTAATGTGTGGTATTCTATGGTTGACGATCATGTTAATGTGTGGTATTCTATGGTTGACAGCCATGTTTATGCATAGTATTCTATGGTTGACAGCAGTGTTAATGTGTGGTATTCTATGGTTGACAGCCATGTAAATGTGTGATATTTTATGGTTGACAGCCGTGTTATCGTGTGGTATTCTATGGTTGACAGCAGTGTTAATGTGTGGTATTCTATGGTTGACAGCCGTGTTAATGTGTGTTATTCTATGGTTGACAGCAGTGTTAATGTGTGGTATTCTATGGTTGACATCTGTGTTAATGTGTGTTATTCTATGGTTGACAGCCGTGTTAATGTGTGTTATTCTATGGTTGACAGCTGTGTTAATGTGTGGTATTTTATGGTTGACAGCCGTGTTAATGTGTGGTATTCTATGGTTTACAGTGTTCCATCGTGCCAGAAGTGCCACACCATGTGTTATATTTTTTGATGAGCTTGACTCCCTTGCACCCAACCGAGGGAAGAGTGGTGATTCTGGAGGGGTCATGGACAGGTGAGCAACTGTGATGAAGTAACAGAAGCACCCCTGTTAACACCATCATGATTGATTTAAAAGCAGTTTCTGTAATATCATTATACATAAACCAAAGTTACAAAAAGTGAGCTCAGAGTCCAAAATACATGTTATCCATACAGGGTAGTATGGGTATACCAGAAATTGTATTTCCAATAATAGATTAACAATAAAACTTTTCTCTGGTTAAACGATGATATAATTTTATTCCAGTAAAACCTAGGTATTTCCTGAATGCCTGCTTTCCTAAGTTTTCACTGTATGGGAGATTGTACATTGTTTACAGTATGGATCAATGATTAACACTGATAATATCATTCTTCCAGGGTTGTGTCTCAATTGTTGGCTGAGTTAGATGGCCTTCACAAGTCATGTGATGTGTTTGTGATAGGAGCAACCAATAGGCCTGACTTACTAGACCCTGCACTACTACGACCTGGCAGGTAACTACAGCTTGTTCCACTGGACGATGATTGTGTGTACATTGACAATGCGAGTTTCTGTGGTCTTCGGTGTGAAATCATTAATTGCAAACCATAATGGTAATAGGAAAGATATTTACTGAATCAGAAATTGAAAATCTATACTTGTTTCCACTTCTTTCTGTGGCCCAAGTATTGTGATTTAATGCAGTAAAACTACCATGAGGGCCACCTATATTTAACATTATCTATGTCAAGCTTATCCTTGAGTGGCCTTTATAGAAAGGTTTAAATGTATATAAGCTCAGAAGTGTGTTTTGCCCACAGGTTCGACAAACTGCTGTACCTGGGTGTCAGTGACAATAAAGACTCCCAAGTCCGAGTGATGAAGGCCCTCACAAGAAAGTAAATAAATTTTAATGACTTTTTTACTTAGTAAAAGGGTGAATTTTTTCACATCCACATCAGAAATGAGGAAGTGTTCCAACATCTTTCTAACAAATTCACTCCATCATGAATGTTACTTGAGAAAATGCAGATTTCTTCCAAATATAAGAAAATATGTCATAACCCAAAAATATTGGATGAAAGCATGAAGATTGACAAAAATTTGGATTTAAGATTCTGACTCTTTTATGATGTAGATGAGTCAGTTTTTACGATCAGTTCCAGTATTATATGTTAATTATCATTGACAAATATGATGGTGACTTGTTTATAAAGAAAGGCAAAAGTAAAGGTCTATCTGATGTCTTAACAACGAACAATTTACTCTTGTTCACATAGCATTTGTCAGTGGCTGTGACTTGTAATTTTACCATTCACAATCTCGCCCTAAATGTCACTTTTTCAGATTCAGTCTTGCAGAGGACTGTGATTTATCTGATGTAGTAGATGAATGTCCCAAAAATTTAACTGGTGCTGACTTTTATGCCCTGTGCTCTGATGCCATGCTGAATGCCATTAAAGGACGAATACAGAAGCTGGAAACAGGTGAGTTGTATGATCAAATTCATACTGATGGTCTGGGTCATTAAGATTTCCAGTAATAGTTTTCAATAGATATGGGCACTTTTTAACTGCTCTATCAGTCAAAAATTTAAGATATTTCCGACATCATACACTGATGTATTCTGTTTGTGTTTATAGGAGAAACCACTGACCAGAAAAATGTGAAGGTGTCCAAGCAAGATTTTCTAGATGCTCTCTCAGCTTTAACTCCTTCTCTGTCAGAGCAGGAACTTGACCACTACCAACAGTTACAGCAGGAGTTTAATAAACAGTGAGGGCTTAGTTTGTAATAAAGGGATGGATATAGTCAGTTACCTCACTAGACACAACTATCCAGACAGTGAGGGCAAAGTTTGTAATAAAGGGATGGATATAGTCAGAGTTACCTCACTAGACACAACTATCCAGACAGTGAGGGCAAAGTTTGTAATAAAGGGATGGATATAGTCAGTTACCTCACTAGACACAACTATCCAGACAGTGAGGGCAAAGTTTGTAATAAAGGGATGGATATAGTCAGTTACCTCACTAGACACACCTATCCAGACAGTGAGGGCAAAGTTTGTAATAAAGGGATGGATATAGTCAGTTACCTCACTAGACACAACTATCCAGACAGTGAGGGCAAAGTTTGTAATAAAGGGATGGATATAGTCAGTTACCTCACTAGACACACCTATCCAGACAGTGAGGGCAAAGTTTGTAATAAAGGGATGGATATTGTCAGAGTTACGTCACTAGACACACCTATCCAGACAGTGAGGAATGTGCTAAAATGATGGATATAGTGAGAGCTGGCTCACTCTAGGTTGATGCAGTGAGGACAAAAGGTGTACTAAAGGGATGGATATGGTAAGAGCTAGCTCACTGCAGGTTGAGGCAGTGAGATAATGTATCTGAGGATTAGGGTAGACTTGATACTGTAATGAAACGTGTCCCGAGTCCCAGAATGTCTCACAATGTCTTGAGTTGTACTGGGTAGAGTGTTATAGAGGTATTAATTACAAAGTTGTTAACCTGAGACATTCAGTAGGAGACCAGACTTGTATCCTGATCCCGAGTCCCAGAATGTCTCACAGTGTCTTGAGTTGTACTGGGTAGAGTGTTATAGAGGTATTAATTACAAAGTTGTTAACCTGAGACATTCAGTAGGAGACCAGGCTTGTATCCTGATCCCGAGTCCCAGAATGTCTCACAGTGTCTTAAGTTGTACTGGGTAGAGTGGTATAGAGGTATTAATTACAAAGTTGTTAACCTGAGACATTCAGTAGGAGACCAGGCTTGTATCCTGATCCCGAGTCCCAGAATGTCTCACAGTGTCTTAAGTTGTACTGGGTAGAGTGGTATAGAGGTATTAATTACAAAGTTGTTAACCTGAGACATTCAGTAGGAGACCAGACTTGTATCCTGATAATGTGAAATCCATATTTACCTCAGTGTAAGAATAATTAAAACTTATTTATTTTACATGTAATCTACTGATAATTTCATCCTTATACAAAAACTGCTATGAGAGAATTACAGAACAATACTTTGATATGTGGATGAAAGTTAGAACAACTGCAACATGTACATGTATGCCTGTCTCCATAATATACAATATTCTATCAATTAAATTGCATGAGTGAGTTCTGTCAAACAAGTATTACATAGCAGTATTGATTCCTGATGAGACTTAAAATTGGACCTAAATGTTTGACAAAAGAAGTATATTGTATTATAAAATACTCAGATGTAATATTGAAGAAAAATAATGACTTTGATAAATTTTTCAATATAAAAATTTAGTTTTGATGAAGACATTTGCTTTGCTTTATATGTTGTCTTTTGAAATTCAGACTAAGTAGACATTTCATACAAAACAGTTAAATTAAACAGAATTCCTTGTAAATATATTGCTTCATTTCATCTTGAATGACAGCCATCATGTTTTGTAAATTAATGATGCATGTTGTTTTATCTGTTTACTTGTTATGAGTTAAATGTGCCAACACGTACATGTACAACACATTAATATACAATTAAAAATCATACGGTAAAAACCAGAAATATTTGGCAGATTTTTTTCTTTAATGATTTTGTACCCATAATTAAAGAGGACAAGGTAAATGAATGATTGAATTTTGTAGAGAATACTTTTAAGTTTTAGACTTTATATCATTGGTCTGATGTGTCAGCTGGACATTCTGGGATTGATGCTGTGGCTCCTTGATATAGTTTTTGACTGTAGTTTTGGATGCATAAATCATGAACGTGGAAGCATATTTTAAGCATTTTCAACCCTGAAAAAGTACATGTACAAATTATACAGTTACACTCCTTTTGTGGGTTTTTACAGTAAATCTTGTCTTTTCTTTTCTTAATACCCATGATCATGAAACTAATCATGTTGCTTGCTTCAAATTTCTGACAAATTGATGTGTATGATTTAAATGACTGTTTCTGTTATTAACGGGTAATTACTAATTACTTATTCATTGTTGATTATTTTGTACAATTGTTGATATATTTTCATATTCTATTTATTTCAAATTCCAATAATTTTTGTTATTTCCCTTTACTTATATATAGTATTGCTAAAGGTATCTTTTACAAGTTTCACATAATAGCAATTGGAAATTTGTACTAATGAATAAGTGAAGTGTTTAGTAGAGATGTTGAGTGGAACCAGCATATACTATACATAACTGCCTGTTTTAATTGTTGTTGTGTATCAAAACCGACATTTGATGTCTGGTGTATAGATAATCTGTGGTACTACATTGTGTAGCTGTACTTACAATATGTTGTGGTGACATATTTTGTATTGTTATCTTGATTGATGTAAAACTTCAATACTGGTTTATGTATTATGTGCTCAAACACTGAAGAATATTGTGAAAACCTGACACTTCCCTCAGCAACTGGATTTCTCAATAAATAATTATGTAGTCAGACGAGAGTACATAGAGATTTGCCTGGATATACTGGTATCTTTTATATACCTGTTTGTCCTCATCATTGTCCTTGATTTTTACCAACTTTACAGTGGGACTGTAATGGAACTAAATGTTTGTGAGGTAAAAAAACAAGATCACTATCATAGAAATGAAAATTCGGAATCATGACTTTACAAAAACAAAACTATTTCTGAATGTCTTATTGTATGTGTTTTCATTCATCAGCTTCTGTACAAGTTTTCACATAATGGGTCACAAAAACATAGTCTTAAAAAGACCTCACCTTTCTCAAGTCACATACAATAGAATGTGAAATAATAATCACTGTATTTAGGAGAATTCAGGAATAAAGACTAAATTTCTTGTGTTCCTTTTTTGGAAAGCTTTAACATCCATTTGAAATGTTGCTCTTCACATGCATTAAATGGAGGTAATTTTATTGTCATCAAGACCTGTGATTTTCAATATTTAATAGTGTCCATATGTTTTTGAAATTTTGGCTTGAACTGTTTTCATCTTGAATCTTGAAATCTAAGTTATCAACTATTCAGGCATACTAATTTGAAGAATTTGAATTACTTCAAAATTTGTGTAGCACGAAGTTAATTTGGTTGTGAATACATGGAAATGGGCATTTTGAAATACAGCTTTGTGTTACCTTAATCTGATGTAGTGTTCTTCATAACTGTATGAAACAAGTTGCCAAAATGCACGGCTATATGAAATGTTAAATCTGTTTCACTCACCTGACAAGGGACTGTTTAGTTTCTGCAGCAAGATTTACCTAACTTTAAGTCTGTGTTTGATAATACGCCCATCACTATATATCACTATTCAGCAGAATTATAAACACATCCCACACGACACCTTTAACTTTGAATCAGAGATTGTGTTGACCCTTTAGGACTTATTGCTTGATAGGGTTAGGGTGAGTTAAAGTTTTCAACTGAAAATAATCCTAATATTACATTGTTGCACAAGGTGTTAGAGTGTCAGCCAAAGACCTACTGTGTGCTGTAAAAAGCTTTGTTTCTAGAAGGTCTGATAAACAGTGAGTGATGGGGTATTACAATGTCAGATTGAAGGGGTTACACTGTAACGTACCCACTGTCAGATATTTTAGTGATAAACAGTGAGTGATGGGGTATTACAATGTCAGATTGAAGGGGTTACACTGTGACGTACCCACTGTCACATATTTTAATGTGCCATAATAAATATGTTACGTGATACCAACTACAGACGAGTATTGTGCCTTTGGTGTGAAATAAACAATAAACAATGAACCCATTTTTATGTTACTTTGTCCATATTTTTATCTTAACGTTTACATGTGATGTGATTGATAACCAATACAAGTGAAGGATTCAATATATTTTGAAATCATCCTGTGCCATTGTGTCAAACAGTGTCATTTATATTTCAAAATTAGAATAAAAAACTTAATTTGTTCATGGCGGATGGAAAGCCAGCTGATCTCCTCTAATAAACATTGTTAATATTTTTAATAACTGGTAATACATAAATAACAATATTACATGTATTAAAATATCTATTTCATGTTAATGTTGAATAGAAATTTTTTGAAACCCTTGAAATGGGTTGGAGGAATAGTCACGTTTTTAAAGATGTGACAATTGAAAATTTCCAAATTGAAAGTGCCAATTTTTAGAGTAACAGTTCAATTGGTGATCTTAAATTCTATTTCTTTGTGTTGTGATACTTTTGCTCACCACAGAAACATATTCCTGTCCATTGGCAGAAAAAGGACTTGACTAGAATTCAGGTCAAGTGTTCTGGCTATTGTGTCGAGAACACAGAGATCTTTGTGACGTAGTTTAGCTGCAGGAATTTGTGGCAGGTACACAACAGCCTTTACATTCATAAGATCCATCACATCCACAACATCCCTTTTAAAAATATCACACATCTTTTTATCTTGAATTTCAGCAATATGGCCATCTAGATCTGTAACCCACATCAGGTCAAAGTTGTCATATGGTTTGAAGAAATGCTGTAAACAACATACAATCATTTCACTCTTAAGCCTGCAAAGATTCATAGAATTGCTCATTTTTACGTAAATCTGTATTGCCAAACCATCATCATCCTCAGGATCTTTCGTAAATGTTTTTAGGTACTCTTCATTTCTGTTCCCAAACCTGTCGTCCTCCAAAGCAACATGTTCCTGTATTTCTCTTTGTTGAATTTTGTGGGAAAGGGATGGACGAATCAGTTCCATATCGTCACAACCACGGTTGGAAATTCTGTTCATATCAAGGAGGGTTATCTTGTCCAATTTGTCCTCCAAATAGTTGACATACCATGCTTGTAAATCAAGCCAGCAAAGCAAAGATCTATCAGAGATGGAACCACGAGGATATTTTTCACCTAGAGTGTCAAACACAGGGATAAATTTTGAATATTTTCCTGTCTTGTTGGACTTCATTCTCCTTGCAATAGTATTTGTGCATGATAAAGAATGAGTAGGTCTAGTTTCCAAGGAGTCAAAGCTTTTTGTCCGGCTCATTATGACACTTAGTTGGCTAACATGGACAATGGCTTTGTGGTAACAGCTATTATTATTGTCCTTTTCCGACAATATGAAAATTTTATTTGACTGGATTTCTCCAGATGCTAAAAAGATGCCGTGAAACGTTTGAGTCTTCAATAAATCGGCCGTGTCTTGGTGATCTTCACATGTAAGAAGCATGTGATTTGTCCTCTTTGTAAAGGAAAAGTTGTATGACTTATCAAAATGTTCTTTGACAGACACAACAGATTGACTATAATAACGTGAATACGGTGATTTGGTGGACTTCTTTCGTTGATTTTCTGAAATTCTTTCACTGAAAAAGATTAACTTGGATTTTAAAGCTTTACACAGTTTCTTTGGCACTTTCTTAAACTTTTCCTCCAGTTTGGGCATCTTCCCAACGGTTTAAATCGGTCCCTCCCATTGACTCTCGAAACCCGTTCAAACGTCAATCAGTTATGTCACGTGTGTTTGTTTACAGACGGCGCTCTATGTGTGACATCATGTAGGATTCTGCGTGCAACAGACGCTTGTTTGGTATGGATATGCACCAATGTATTGAAGCGTTTATTTCACACAGAAAGTAGCAGCATGGCCTCCGAAACATCAGCAGCTGGAAGTGCGCGCGATAAAGTTTCTTCTCAACATATTATCAAAGAAGGGGATCAGGTTCTTCTCAAGAAAGGAAAGAATATAAAAGTTTTTCAGATAAGGAAACACAGGTAAAAATGTTACACCTTCTTTAGACAGAAACAGAAAGACACATAAAATGAAAGTAGACACATGCAAACTCTCATGTCTAATTACATCTGTATGTGTAACCCCTGTAGAATTCTTGCTGCAATATACCGTACTGTCTCCTACTTTTAGCGAGTGACAGAATGAACCTTTACCTTCTAAGTAGTGACGATCATCTCAATAAACCTGACATTTGAACAAGTTACTGTGACAGATCCTTATTTTATCCTGATGTAATCGCCTTTCACTTACTGAACGTTCTCTGACCTGTCCAGTGACAGAGATGATAAAGCGAACGAACATCCGTTATGAACTACGTATCAAACATTGAGGTAAAACTAGCAGTTTACCTTAGCGCAAATGCGTTACTTGAAGTAGCGTTTTTACGTGTGACGTCTTTTCTGTATGCTTGTCCCAGGTAATGTTCTGTAAAGCTATGCATATACTGATGAACTGACGGGACAGTCTGTGAGGAACATCCATGAATTCAATGATCAGTGGAGTTCTTATCCTGGTGATCAATATTACCCTGCACTTGTCCAGATTAAAACATATATGCCACTTCTCCAGTTCTTTCAGTTTATCCAGGTCCTGTTGCAACTTCACAGTGAACACAAGTGGAGATAGTTTCATACATTGAACAACTACACACTAACAGCTGAGGAACAGAAGTTATATTGTTAACATGAACTAAGAATAAGAGTGGTCTAAGCTTCATTCCTTAGAGTACTTCTGGTATCATTGGAGATGTCATTGTTGAGATGTCATCTTTAGTTAGGATTAGGTGATTCTTGTGAGGCATTTTGTCAACATATATATTCATATTGCATTTTAGACAAGTATGGCTGGAGAAAGCAAAGTTTACTTTGGACGGTACTATTGGTCATCCATATGGCACTACATTCGAAGTGAAAGATGGAAAGATGATTAAAGTAGAGAAATCAACACTGGCAGCGACAGAAGCTTTGGCTGAAGGTAAGACATAAGTCTGATAAGTAGTTTAGTGTCTGTAGGCATGTAGACATTCTCACAGATGATGTGCATGTCATTTGCTGTCACTCTAAATGCCTTATGCCTGGTGTAGGAATTGGACGCTACTCGGGCTACAAGCATATCTAGTACCTTGAAATTCTGTCGAGGAACAGGTTTAGAAATCAAACATTTCTCTTAGTTGACAGTGGTAAAATTATGCAAAACACAGACAACAGTTTTTGTGTTTCACAATTGAGTACTCCTAGACAAATGAGTAATTATGCAAAATGATTTTGAGCACGAGGATTATAACATTGAGATAAATTTACTGAAAATACAGCTGTACATGAAAACATGGGAACATTTTGGAATACTTATATTTTCATATATATATATATATATATAAGGAAGGGAAAGTTGTTACGTTTCTGCAAATAATATTTGTTTGTAATGCTGATTACCTCCTTGACAGTTCTTTTAATTCATACATTGCATGAAATTATCAATACATGCATTTGATCATGTTTCTTATTTGTAAGAATTTGATCCTCTTTACTGGTGTAAAATGATGTACAGACAAAACAAGCTGAATAAACGTTCAGTGTTTAATATTTAGGTGGAAAAGATAACAGGGATCTTCTGGACCTGGACAGTAACCAGAAACTGACACGTGACGATATAGAGAAGATGAAGAAAGATGGCATTAAAGGAAAGGTAATTTTTAAAAGAGCTGATATTTATAATGAGATATGTTTGTAAAGGAATTTTAGCTCTTTAATATCTATAAAAAGTCATTTCTTTGGGAGATTATTAACCTTCAGATACCCACTGTAATGATACTTCTGTTGTGTAGGAAATTATCGACCAGCTGATAGAGAACAGTTCAACATTTCAATCCAAGACTGTATTTGCTCAAGCTAAGTGGATCAAGAAAAAGAAAATAAAGTAAGTATACTGCAAAGCTACCTTTACAATGTCTATTATATAATGTTTCATGACCCATACTAAAAGTTTTACTTGTGCTTTTTAAATTTTGAAACTATGATTGTGAATGAATGTTTGTCATATACAAAGCATATACACTTCACTTAGTGTTGCCTATATAAAGTTACAAGGAATTGTATGTTCAGTGATTATTGTATTTATTGGTTCATGTATATTTATAAACAGTCATAATCATTTCCTTTGTTTTATTGAACCAGATGAAATTGTATAAAGGGTCATATTTGAACAAATTAAATACCCAAGTTCTCACACTAATGGAACAACACCCACTGGTTGTGTAGTCCCTGTGTGTGATATTTTGTCTAACTAGTAGAGCCACAATACTTGTACAGTGGAATGTCATGATATTGGGGAATGTGTAGTTGATACACCAGTATTGATATCTTGGTCTAATTTCCTTGTTTAGACATCTTCTTGAGTTCACCATTCTGAAGCCATCTGCTCGGATGCTATGTGAGATGCACCACATGAAGAACCCTTCTAGAATATGGTAAGTAGGGAACATTTCTCAGCATGGTTTACAACATGCATTGTGATCTAACTTTTCAAAGTCCTCATCAAAACTTCAAAGTTTGGTTATCCGTGTTCATTTGAAGGCATTTTTAAAGTGCAATAGAATCTGACATGGGTCTGTTCTATGGACAAATATATTCCAACCCTTTGTGTAGGCACAAGTGCTGACCAGCCAAAATATTACACAAGGGTTGAAATATCCCTGTCAATGGAACAGAGCCATGTTTGATTATTTTTCACCTATACTTAATAAAACAGTAACAAAATATTCTTTAAAGGTTTTTCTGTGAGAATACATAGAAATATCTCTGAGTGTCAGCTGGATGTTATAAGTTCATTTTATTTGTAGTTCATTCTGTGTTACAGCTTCATGCGAGTGGATAGCTTGGCCCAAATTCTCAGTAGAGGGAATGTAAGGGCACATTCCACTGTAGCTGTGGTGGACACGTGCATGGGGCTTGTGGTGGGGGCTGTCATGGAGAGACTAGGGGGTAAGTAGTGACTGTGGTGGACACCTGTATAAGTCTTTTAGTGGGGGCTGTCATGGAGAGACACCTATGGAGACCTGGAACTAGTAGTTCAACTTTAATATCTCTCTTTAGCCCAGTTTTCACTCGATTAACAAAAGGCCAAAATTTTTCCTGAGCTCAGAGTTTCTCACATACAATATATGAATTGGAATAACCATGCTTTGTAACATTGATAAATTTACATTATGCTATATTATGACTAGAGCATCTTATCCGTACTTTTGGATTTGCCATTATTTTATTGATCAAAACAGATCATATCAGTCTCAATGTCCGTTAAATTGTAAATCATATCTTTCAAAGTGACATTCATTAAATCTAAAAAAATGATTGTATTTCAGGTTTTGGAAAAGTTATACACTTCCACCAAGGTTCAACACCAGTAAGGTAACTAAACTGTTAATTAGGTCTACAGGTGAAATACACATGTATAGATCATAGTGTTTTACTATATTTTATGTGTGTTCACTTTTTGATAAGGTTTTAAAAGAGTTGTATAATGGAAAAAATTAAATGAAAGATTGAGTATGAATATAGTTAAATCTGTTGATGCATGTCACAATTAAAGTGAGCTGCCAAAATTGACATTAATCGTTGTGCTTGCTTTGTGCTTACCTTAAAAAAAATGGTCTGAAACTTTATTATTTTAATCTAGCTGTTATATTGATTGTTGCTTTCCACAGACCTGTGATGGACTCATTTGACTTTCCTGAGGAAATTCTGAACAATTTATATAATTATCCTCTGGATCGTGTCAATACTATTGAGTGTGATCAAACGAAATCAGACAGGAAAGCTGAAAATAGCAATGGCACAGATAGTGTGGTGAAGTGCCAAGGGGAGACAACTGTGAATACAAGCTCTAGTAGTGCCTCTGAAATATCTGTAAATGTGTCAACACATTCTCAGGAAACAGCACATGACACATGCTCTAACTGTGTCACAGAAACATCGGTAGATATGCCAACACCTCCACAAGAAACTACAACGGACATTGAAACTACAGAGGATGGTGTCAGCAAATCTGATTCTCAGGAAACCCCAGGATGCTCAGAAGAAATGGAAGTTGAAGAAGAAGATAAACTTAACAAAACTGATATGGAACAAAGAAAGAAAAAGGTAATATTTTCCCCACAATCAGGTTTGTCAGTCTTCTGTCCAGCCAACTGCTGTTATTGATCTTTGTCTTGTCATGGATTGCACTGCTTACTCTTTCATATGTTCCTCCTTCTTTTTAAACTGTAAACTTCATTTATTTCACAACAATTCTGATAACAAGTAATCTGTAGTCTTACATAGTTGTTTTGTTGTTTACAGGGGATGGAGAGAGAGACAAATCGACAACTACGAGAGCAGAAGATTCAAGAAACCAGAAGCCTAATACTAGAGAAAAATATTGATTGGTAATGTACACTAAATCATACTTGCTGAATTTTGGGAATTAGAGAAGAGATAATGTGTGTTGGAAATTTCAATTACAGTTAAAAGCACTGTATACTTCCATTTGTCAAACTAACAACTTAGTAATTAGTGCAAAGTGACAGTGAACTTACAGTATCATCTGCCCATCTGTCTGTCCATCAACTTTTAACCTATAGAAAACTATAAGTAACTGGGTACTGATATGTTGCCAGGAGGTACCACAGAAACTGTACTATGATCTTTCTTCGTGTGGATGACCTTGACCCGTTTTCAAAATCAAAGGGGTCAGTTATGTTGAAAACCTCGGATTCCTGATACTTTGCTATCTGGTACCTAGGATCCAGTTCTATTAGACTTCTTATATAATAACCTTGACCTATTTTCAAGATAGAATAGGGTAAAACTTCTGAGAATCTTTTTTAAGTTTCAAAAGACCCAGGATACTGATATCTAGGTAGTTGGTTCTTGGAATAGAACACTTTAAAGTTATTTGATATGATTACAAACTAGTGCTACATTTGTCATTTCTTATTCCCTTGGCAAGAAGAATACAGATTATACACATGTTAATTTAGGCATCTTTCTTTCATAACCAAATGATTGTTACATTCCAGCTGGGAACCTTGCTAATACAAATAATTGTTCTCCAATGCTGCTTATTTTTATGACCACCAATTCAAAGTGTTTAATATTTCATCTTGAGTATAAACATATCATTGATACATTACCTGTATCTCTCATATACTTCCCCAATAGATTAACTGTTCATTACCTGAAAACATGGGTCATTGATTATCACAGGAGTAATGAAAAATAAATACAGATAAATTCATTGTAAGAATAGTTCTTTTTTTTTGTGGTAGAAAGAGGTCTTGCAAAGCTCATGTTTTTTATAACTTTAGAAAAATTGCTTACTCAAGTGAAAGAAATACCATACACAACCTCTTATGTAACCTCAATGTATTTCTTATATATGTTTTATTATTTTTTTTTGGCAGTTTGATTGTGGCATGTAAGTTTCATCCAACACCTATTGTATTGGCCTTGTTGAAGTATGTGGCTCCTTCCCGTCCAATAGTAGTGTTTGGACAGTATAAAGAGGTAAGTACCAAGTACATCAATAAACTAGAACTAGTGATGATTATGAGGAATTTTTTAAGCTTGTAAATCTGATAAAGAATCCCTTTACATCTTGTATATTTATTTTGCCGGTGTTTCAGCCCATCATGGATTGCTATGAGTACCTGAGGAAGGAGGGAAACATGGTCAACTACCGTGTCACAGAGGCTTGGTTAAGGGAGTATCAGGTAGGTATATAGTAACACCTCATCACAGAGGCTTGGTTAAGGGAGTATCAGGTTGGTATATAGTAACACCACATCACAGAGGCCTGGTTAAGGTAGTATCAGGCAGGTATATAGTAACATCACAGAGGCCTGGTTAAAGGAGTATGGGGTAGGTATATAGTAACACCTCATCACAGAGGCCTTGTTAAGGGAGTATGGGGTAGGTGTATAGTAACATCACAGAGGCCTGGTTAAGGGAGTATGGGGTAGGTGTATAGTAACACCTCATCACAGAGACCTGGTTAAGGAAGTATCAGGCAGGTATATAGTAACATCACAGAGGCCTGGTTAAAGGAGTATGGGGTAGGTATATAGTAACACCTCATCACAGAGGCCTTGATAAGGGAGTATGGGGTAGGTGTATAGTAACATCACAGAGGCCTGGTTAAGGGAGTATGGGGTAGGTGTATAGTAACACCTCATCACAGAGGCCTGGTTAAGGAAGTATCAGGTAGGTATATAGTAACACCTCATCACAGAGGCCTGGTTAAGGGAGTATCAGGTAGGTATGTAGTAACACCTCATCACAGAGGCATGGTTAAGGTAGTATCAGGTAGGTATATAGTAACATCTCATCACAGAGGCCTGGTTAAGGTAGTATCAGGTAGGTATATAGTAACACCTTATCACAGAGGCCTGGTTAAGGGAGTATCAGGTAGGTATATAGTAACATCTCATCACAGAGGCCTGGTTAAGGTAGTATCAGGCAGGTATATAGTAACATCACAGAGGCTTGGTTAAGGGAGTATGGGGTAGGTGTATATTGACACCTCATCACAGAGGCCTGGTTAAGGTAGTATCAGGTAGGTATATAGTAACACCTCATCACAGAGGCCTAGTTAAGGGAGTATGGGGTAGTTTCTCATCAATACTGCATCAGAGGCCAAGTTAAGTGTCATATAATTTCACATTAACATCATGTCACAAGAGGCCTAGTTAAGGGAGTATGGGGTAGTTTCTCATCAATACTGCATCAGAGGCCAAGTTAAGTGTCATATAGTTTCACATTAACATCATGTCACAAGAGGCCTAGTTAAGGGAGTATGGGGTAGTTTCTCATCAATACTGCATCAGAGGCCAAGTTAAGTGTCATATAGTTTCACATTAACATCATGTCACAAGAGGCCTAGTTAAGGGAGTATGGGGTAGTTTCTCATCAATACTGCATCAGAGGCCAAGTTAAGTGTCATATAGTTTCACATTAACATCATGTCACAAGAGGCCTAGTTTAGGGTATCAGGGAGGTACCATATATGTCTTATTTGTGCTACAATACCTTTCTCCATGATAATCCATTGCAGATTTGTAATAAACACTTGTAACAAATAGGATTTTGACTTTGATAAATGGTGGCCAATGTTAGAAACAAATTTTAGCACATCATCATAGATTATTCATAGATCATGAAAGATTTATTATTGTAATCAAAGGCAGATAACTCTTAACTGTTATTCCATATCATGTATTTTTACTTTGAGGTTATTTTTGTACTTATCTATAGGTACTTTTATATCCAGATAGTCCTTGATTGGCTGAAGTTTTTAGAAAACCTTGAGTTTGAAATCTATAGTTTGTTGTTAGTCTAAGATAAAAGATGCACTAATTTTGTGAAAATCTGATGATGTACCTTGTAACAGAGTAGTTTTATAGTGTGATTTGTTTTTTGAGGTGATGGAGATGAGGACACACCCAGTGATCAGTATGAGTGGAGGAGGTGGTTATCTACTGACAGCTACTACCATTGCCAAATCAGATACACCTCGGTGATTACATCGGAGGGACTTAGCACAAGCCACTCAGTCAACCATACCCAAGAAGACAGCTATTGACAATTTTTGTGTCGCTAACATTTCTCATCATAGATACTTTGATGTAATAATTGATGATGTCGTGAGCCTGTTGTTATATGGAGGTTGATGGCAGCTTTCCAACACATAGTTCTTTTACACTGTGATATAGTGTAATGTTTTACTGTATAAAGATATGGTGAATCAAATAACATTTTGTATTGCTGCGATGAAGGAATGGAGACAAGCTGAATTGCTCTGTCCAAGTCAGCACTGTATTTCACATAAATGTGAAAAAGTTGAAATTCGCTTAGTTTCTTAGAAAATATTCAAGTGACATAGTCACCAAAATTTTGTATACAGTTGGATCATGAGAACATCTCAAATAAAAAGTATCAATCAGGTATTTGTTTGAAACCAAAATTTTTATGCCCCCGCCATTTATGTCCGGGGGCATATAGCGTTGCCCATGTCCGTCCGTCCCGTCCCGTCCCGTCCCAAATCAGTATATACCACCTAACAACTTCATTCGGAAGGCAATTTTCATGAAACTTCATACAAATATCAAGTATGAAAAGACCTCATGCAGTGTTGAATTTCTCGGCTTTCTAAAAAAAGATGGCCACCAGGGGGAGATAACTCAAAAAAGAGGAACATCATCTTATTTCTACATAATTTGGTACTTGTGGGTTTTAAGGCATAAGGAACTAATATACTCCCTCATTTTTTCCAGAGAACAAAATTCCAAATTCATGTACGTTAAATCAACTTGTCAATTTAAGTATGAAACTTAAGTTGTACATAGTTGCATACAAATTAACAAAATCATCTCTTTCGGACCTTTCACTATTATTTCAAATGGGGGGGGGGGGGGGGGGGGGGCATTCATGTCTTACAGACATTTTCTAGTTTAATAATCAAATTTACTTGAAAATTATATTTTGAACACATCTTCATTAAACAACATAGCATGCTTTGCTTTTTGTGTGCGTGTTTTAAGACTGAAACATATATATAAGTATATTTCTTGAAGTTAACACCGACAGTACTTATTAGTCTTTTATTGTTTTTGTATTTTAAGTTTTGGGAAGTTACAATCACTTGATCATTGTTCAGTGATCAATACTCCATCATCGGGTGATGAGCAGTAAAAAATGGCAGAGCCTATGACACCACAAAGTGTCTATCTACTGAGAGGTCTATTTCTAACATTCCTACTAATATGTAACAAGCTGATGATTGACGGAGTAATACTCTATGTGTCACTTAGTCAAAGGAAAATGTAAGATATTTGGCAGTGAAGTGTGGGTGTTCAGTGTTACAGATCTACAGGAAAGATATACTTATATAAGGTAATGTGGACATTAAGTAAAAACTGAAAAAAATGCTAAAATTTGCATTGGCAATGCCATCTCTTTGCTGTGTTGAAAAGCGTTTACTCTGAAGTCCAGATTCTTTAGTTCAGCCAATGAAAATGGTGAAGTTTCCATCAAATGTGTGTGCTTTTGTGCTGAAACCGATTTCAATAGACACACCATCTTTCATGCCAAAACCAAAGCATTCAAAAGATTCTTTCTAATTGGTATTTGTACAAAGGTCACTCTTAGATGTCCGTAGGGAATCGGTAGATCTTGTGTTGTAGTGTAGGAGCAGAATTACAATCATCATTAGGTAGTGACCAATACTTCATCATTGCGTAGTGACCAGTACTTCATCGTTGGGTAGTAACCATTACTTCATCATTTGGTAGTGACCATTACTTCATCATTAGATAGTGACCATTATTTCATCATTGGGTAGTGACCATTACTTCATCGTTGGGTAGTGACCATTACTTCATCATTGGGTAGTGACCAATACTTCATCATTGGGTAGTGAACATTACTTCATCACTGGGTAGTGACCATTACTTCATCATTGGGTAGTGACCATTTCTTCATCATTGGGTAGTGAACATTACTTCATCATTGGGTAGTGACCATTACTTCATCATTGGGTAGTGACCATTACTTCATCATTGGGTAGTGATCATTACTTCATCATTGGGTAGTGACCATTGATTCATCACTGGGTAGTGATCATTACTTCATCGTTGGGTAGTGACCATTACTTCATCATTGGGTAGTGACCATTACTTTATCATTAGATAGTGACCATTATTTCATCATTGGGTAGTGACCATTACTTCATCATTGGGTAGTGATCATTACTTCATCGTTGGGTAGTGACCATTACTTCATCATTGGGTAGTGACCATTACTTCATCATTGGGTAGTGACCATTACTTTATCATTAGATAGTGACCATTATTTCATCATTGGGTAGTGACCAATACTTCATCACTGGGTAGTGACCATTACTTCATCACTGGGTAGTGACCAATACTTCATCACTGGGTAGTGACCATTACTTCATCATTGGGTAGTGACCATTAATTCATCACTGGGTAGTGACCATTTCTTCATCACTGGGTAGTGACCATTACTTCACCACTGGGTAGTGCCCAGTACTTCATCGTTGGGTAGTGACCATTACTTCATCATTGGGTAGTGACCATTACTTCATCATTAGATAGTGACCATTATTTCATCATTGTGTAGTGACCATTACTTCATCATTGGGAAGTGACCATTACTTCATCATTGGGTAGCGACCATTATTTCATAATTAGGTAGCGACCATTACTTCATCACTGGGTAGTGACCATTACTTCACCACTGGGTAGTGACCATTACTTCATCATTGGGTAGTGACCATTATTTCATCATTAGGTAGTGACCATTACTTCATCATTGGGTAGTGACCATTATTTCATCATTAGGTAGTGACCATTACTTCATCATTGGGTAGTGACCATTACTTCATCATTGGGTAGTGACCATTATTTCATCATTAGGTAGTGACCATTATTTCATCATTAGGTAGTGACCATTACTTCACCACTGGGTAGTGACCATTACTTCATCATTAGGTAGTGACCATTACTTCATCATTAGGTAGTGACCATTACTTCATCATTGGGTAGTGACCATTACTTCATCATTAGGTAGTGACCATTATTTCATCATTAGGTAGTGACCATTACTTCACCACTGGGTAGTGACCATTACTTCATCATTGGGTAGTGACCATTATTTCATCATTAGGTAGTGACCATTACTTCACCACTGGGTAGTGACCATTACTTCATCATTGGGTAGTGACCATTATTTCATCATTAGGTAGTGACCATTACTTCATCATTAGGTAGTGAACATTACTTCATCATTGGGTAGTGACCATTACTTCATCATTGGGTAGTGACCATTATTTCATCATTAGGTAGTGACCATTACTTCATCATTAGGTAGTGAACATTACTTCATCATTGGGTAGTGACCATTATTTCATCATTAGGTAGTGACCATTACTTCATCATTAGGTAGTGAACATTACTTCATCATTGGGTAGTGACCATTATTTCATCATTAGGTATTGACCATTACTTCATCCTTGGGTAGTGACCATTACTTCATCCTTGGGTAGTGACCATTACTTCATCATTAGGTAGTGACCATTACTTCATCATTAGGTAGTGACCATTACTTCATCCTTGGGTAGTGACCATTACTTCATCATTAGGTATTGACCATTACTTCATCCTTGGGTAGTGACCATTACTTCATCCTTGGGTAGTGACCATTACTTCATCATAAGGTAGTGACCATTACTTCATATTTGGGTATTATATTCATATTATTCTATAAATAAGAAATAACACGGAGTGCAGGTGAAACAGACTTTATTGACATTACCCAAACCTTAGGTATCAAATGCTGTAAAGGCACCTCAAACCAACAAGGAACACAACTTATCTGCTGTATATAGCATCAATGGCTTGTTCTTTTATCAATATAGTGTTTATCTTATAAAGGATACTGTTAAGTTTTCATTTTGAATCCACCAGAAAAAATAAGTAAGACTTATCCAGGACCCAGAGGGAATCATTCTTCCAATGCTTGATTAACAATGGCAACAGAGTTTGATAAGTATTCTTAATACATGTTTTATCCAATAAAAAGAATTGGGGTGTCTACAGCAAAACAAAAGATATAAGAGGGATGTTGGTGTCCACCATGGTTTGATCTTTATGTCTATGTCAGTTGGATATTTCCCTTCTTCATTTTCTTTCCTTTTTTGTTCTTAGCTTTTTGTGGTATGGACATATATAATTATCAAAGTGACATACAAAATTTGAGAAAAAGGGATTTCTGAGAAATGAATATGAGTTGATTCATCAAAATCCAAGATGGCCCCTGTTGGTCATTTTTTTGTTTTTGATTTTTTCTAATTTTGTTGCACAAAAAATCAAAGAAAAAGTAGATAGAAATTTCAGAATGAATATTCCTGCAAGTACATCTCAAGAAATAGTGAGAACAAACTTCCATTTTCAAAATTCTAGATGGCTTCTTCCTGTCAGCCCTTTTTTCTGATCAGGCCCAAAATTGAAAGGTTCTAAAGGTCTGTAGTTAACCTATGTATGATATGATCAGATTGACCAAAGCCTTATAAGATGGTGGGCTAAAAATTGACAGCAGCTTGTATAGATCTACAAACTCCCCTCGCTTGGTGGATATCTTACAATGAAAGGCCATGACCTGAACATAATATACTGTTCCTTTAGTGACCTAAGTATAGATATTTTCATTAATGACCTAAATATATTTTTTCATCAGTGACCTGAATAAGATATATTTTTTCATCAGTGACCTGAATAAGATATATTTTTTCATCAGTGACCTAAATATATATATTTTCACTCTCTAACACCGGACTGTCATCAGTGTAGGGTCCATTGTCAGTTGCTTTCTGTACTAAGGCGTGAACTTTGGCATTGAAGGGCAAATATAAAAATCACTCCAGTTCTGTTCATTTTCCTACCCTGTATTAAATCATAATGCCAAGAATTGAATTAAACATGACTGACACTTTTCAAGGTTCCTGGAATATAAGAAAAAAAATGGTTTCAAAGGAAATGCCGAGATGTATGTTGATATTTAAGTGGGTCTAAAAACCACAGGTAATCTAAACATGGTGTCATAACACTTAATTTAGTCTTTTTATCTAAAACATACTTATAAAAATAGCATTTTTCTACAGGAGTGTTAGGATGGTTTATTTAATATACTCCTATATCTAGGTTACAAATGACCCATTCCAAAAAGTGACATAGTAGGTAACAATTAACTACTAAAGTATATATTTCCCCAAATACCAAAATAATTCATTCTTAAATACAAGTACAAATGGTAGTTCCTGTAGTAATAATTAATACAATTTGATAATATATATACATCAGTTGTTGGTTATAATTGTCAGGTTTTATATCATGTCCATTGGATATAAATGAAAAAGTTTTAACAC